TTAAAAGTGTCTTACGGCAGTTTTAAGCCCCCGTAACTCCTTTGTGAATAAAGTGAGAAGTCTGATCTTTTAGTGATCAAGAGGAGAGAGAATGGTCAAACTATATGTAGCTATATTGCCAATATACCTAAAAATTATATCTTATAGTTTACGCTGGTCGCTGGTCATAGTTAATTTTGTTACTGACATACCCATTGATCTTTAAAATTCTAAGTAATCTCACAAATTTCAAATTTTAGTTAGCATATTACCTGTAAAGTCACTATAAATGTTGATAGATAATTGATTAGATAACAATTTATAACAGTTATTGAATAAGTGCTTCCATAGACATAAACTAAAATTAATAATTTAGTTTTACATGAGATTTCAAAAATGTTATAGTGAAAGAACTACATTGCAAGACGTCATTTTTTATATTTTGTTTTTGATGGGATACATTATTTGTAAGCCTAATCTTGGGTCTTACAGTGTTTGATACTTATGTCAGATATTGCATTGGTTATAACACTTTGGCATCAAAACATATAATGTACTCGTATTGAAATGGGTTATGGACACAGTAAAATAGAAAATGTCAAATTAAGTATAATAATGATATTAAGATTATTACCCAATAAAATCACCTCTCCTCTTATTTCGCTCCGCTTTCAGATTGGTCATTTGAATTTAGCAATGTTTAATGCTGCTGTCATCACATTACTGAAATGAGTAATCGTATAGACATGCGTTTCCGTATCTCCAAGGACATATTTAGGTCATCATTCCCGGTTGTTGTCACTGACACATAAAACATGCTAGCTTTTACACAGCTTGAAAAGTGACGAGGGTGGTTGCACGAATTATAAATATCCACCAGTAGTTACGTACTAAGCTCCAAATAATCAGTAGGGTGAAATGAGGTCATATCCGCACAATACCTAATGATCGTTTATGGAACTAACCATTTATACTGAATAAAATGGTATTCTTTGTGTTACTAGTATAGTATTATATTATTTGTGAAAGTAGTAAACTGTCTTCAATTTCTAATTGTCGTCTTTCTTTGTTGTTGTGTTATTTTAAAAATGCCTGTAATAATAGTGGATATAATTGAAGAGAATTTTCGTATTTATAATTTTTAGACAACAACAAAATTACTTAAATATTTAAAGATAGCACTAGTGCTGAATAATTTTGCAACTTAGATAGGCATTTACGATAAACTAAGACACGAACGTGTTGATCCTCAATGATTTACATGAATATTTATTACCTAAGAGTATACGGCACGACACTAAGTTCTGGGCGTAAACATAGATAGACAGTTATTATTTTACATATTTTTTATTATGTTAAGCTATATTTCATAAGTGGAATCTACATATTTAAATTCAATGTCATACATAGAAAATCTTCAGTATTACAATAAAGAATCAATGAGATTTTGCTCTGCAAATTAAAAAAACGTGATTGCCCTGCCAAAAGTTATTCATATAATTATAGCTAGTGCCATTTAAGATGGCGCGAATATTTTGATGATACTATATATATTAAAATCTATTCAAGCGTTTAAAAGTTATTATAAAACAAAGAAGCTCACATTTTTTGAGCATTCGAGTAAAAATACCGACCATTTTTGTTATTCGCTTATGAACCCTTTACTTTACTAAAAAATATTCCGGTGAAAATATTTAAAACCACATACATATTTTTGACTACATACTAGATATAGGTGATCATTTAAGATGATAGAATATTCAATCTAAAAAGTTCAGCTTCGTGTCTTACTTCTGTTGTAAAAATTAAGATCTAGAGTTCATTTGACTCTATAAATTACTAAGTACTCGTAATCTACAAACAGTTCATTCTAAAGGAGAATACTAATAGCTTTTAATAATTTTATTCTATTTACCCATAATTTCCCAGTATGCAAGCTGATATTATTCATGTCCAGTGATAGAATCTATAAAACTACATTTCTGACAAAAAAAAATGTTTTTTTTAACTGCGCATTCACTTAATCGATTCAATTTATTACAATATTGAATAATTATTTAAATTATTAGAATGTCAGTCGTATATTTCAAATGAATTATGTGACTAGTCATCTGATTTACCTTCAATTTAGCTATGTCTTTGTTTTTAATGCAATGTTTTAACAGGATAAAATGCACATTAACAATCTTACATTTTGGAAATTTAGACTACTGTTAGTAGTTGTTTAAAGATGTTAATATCACAAAGATTTGATATAGTAGTTGTTCTGTTCACAATATTGCTACCCATAATAGACGGCTTCATAAAATGTAGCACTTACTTTTATTAAATAATAGATAGGTACTCCTGATCCTGACGTTACGGACTATGGAGCTGCAAGCGAATACCTCTATTGAATTAAGTACCTCAATTTTATTATTTTAAACTACAATAGGACAGTTCATATAGAAACTTAACTATACGAATATGTGTCAAAATTGAAGTCATCTGTAAATTTTCAATGACATTTGAACCATTTTTAATAGTTCTAACCGATTATTTAAAAAGTGCTCTGATAGCAAACTAAACAGTTAATCATAAAATAAGTTATCCTTATACCTACCTACAACTTAAAGTTTTGCATCTACATATACTTATTTGAAAAAAATTCAAATACTTTAATCGAAATCTAAATTTTCATTGATAGCCTTATAAGAATTTTGTTGAATAACATTTTAATTTGCTAACAGACCACTTATATCAATTAAAAATATTTAAATTATTTTCAAAAGTTGGCATATAAATTCGTAATACAATTTAGGATAAATATATAAGAATATTAAATATATATATATATATATATATATATATATATATATATATATATATATATATTTAGGTTTAATTCATACCTAACGAATAGAAAGCAGTGTATTAAAGTGCATGATCACACTAGTCATTTTGAGAATACTTGCTTTGGTGTACCACAGGGTAGTATCTTGGGTCCTACGCTCTTTCTTTGTTATATTAATGACTTACTATTAACCCCATTAATCAACGCAAAATTGTTATGCTGATGACACAGCTATTATATTCCATGGTAATAATTGGAACGAATGTTATTTGAACGTTGAGAGAGGTTTGGTTTTAGTTGCTACATGGTTAAACAAAAATTTACTGACAATAAATACTTTAAAAACGAAATATGTATGCTTTTATAAAACTAAAGCTTCAAGGCCGTTCTCCGTTCCAGATATCAAGATACACATGTGTATGGCTATTACTCCTAGTGTTACAAATCCGATATACCACTCTAACACGTGCTCCTGTGACACTATTAAGAACTCTCCAACTGTAAAGTATCTAGGGATGGTATTGGATGAGAGACTTACTTTCAAGCAACACATTGACTATATGTCTGCCAGAGTAAGAAAACTTATTCCCACCATGAGAATCCTCAGAGACGTGATGGATCCATCCTTACTCCGAAATGTTTATGTCGCGCTGTGTCAGTCAGTACTTACTTATTGCATCCGAGTTTGGGGATCTACTGCTAAGATCATATTGCTATATAGCGTTCTATATTAAATATGTTCAAAAAGCCTTTTAGATATTCAACAGCTTCTTTATTTAATGACGCAAAGGTCTTAAGCGTTCGTAAACTGTATATTTTCAAAATTATAACTATTGGTCACAGCATAATCCAAAAGTCACTGAATAACCCTAAGGCTTCAAACAAGCGTTTTTACACTCTCCCTACACCTACTACTAAAACTAGTTTTGCCAGACGCTTCTCTTCTTGCATGATCCCATTTATATATAATAAATTTTGCAAAATTTACAATCTAAAGAACTGTACCCTAAAAGAAACAAAATCAAAAGTAAGCGAACATCTGAAATCTATGAATTATGACGATACTGAAAATATGCTCTTGTTAATCATATAAATGAAAATACTGGTCACATACATACAAAAACACGCACACACACACACACACACACATAAACACACACAAACAGACACACACACCACACACACACGCATGCACACACACTCATTCATAATACTTATTTATACATGTGTATTGGTGGTGAGAGAAAGAAAAAATAAATAAATAAAATAATTGTATTATACAGATTAGTTACACAATTGTGAGTACTGCTAAAAAGCCTATGTTTAATATCTATATGCATGTATATGATAACACGAGTACTGCTTCCTACAGGACAGGCTCAGCCTAGTGTAGGAGGCAATGATAAATTCTGTGCTAATACAAACATACTTTGTTAGATAAATAAATAAATAAATAAATAAAAAAAAATAGATATGAAACACGCTTAATTATATATATATATATATATATATATATATATATATATATATATATATATATATATATATGCAAGTAAACAAATTTGTGATATTACGAATATTTTCTTGATATAAAATGTTTGCATTAGAAATTTGTGTGTTGAGTTAAATATAAACAAGTTTTAGGGGTCGAGCATACATCTGCGTGACGTGTAGAATTATTGGTTCGTTGCCCGGCCGCTGTATCGACCCGTGACGTCACTGGGGTGACTTCCGCCCCAACCCCTCTGATAGCTTCCCGAACGACGCAAACTCGTTCCCGTATACCATGAGTATTGTGACTCCAGACTAGACAATTTTTAACTCAATAAGAAAAGCAATATCGAACTATCGGTAAAGATGCAATATATTAATCTCTCAAAAATATATCAATTAATTCGGAGCTATAATTACAGAGTAACGAAACGTTCGTGAAACTGAACTTCCAAAAAAAAGTCCAAATATGAAACTAATTTTCGTACAATTCAAAAATTAAATTAAAAATTAAATTTATCAAAGGTGTTCCCTGGGATGGTCTGCACTTATCCTTTCTATGACGAGTACATACTTCATTAGAGATTTTTAAAATTAATTTAGGCATGTCTTAAACCCAATGCCATGAGATTTCTTAAAATTTGTAAAATTAAGTTTAAAAAAAAATATAAAAAAAGGAAATAACTTGTTCACTTACCTAAAAGGATCAGCGCCGCGAGAGCGGCAAATCCTGTAAAGAGTGCCATGTCACACTCACTGGGACACTTCACTTATCACTTTTTAGTCACTTGTCCAACTCAAAAAATAAAAACAGTCACTAAAACAAAATGAGGGGCCGGGCACAGCCCGATCTGTAACAAATAAAAAAATTAATTAGAATTAAAAATAACTTCATATAATTCCTGTATTCACATATATTTTGATATTTATGCAACATGAGATGACAAACAAGTTGGACGATGGTAACCGTGGACTGAAGACATGTATAGTATCAATTATTTCTTATTTTTATTTGATAAAGTTCACCATTCTTTAGATTTCACTAAGCAACTAATATTGTTAAAATCAATATATGAGGTATTTAAAAAATTTATATCTTAATACCAAACTTTTTTTTTACAACCAATGGCTAAAGAATATCGAATCGTTTATGGTTTAGTGGACTTATGTGAATATCTACGTAGGTAGGCAGGTTTCTGCCGTATCACGCAACGATGTTTATTTTATTGCTACACGGACTGCTTCGTTACAGTTAATGCATTTTCATTGTTTAAGCCTTTTTTTAACAGGATGCTATGTGTTTCTACTTCTACTTTCAGAATGTGTGTGTCAATGGGAGTATATAAAAAACTTTTAAAATAAATACTTAAATATTTATTTTATATATATAAATTCTTGTTGTCCTCATTCATATTTATCATTCATTAATATGTAACTAATTTTACAAAGATGTAAATATCTATCTCAAAACCAATAAATAAATAAAGCACACCTTATAATGTCCAAGAGCTACAAGTGAACTAAATGGATTATAAGATATAATTTTTTTAATTAACTATGTCTAAAAATTTATATAAAACATATTTTTTTAACTGACTTCAAAAAGGAGGTTCTAAATTCCGTTGTATTTTTTGTTTTTTACCTCACAACTTTGCCAATTCTAAAACAATATTTACAGATTGATCTCATAGAAAATTTAATAAAATCGGTTCAGTCATTCCTAGACCAAAATAACTGGTAACTGGTCACAATTGAAGTCGTTGTTTTGGGACACAATCTTTAATTATTTATGCAACTAGAAATGACGGTTTATCTGACGGAAAGTGGTAACTATCGCCTAAAGATATGACCGGCATGACGACTATAGTAAGTACCTCTCGTGCGTTGCCGTTCTTACAGACTTATTAGGATTTAATTCTATAAATATTTTTATTTAATGACTGACGAATAGAAATGCGTCAAATTGTTTGAGAATCTGTCAAATTAAAAGGTCATCAATAGTTATTTATTTATTCATACATATATTTTATATGTATTATAATTACTACATAATTTTTTTTAATAATTATTTACAAGTATTAGTTTTTGTAAGTTTCCTTATTAGATAGTCTTTTATAACAAAATTGTAATTTCAGTTGATCTAAACTTTCAAGCACTTTAAGTAAACACTGGCTAGTTTTGGTGAAATAAAATAGATAGGAAAGAGTTATCTTTTTATTGTTAACACGACAATTACCGATTCTTATTTTTTTAATCTAATACGCAACGTAGGTTGGTATCATTACCATCTTGACCATGAGTTAAAGTGTACAATCGTATTATGATGGTACACTATAAATCAACATTAATTAATATTATGGAACCCTTAAAATACTATCTTATAAATATTTTAGTCCAGTACAACGTAATATATATCACTTATCCTAACGTGATAATAACAAGTTCAGTGAGCTATCTATGTGATGAAATAAGACTGGATACGGCAGTGACATCATATTATTGTGACCAATTTGTCATATAGCTGCGAGCGTATGAAGTTTATATTAGATATGCAGAGTTAACGAATTATTAAGTCATTAATTTAAGCTCTTTAGAAGACTATTATTATTATTTTTTTACATCTACATTCTATTACTATCATTTTTAATTAGTCTCTGGCTACTCCGCAAGAGACTCGGCTTGAATATAGATACCTAATAAAAATAAAAAAATAAAATTATAGAAGTGAAATATTTCGTTAATATTTAAGTATGTATAAATGTAGCGCGTTTTTGTTTTACCTATAATTGTAAATGTTGCAAGTCAAAATTCTTAACCAGTCAAAAATACATTTGATTGGCAGAGAGTTTTGACTGCATCATAAATATAGATTGTAGAGTCTGATGTCCCATTTAAATTAATATTAGGATATCAACGATTACTAAAGATTTCACAAAAAAAAACTAACTATGATAAAATCTGTTATTTCGATAAAATTAAACTACTGGACCTATTTTGGTAAAATTTCTATGGAACAATTAATCGATTTTAATCTGTAAATAGGTATATCCTTAATATATTAAAAAGAATTTTCTATATCGGTTTAAAACTAACAGAGTTATGAGATAACATAAAAAAAAATACAACCGAATTGAGAATCTCCTTATTTATGAAGTCGGTTGAAAAGAAGTATAAATAGTAAAAGAATTTTTCAATTTAATGCAATTAATATGCAAATTGAGGTCTAGCCCCATTATACAGATGTAGAACTAGACATATGTACACTAAATACTTTTTTAAGTAAATATCTATATCACATATGAAAAAAATACTAGACCACTCAATAGAAATAGATAATTTATGAATTCAAATATATGTATAGAGCCAAGATCAAACCCGCAACCATCAGACGGTGAAGCAGTATGGATCACGTTTTACCACCAAAGTATGGTCAATAATGGATAAAATGTTTTGTTCATTACAATTTTGTTACTGTATATACCGTTTGGTATGTAGACATAAACAAGAATTAGTAAAATTTAATAGGTATATTTAAAACATATTTCTTAAGGGTATTTAAAAGGGAATGTAAATATGTACGGAAGGTGATGGTGACTAACTTTATCGGGCACGCGACTATCTCCATAAATAAATATAAACAAGTAAGCGAGGGCATTGCGGTAAGGTACGAGACGCCTTAGAAAGTATACACGAACGCCGTACATGAGTGACGGAAGGTTATTTTTGGTGCCGTTATCCAGGAATGGCTACGCTGAGTTCATGTTTAGATTTCACAAGAGCGAACGTTTACAAGTATACAACCATACTTGTGTAGAATGGTATATAAAATTTCAATAACGGCAAAATGCTCTAGTAAAGGTACTTATCTTTTATATTTTTTTTGATGGGTGAAAATGGAATGGTAACCCCGCTTGCGCTAACGGGATTCACGGAGCACCAGTGAAGGGCGATAGATGAGAATGAAAACAGGCCAGTTAGCACATCATGATGAATTCATTAGGAATTAACCATGATAGTTTCCAGGAAAAACCGCGAGGAAGTCGACCTGGTTGGGTATATTGCTAACAATGGGATTCTCAGTCTCCAATACTAACAATCCCTTTCCCCCCTATCTTTTATATTTCTTGATAAACAATAAATCAGTATACTGCATGACTATTAATATTTAATAAATATTTATCTATTTAAAGGGAATTCAAGTAGACTAGTCTGGGTAGCGGAGATAAAAATCTGTTTACTCATGGGTGTGCAGAACCGTCGCTGATAGACAGAATCTGTTGTTTGTAAAAGCTATTTACTAAATATATTTATTTATTAAAAATATTTAAATAACAAGGCGGGTATTCTATAATATATAATATACAAAACCAATATATAATTATGAACTAAACACGCTTCTTATTATTTTTTTTTTATTATTTGAAAGAGTCCTAATAAGTAGGTATTATAGTAAATAAAATATAGTAAATTCATTCGCCGTGTAGTTCCGGCATAGAATGAGTCACCCCTTCCTTTTCTGTGAGTGCCATAAGGAGCAGCTAAAGAAACTTATTGGTCAAGTGTTGGACAGCAACTTCCCTCTTAAAACGTTAACAAAGTCTAACTGTAGTTGCCAACCAGCCTGCCAAGCATGACAACTACTGGCAAAATAGGGCCAGCGCAGGCGAGGTTACCATTCCATTATCACCTATTAAAAAACCCCTGATTGAATAGTGAATATTTAAGAATATTTTTTTTATCGGTAAATGGAACTGATTCACAGCAATTTACACAGTAGGTATCTATTATGTATGTAAAAGGAAACGATGTCCCGGGGTATACTTTTAGCATAAAAATAAATAAATCCTTTTCTGTATTCTTATGTCTATAGCGAGACAAACATGAATATAATTTTCAGTTTAAATACTGAGTAATATCATTTTCAAAAGTAATGTTTTGCATAAGAAGATGGTGGAATGTCTCTGCAAAATTGATTATAAATCTCAGTTAAAGGTACATAAATGCACAACGTGGGTTCTAAGAAACAGTTTCTACGTATAGGTATGTATATTATAGCCGTAACGTCTGAGAGACAACGGCTACACTGGAGAATGACAATAACTATCTTTCTGCAGTCAAGCGAAAAAAATTGCATACAGAGAGGATTATAATCACATACAAGCATATAAAAACAGTACTCTATTTACACCTATTTAAAAGCTATATTATTATTTATAACATGATCATTAGACTTATTTTTGTAGTTACTATGCTAACAAAAAAGGTGACTCGTCCATATATGTAGGTAAGCTAGATCATTGAATAGGCCAATTCAATACGTTAATTTCTTACCATTACACGCTTACTACTATCTTTGTGGTATATATAATATAAAGCCGATTTTAATTCATTAGATACTCGTCTCTATCTATGGGTATAAACATAGTATAAATATTATTGATATTATGCATTAGCATCTCTATTTAGTATGTGCTTGTATTTAGTAATAAAGCTATATAAATCTACGCTACGTAATAAGGACGGGATCTACCTGCCAAAAAAAAAAAAACTCGCTCAGCCTGCTTGCTGGAATCTTTTGCACCTGTTCTGAAACTCGCTTGTTTGGACAAAAGCGCCATGTGAGGAGAATTTTTTGCTCGTGGTTTTATGCTATTTCCTTTCATAACAATTCTTATTTGCTTATAAGAAATTATAATTTTTTCGAGATTTCAAACTAAGTATACATTTCTTTATAACAAGTAGTTTGCTGCGTAAAAAATTGCGTCTTCATTCGTGACGAAATTATATATACAGTATACTTCATCGACTTCAAAAATATTTAAGTATAAAAATCGGATCAGAACTTTATATTATCATCATGGTGCCATAATACACTAACCGCCTGGTCCTCATGCTAAGATACCGTGCGTTATGAGGAACCAGGTAACGAACATTTGAGGGCAAAAGCCAAAACATCTAGATCAGAGTCATTTTAGAAAAGTTCATTTTCTAAAATCAGCTTGATCGAGAATTGAACCCCGGATCTCATTACGTCAATCAGACATGTGTTCTCATTAGATATGATAACTCTTAAAGTTTAGGAAAATATGCATGTTATTTGCGGTAAAAGACATAGGCACTTAGAACATGACAGTAATCATTAGTAGGTATAATCCAAGTACCATACAATATATGTAACAGTTTCAGGTGGATTGTTACCCTCTCAGTAGGTAGATAGGTATATAGGGGAAGGTCGTATGGAAAGGGCTAGGGGTTGCCAACACTTCCTGCCTTGCTCAAATTATGACTAACATCTACCTATAGCTACATAACTAATCATTCGAATCTTATATGTACCTGTCACCAACAGAATGTTTCTCGTCATTTTATACTATTTTAAATTTTATTAATACAAATAAATTCAATAAGGTAAAACAAATTAACGATATGGGTACCTACTTACGCAGTATTATTTATTAAATATGTACACTACAAATATGGAATTAAGGACCACACCCTACACGTGTAGTTAAATTAATATCCAGACATAGATTTAAATAGACGTCGCATTACTGCATGTAAGTACTTTACCTGTACCTTCTTTAACTCTGCTAAACTTTGATTCGGACTGGAAGTTCTTATCTTAGTGCGATAGTTTGTTATCAGTAAATAATAATAATATTCAATATATATATATATATATATATATATATATATATATATATATATATATATATATATATATATATATATATATATATATAGAATAAAAAATAAATCAAAATATGAAATCCTAAATTAAAAGCTTAGGTGCGTACGATCTTCGTCTGTCTGTGATACTCATGTGTATCTAATTTTTTTATTTAAATTAGATATAATTTTATGTACAAGTACCTTTACGACAGACCAATTTCAATAATCTCAGTATTAAAGTATATCAAATAAATAATTTATTATTAGAGCTCCTGAATGTTCATGGACGGTCGCTGACCGCGTGCCTAGACAGAAATTGTATACAGACCAATTTAAGAATATAGATCGACCGGTTCCAGTCTGCCTAGGTACTACCTACATTATATTGTACATATCTAATTTATGTGCAATGTAAGCGAAAGCTGTTCTCAATTCGATTAGGAGAATGAAAATAGGAAGTGTCCTAATAAGATTCTTCGTTATAAAATTTTAGAAATGTGAAAATATTAAATCAGCTGTTTAAGATACATTTAATTTTGCGTAAGTACCTACATATATAACTTTAGATATCAAATCAAACAGCAATAGCCATAAAATAGCGTTTCTTAATATCCGCCACCCACCGGCGATTTATATGGCAATTTTATTAGTCACACCTAATATAGGCATTATGCGTCGGACTTCATGAATGAATATTTATTTACCAAGTGTACATTCCACCTGTTATAGTGAAAACGTCTTTATCGGATTTAAATTTGTTTGATAAACTTGAAATGCGAAGTGAATAACAATTTCGATTTTATATTCTTCAATGATACCAAGCCATGTGGTTCCTATCGATCAGTGTTGCAGATAAATCAAATCGAGTTAGTTTATATGATACGTGCTACTATAAATATATTTCGATAATAGTACTAATCAGCAGAAATAAACTACAAGTTTGATATCGTACACAAGTGACTCTACAGTGCGAAGACAACATCGTTATCGATCGTAGTAGCGCACTTGCCGACTTGACGGGTGTTATTTACGGAAAATGCTTTTATAACACAAAAGCTATGAGAAACAAGGATTTTTGTCATATAGTACGCTTACCAGTGAAGAGAGAGCGGCGACTCAGCGCAGCACCCACAACACTTAAACCACAACACACACGAGAGGACGAGCGGCAACAACCGTTTCGTCCAAAGCTCAAACGCGGAATGAGTTAATACTTTGTAGATAGGACATGAAACGGCCGATGACATTCGACAAAAGAAAAAGGACAGATGAAGTAGTCGTATCATTCGCACACGAGCCGCTAAGGAAGCACCCTAGTCGAGGCAAGGCGAACATTACCGAGAGGGCAAGGCAGGATCCATTAATTGCGCACGCAGGACATTGGACACATCGTGTGTACAATAAAATTTATAAATAGGTGTGTATTGCAACGCTAATCCGAATTTCTTTCAACAATCCATCCTATGACTTTTGGGACATTTTCATATGACTTTTATGGTAGAAATGCATGTGATACAGGCCTAAATACTTTAATTGGGTTTAACTGGAGTTATTCACAAAATACTTAATTGTATAATAAAATTTTTATACAAAAGAAAAGAAAATTTTGTTTGATATATCTATTTACATTACACCCATGGTTTAATCGGTCGCTATACACCTAAACCCTGTTCTATACAAACTTGTATAGAACAAGGTTTATTGATAAAACGAATCAACTAATTTAGAATACCAAATTAATAATATTAATGCATAAAAATAATGCATGCTCAATGTTGAAATATTAGGAGCATATATTTGTGCATAAAATATAAAACCAGTTATTGATTTTGATAAAATTTATTAAGTAATACAGTAACTAATTTTAAGATAGCATTTCATATTATAGGTAGTAGAAAAATAATATTTTAATAAAATGTTATTAGATTCAATTTAACTTTTAATAAATCGAATATAGATATTACAAAACAGTATGTTAATGGTAAAAAAAAAATTCTGTTATAGATTAAAACTTGATGAACTATTCCTAAAAATGATCAATTGATAAGCAAAATCTACAAATAGTTTCATTACTAATTAATTAAACTAAAAAAAAGCAGATTATAATTAAAAATCGAATTTAGTTTAATTTCTTCGTTGTCCATAAATTACAATAATATTATTTCTGATACAGTTTTTATTGTAACTTAAGCTACTAAACATTATAATCTCATAAAATGATCAGTCATATGTGACTATCTGTTTCGATAGGAACAATATAAAAATACTACGAGACCAGATATAAATTAATACAAATTATTTATAGGCACTAAAATGGCACATTAAAACGATTTCGCAATATATTTTTAATTTTTAACGCTTTAAAAAATATTTAAGAGCATTCATAACAAGCTTATTGAAGTGTGGCAACATCAGAGCTATGCAGTTTTCAGAAACAATTCAATGATTTTCAACATTTTTGATTACATAGTGCTTTGACAGCGAATTAAAATGATAATCAAGCAATAAGAAGCTATCAGAGAACATATAAAAATAAAATAATGTATTTTGATGTCGAAAAAGACGAAGAAGTAGTATAGTATATAGTAGAAGTAATATACTCGTATAGAGCTAGATTTTTAGTGGTAATGTCATGGGCAATTAATTTAGTGAAAGCTTTAACTTACAAGTACAAATTATTATAAAAATACAAATATTTAATTGGAAATCGGCAGATACATTTAAAGTTGCTACATTTTGTTACGGACGCTCTTAAACAAATATTACAAGTAATATATATAAAACTATAACTAACTATAAATAATTCACAATATTTATTAAAACGATAAAACAAATTAGAATTCTACGGAATATATATTTTTTCAAAAAGAGTTTATGACTTACAATAATGTTAATGGACCACTCTCATTGTGACTTAAATAGAAATTGTAAATAAATATGCATTTATTATAAATTCAAACTGTTAAACAACATTTATATATTTTAATTTTAATGGAAATTTATTTATTTATACTTAGAACGTGGTTTAAGGACAATGCCAGCAATTCTTTAAAGCAAAGGTACTGACAAAGTCACTGAATGTATAAAAATAAATATACTATATAATTTTTTATTTACTTATGTGAGTATTCTAGTTAAATTACAACAAAATAGTTGGCCTTAATCTATCCAAATAGCTATATTCACTATCTATTCATTTTAGCTGCAACAACTTACCTAAATTGAATTCATTTTCCAGTTGCATAAATGGTGATAAAAATTGATTGAACCACCACTTCTTGATTGTAATGCACTGCACTCTTACAAGCCTGCACAATTAATTAATTTTCCATTCTAATTCGTAATGTATACTATAGACTACAATAACAATCTAGAGTTATAAAATTATACAGCACAATTTCATATTAAGATTACATTAACACGTTGCCATGGCAATTTTCAGTAATTTGGCTTAAAAATAACAGTTTGATTTAATCACATTATATTAATAAAAAGTCTAATTCTAGTGCATTGTTATCACCAAAAAGCATAAAAAGACAAATTTATTTCTTGATTATGAAGTTGGAGTCCCAGAACGCAATCTACGAGTTATCTCGTAGTTGGCAGTCAACGTGTTAATGTTATATTAAAATGTTATGATTAGACAAAATTTGTCTTTTAATTGTAATAATTTTAGAAATTGAATGTAATATTATGCATCTAATAATGTATAAAGTAAGTGTATCATCCCAAATAATCAATTAACCGATCCAATTACCGTTGTAGTTTGATCCGTTAACAAATTTTAATACTTAAACTTAATGGTTAAAATTTCATGATCTGTCTCACAAAGACAGTCAAATTTATATATCACATGTCAGGAACTACAATGCAGATTTGCAAATAGATACACATTTACTTGCCTTCTAATACTTGGCACTTGTTTTACCACGCATTAAATAAACAAAAGTATGTATAGTAACTGTAAATTATGAGATTAGAACTGAATATAAATAACTACACGACTAGAATCTTATTGTTTTCAATGCATTTCAATTTCAGCGAAAAATAACAAAATTGTCTTAGTTGTTGTCTTTACACTCAATGAAAAAATAGATAATCTTGATAGAAACTTATTAATTACGCATGATTAGTGCAAATTTTTTGCTATATGAGCCTCTTTATTTCCATAATAGAACCATAACAAGCATCATTATTATTTTAAAATAAAAAACAAAGTCTTCATAGTTATCTGGTGATACAATTCAAAGTAATTAGATGTCACAAATACATTTATATTCTAACACAAAATTAGACATTGTATAATAACATAATTGGAAAGAGTGAAAACCAAGTTAATATAAAGAAAAAAATCCTCAACCAATGATGAAACGTGTCATTTCAAACGTCCCTTAACATTTAAGCTGTCTCATGCGGTGCAGGCAGTTTTTCCCACGTGGGCTCGACACCCCAGATCTGGCGTGCGTACTCAGCAATTGTACGGTCTGACGAGAACTTGCCTGAAGACGCGATATTTTCGATAACCATTTCCGCCCATTTCGCTTGGTCCTAGAAAAGATATTTATTATCAGTTTTGTTTACATCCACATTACTTTAAAAGACAAAGCTGAATAGACTGAGCCTAAGTACAGAAATAAAAAAATTACAATTATAAAAAAAAATATGTTAATTACAGATTTTTATATAAAACCAACATCTGTCCACAAAAGGCATGCATGCGTGTATTTTGGAAGTAGGTAATTTATAGTACATTACTGCAGCGACCAGCAACTGAGGCATTGATGGACGGACGTGCAAATGTGGGCTGAGGCGAAGCCGAGGCACACATACGTAAGTCCATCAACGTCTAGTTGTGGCCAAGGCTTGTATAGTACTTTTCTCAAACAATGCGCGGAAATCAAAAACACAATTTTACTTTCTAAGTTCAATGACGAATAACGAACAATAATAATTTTTCACGCGCCATAATGTTCCTTTGTTTTTTTTTTTTTTTAAATAAACAGCTTTCTATTTGCAAGCCAGTTCGAAATTTAAATAAAACCTTGTATTAGTTACCTCCTTGGTAGCCATGTTTCGAAGTAAAAGGTCATTCCATTTCTAAATTATAGAACAGATATGAGTTTACATAGTAATTTATCTGGCCGCAAAACAAGACAGATATGGATTTTTATACAACTTTTGCCATCCGCTGCCCGCATGTATCTGGCCAGTACGGCAATTTTGATTTATCTCTAAGAAAATTGTCAAAATAATGCTCACATTTTCAAGCATGTTTGAGAAAAATAATATTATTCCCAAGAAAGATTTCTTAGAGCACCAAGGACGTAGCAACGTCAATATTAGAGATCTAGAGAAGTTGACATCATAATTGGTTATATGATTAGAATTATTTTGTTTAATTCCATTATCCATTACTCTGTGTGCGACTGCCAACACTTGAAGATTGACCATTATCATTATTATCAAAAGTTCTAAAACTTTGCTTGTTAGCTGTAAATAAATAAATAATTCTAGTCATATAACCAGTGATATGGACTTCTAATAGATAACACCTATTTTAGTAAAATATTAACATCAGAATGTCAATATAAAATATAAATAAAAGAATAACTGATCCGACAATAGAAAGTTTGCTAATATTAAACATTAGTAGTATAAATTAAAAATCGAAAAAATGTTTAGAATTGTTACTAACAGATTGGTGTAATATAACATGAAATGTTACATCCTGCTTTTAATTGCATGTTCGCTATAAGTGTAGACTCATCGCACATCCAAATCGCGTATTCCCTATGAACCTTCCATGTGCTTCTGTTTCTGCCAATTTACCATGAACACGACCGATTGTTTGTCCGAAAAACCGACAAAGTTCGCGAACACAAAGGGTCCAGGACTATGAGAAATTGTTGCAGTGTTACTTTTCATGATGCTTTTGAACAGGAAATTTGCCAGCAGTCGCCACGCTTGGCAGGCGGGTTGGCATTCGCATTTAGGCTTTTAGTGATGTTTTAAGAGGGACGCTACCGTCTATCCCTCGAACATTAATTTTCCCTTAGTCGCCTCTAACGACACCCACAGGAAAAAAAGGGGGTAACCTATGCCGAGACCACACGGCAATAACTTAGTTATCGTTTCATAAATCTATGAATATGCTATCAATGGTGATAATCCTAGCCTTGATAGAAATCAAGGATATCAGCTTGTGGCAATTTCAAGCCGTATAAAAATAAATAAGATGGACCCATTACCTGGTACACGTCGGAGACCTTCTGCTGGGCCTCTATGTACGCCTCGTAATCGGCCAGGTGCAGGAACCGGTCGTGATGCAACAGTACATCAGCGATGTGCGCAAAACGGCTTGGCTCGCCCGGCGAGAAGAACCCGCTGCGGATCTGCTCGATACATTGCCGTAGTTCCGGATTACGCTCGTAGTATTCGTAGGCGTTGTATCTGCATACACCAGGGGAAAGGAAAATTGTTAATAATGTGGTCTAGCGGGCCCCATTGCGAGCTCTATGCCCTATCAGGTCAACCTCTATGCGGTTCCCATTGGGCAGTGTTCATGGTTAATTTCTTAATAAATTATGGTGAGCCAATTGACATAACTGCAGCCTCACATATCATCTCTCACTGGTACCTAGGTTAGTGAATACCGATAATGTAGACGGGGTTACCATTCCATTTTCATCCATTAAAAGACCAGACAAAGATTTTCAAATGTTTTGTTATCATTTCCTCCAAAAATCATATTAAAAGAGAAACAACAATTGCCAGCATTCATACAGAGTAAATAATTGCTGGCCTTATTTCTAATAATGAATCCTTCCGAACAACCTTTGGATGGAGATGAGTAATCATAAAAAGTTTAATAATATACACGATAATTATTTATCGTGCATTCGACCACAATGTTTACATGACCAAAATATACTGTCAATCAATTTCATATACCATATATAATGTAGAGATAAAATATAAAAAAGGATAGAGATCAATGATATGCTAATGTGTGTACCATAACATACATACACCCCATTGTTAAAAATGAGCACTTTTCGAGTTAGATATCTTATTAGTGTTATAATTGTGAAAAATTGCAAATATTTTTTTTTTTTATTATTATTAAGATGGAAAACGAATAAAAAGTCCAATCTCTATTTTATGGTAAGGGAGCTTATGCATTTTCGTAACGTAATTATGAGAGATGGTATATAATAATAATAACACTGGACTATGCAATTCCTCAGGACATTTTTCAATGTAAAGACTGTAGGAAAGTCTAGTAAGTCCAACAGTCAGTACGATATCATCAAAAATGCGGAGTACTAAACATTGCAAAATGTCAAGTGAAAGGAGCTAATATTGGAGTGGTCAAGTCGAAAAGTAGAAACCATACTCTATGTACGATTATACAATTGGTTCTGATATTTAGAAGTAGTGTTTCTACATTGCCACGTTTAAGTCCATTATAATTTAATACAAGCGCAGTCGGCGGGAAACTTTAGTCATTACATTATAAATGGATGTCTTGTAGCAAACTTAGAAGTGACAATCTGTAAATATAGAATTGTGTAATAATTAATTAAAGTTAGACGAACCTGACAATCGAGTAACGTCATTAATTTAAATTCTATTACAGGAATATAGTACATTAAACTGGTGTAACTATGATTAAACAAGTTTAATTAGTACAAATTTTTTACTTATCAGAGAAGCTTATTTAAATAGCGATATATACCTACTGTTTTATAAAATATTACTAAATTACTGATTTTTTTAATGTATTAGATTTATTCCTATGCTAGTTTTATGAAAATTTAGCTCAATCCGATATTCCAACATGCACCTCTCTGCTATTTGGGTCCAATACGTTCCTATTTATGACATGAAAGAATATTACATATCGGTGGCTTTTTATATATAAACTAAATTAGAGTGAGCCCATGACTTCGTCTACGTGCCAGAGGTATATTGATAGACCAAGATAAAAGTAGGCTATAAACAAAATTTTAAACTTACAACATAATTGTTTATATCAGTGTCGATGAAATATAGGAAACTAACAAAGATATAATCAGAGTAAATATCTCATTCATAAAACATGTAAAGTAGGATGTTTTTCTTCATTTCACATATATAGACATTTCTGTACATAAAATTTAATAATTTTGTATAGTAAATGTTATAATGAATAGTCCCAAAAATACGTCTAAAGGTCGCCAAAATACAAACAAATTCACTTTAATACTAATATTTATAGTAAGAATTGATAAAACTCAGATGTGTGAGTTTAAATCCAGTTCGATCAAGCTCATGAAAATTAAAAATATAGATTTAAAAGTAAGTTACCCGCGGCGCTGTAACTCCTCGACGTCATTGACCCTCATGCCGAAGATGAACATGTTCTGCTCGCCAGCCTCTTCCGCCATTTCGACGTTGGCACCGTCCATGGTGCCAATGGTGAGAGCACCATTCAGCATGAACTTCATATTGCCGGTGCCAGACGCCTCGGTGCCGGCCGTTGAAATCTATTGTTAACAGTGTTTTATTACTAAGTACTAAGACTTATATTATTTGTACTGGCACAATTATTAAACGACTTTGGCATTTATTTTTTATCAAAATAACAATAAGTATATAATTAACGAACACTTATGCACGTTTTTGTATTAATTGATTACCTCTATTATTATTGCATATTATCTATTAAATTTCTCCAGATATTTACCCACGTGAATCAATATTACCAAGTATTCTGTGTTATGTAGTTGGATATAACATATCCGTGTAACAAATTTCATACGTTTAATTGTTTAAACGTGATTTAGTAGATAATAAACATATCTAAATAACTTTACACACTTTCATATTTATAATACTGGTACAACTATTTCTGTCTATTTCATTTATAAATGTGTAAATTTAATAAAAAAAATATGCCAAGTATAGAAAACAGTCTATAAATACTATATTTATTTTTTGAAAATAAAACACACTGTGATTCATTAAAACAAAAACGTTTTATAAACCATTAAAGTGTTTTGTCACAGTCCTTCAAATTGAGAAATCGGTACAAAAGAGAAAATTAAAGCACTTAAATTTACTAGACACAATGTTTACCTGTAATGTAGTTTGTAATTATGTTGTTACAGGGTTAAAGGCGATCAGTTGCATTGAAATTAATTCTAAATTGTAAGTTTCATTTTTAATTTATCCTTATAATATACCTGTTCGCTGAGATCTGCAGCAGGCATGATTCGCTCGGCCAAAGTGACGCGATAATTCTCCAAGAATATTAATTTCAATTTATCGCCGACATCAGGATCATTGTTTATCTGAATATAAAAAATTAGTAATGATAAATATAAAGAAATATTTTATAAAAAAAAATATATATATAAACACTAAAATATACAATACTACTTACGGTATTGCCAACTGCACAAGCTAAGGCAATCATTTGCTTAGCGACGTAATAACCTGGGGCAGCTTTTCCTCCAATCATAACTGTTCTAGGAGTAACCACCGAAGAAGGGTCGCGCTTGATCCTGTTATACAACGTTATGACATGCAAAATATTTAACAGCTGACGTTTGTACTCATGGATACGTTTCACTTGAATATCGAACATTGATGCAGGATTAATCTTCACTCCTGTATCCCTCTCAATTAAAGATGCAAGTCTCAACTTATTTTCTTGCTTAACCTTCATAACAGCTCGCTGAAAAGTTGGGTCCTTGGCCCATCGCTTTAAACCTTGGAGCTTATCCAAATGCACAGTCCAATCTTCGCCAATTTTGTCACAAATTAAATCTGAAAGCCCAGGATTGCATAACAGTAACCAACGTCGTGGGGTGATACCGTTGGTCTTGTTCTGGAATTTCTCTGGCCACATCTCATAGAAATCGCGGAAAACAGTTGCCTTAAGGATGTCAGAATGTATGGCGGCGACCCCGTTGACAGCGTGAGACCCGACTACACACAAATTGGCCATGTTGACACGTTTCTCTCCTTCTTCCTCAATCAAAGACATACGACGCAAGCGATCCATATCGCCTGGCCAACGCTTCTCCACTTCCTGAAGATGGAGGAAGTTAATATGATAGATCAGCTGCATATGCCTTGGTAGTACATTCTCCAACATGGAGCAAGGCCATCTCTCCAAAGCTTCGGGTAAAACAGTGTGATTAGTGTATGCGCAGCATTTAACAACTAATTGCCATGCTTTTTCGTATGGCACTTTTTCAATATCAACAAGAACCCTGAGAAGCTCAGGAATAGCTAAGGCAGGATGGGTATCATTTAATTGTATGGCCACCTTGTCTGGCAAACTCTCGAATGTTTTTCTGACAGCTTCGCGGCTGCCGAACTTGGACGATTTGTACCTCCTGATAATGTCTTGGAGTGTGGCAGCACACATGAAGTACTCTTGACGAAGGCGCAACTCCTTACCCTCAAAGAAGTTGTCGTTTGGATAAAGAACTCTAGAAATATTTTCAGCGATGTTACGATCGAGTACAGCCTGAATATAGTCACCTGAGTTAACTGAAATGAAGGCAAATTTGTTAGTTAGATGACGTCTGCCTTTGCTGCGGTAGACAAAAACAATAGACACAAATAATCCGGCTAAAACAGACCTCTTTCACTTCCTCCACATTCTCAGAATTTCGTTCATTATTACAATACATTATTTATTTGATCGCCATTCATACATGTTCGTTGTACATATCTGTTTTGTAATTCTACTTTCACCTATTCCTGCCTGATGACCAAACTAACACATCATTCAAATCAATTTAAATCCTCGTGATTATATGTTTGAACTTTTCTCTGATTGCACTATTTCTTTCTTTCAATTTAATAAATAACAAAGTACTTGATTCTATTAAGACAAAACGATGAACATAAAGTAATACTTACAGAATCGTAGGTTGAAGTCAATCGGACTCTTGGCAGACCAGAGACGCAACGTATTGACTACATTGTTGTTATAACCAGGAATTGGACTGTCATACGGCATAGCGAATACCACCTGCGTATGTATTATATAAGAATTAATAAATTTAGTTTCCAGTGGAAATCTTTGAATGAACTGTAATTATCAGCTGTGATTATAAATTATTCTACGGGATCGCATCTGCGATATAAAAATGTTTGTCAATTAGAATACAGTCCACCTGTGAGCCAAATTTTACTTAAATCCGTTAAGCCGTCTACATATGATTGAGTATCAATTATCTAAAAAAATTATATCCATTTTATGATACTTGGACACATCTGCGATATAAAAATGTTTAAAAATTACCATACAGTCCACCTTTATGTCAAATTTTATTCAATTCCGTTTAGCCGTTTACATACGATTGAGTATATTTTATCAGAAAATTTTATCTTTTTTTTTAAGATTCTTAGAAATCAAGCAAACAAGATGGAAAGTGGTAATCATCGCCTATATACATGAACAGCATCATGAACACCACAGAATACACTATGATGCTTATGGCATTCTTCATGTATTGCCATTCCTGAATACTACGGTATTAAACCTTCGTACCCTGTAATTTCACTGGCATATTCCCTTCAAACCGAAACACAAGCAAATAACACGTGCTTCATGGTAAAAACACAGACGGGACAAAAGTATACATGCAGACAATAATAATCATTAGATTTCCCATTCATACAATTAGTGGATTTGTATTAATTAATGTCACGTACACTCATAGGTAGCCAACATTATGGAACTAAACAGGATTAATAAAATGCTATGCTAGTTCATTAAAGGTGTGCCTGGCATTGACCATAGTCCAAATATAGTTACGGCATGAAATCCATATGCAGACATTATCGCCATCGACTATTGCAATGTTTTCCCTTTAAATAGATTCCCAAGACGTTTCAGTGACTTATGTATTATAACTCTAAGTCCTAACTTAAGTGATAATATATGTAAGAACACGATTCTAGTGACGTCATTTAATGTAGGTCCTGTTGGTTTTAAAATAATAAAAACAAATTAGTATCTAAAATTGTTTTCTACTTGCACTATATTGTCCGAAATTTTATTTTAATCGAGTTTACGATAGACCACTGTTATCTGAACATTCATTAGTTTATAACCCTTACGACGACCTTAACTATAAATTTTTTAACCTTTGGGATAAAATTCTCCTAACTTTTTATAAATTACTGCCATTACTGTCTATAATTTTGTTTATTCAATAAGTATACAAAAATAGATAGGTATAATGACGTTATTTTGCGTAAAAGAAGAGATATGATTAGACCAGCATGCCCAGTAGTCAGGTACAGGAAGTGGACCGTAACTAGTCGGTAGTCATTACTGATCTAGGTGATCACACCGTTGGAGTATTTCCAAATAGAGTAAATTATTTTAAATATTTACTTACATAAATTTGGACCTGTTTAATGTTTACATTAATTGGGTATTAATTATAAATAGATGGGCGAAGACGTTACGAGGCCCTTTGTAACGACTTTACCAGGAATGAAACAGGATAGTTTTTAGGTGAATAGAATAAATATCCGAGTATATTAATGAGGCTGCTGGTCTTCGTTACTAACAATCCCTAGACCTAAAAAAGCTTTAACTGTTCATACAAAAGAGTAATTTTCAAAAGGGTAGATCTAAGAATTAAAAGATTTACGGCAGAGTTATGACCTCTGGGGTATGGTACCCGCGTGCCCGCGTGCCACGGGTTACGACAAGCTTGGAACGACCTTTCTTAAATTAGCTGTGGTCTGACCTCACACATGTTTATTATTTGGATAATTGGTGTGATTGTGTCAAATCCTAAATAATAATTTGTAATTAAAATGAGAAATGACGTAGCTGATAACAGTTCGTCTATCACTTTTCTGTTGAATGGTAGAATGGTGATCGATATGATTATAACGTATATAGTAGGTTATACACTGGGATGCATGACTCATGGACAATATGAATCTTGTGTGTCGCTGCAATGTTCAATGTTATAGGTGTCTTATATTGTTGCCAAGTACTTAACGTTATAAGTATGAGACAAGGACTATCGTTAAATGATGTACTTATTTAAAAATCTCTGTTTCTACTAATTCATAATAAGAATTGGGCACAGCACATAATGACTTTAAAGGTGTTTAAAGTTCTTTACGATTTTGGTGATCGATACCCGAAAAATAAGAACATTATTTGTATTATATTCATAAATATGTTTGTATTAGTCTGATTTCATTGTTTCTAATATAGTATATAAAATCTAGCAGTTTATGACTTGTCTATTAAATTGTTTATCCTAGTATCCTAGTACAAGGTCCGCTTAGCTTAGGACTAGATAGCGACGTGTAATATACATACATACATACATATCTGACACGCCTGTCTCCCATTAGGGTAGGTTGTGTAATATGTCCAAGGCTAGTGATTTCTTACTCCTTAATACTGTACATACGAATACTAAAACTTATACTAAATGTGATAACTGTTGACATTTTTATTTAATCAAGTTTAAATGACTGAACAGTGGGTATTACTCTTGCAATACATTCCAATAAATCGATATTCAAATTAAGACGTTTCGCACTCTTGAATTGCAGTACTAGCAACGTAATGGTTCCATATTGTTCTGATAGATGCATATTTGTGTAACTTTCCAAAGCAAATTATTGTAAAGCAATCCCAATTATAACTTAATTTCTAACTGTTTTTTCATGAGTGCAGTATAAAATTGTAATTGGCAATAGTTTAGATTAATATTAATATTAGATTCAAGAGGAGACCTGCTAATCTCAATAAACATTTGTGTTTATTATGAGTATATTAGATGAGCACATAGAAGACTTGTTGTCCGAATTGACATAGGCATAGCCGCGGGTCACTAGTACCGAGTCGTAAAATGTTTGTATGTGTATATGGCAACACCTATCAAACTTTTTTTTAGCTACTAATAGTGATCTTGCTTTTCCCCTTCGAAATAATTACATGTAATATGATGATAATAACGAAGAAGAGATAATGAACATACTATGAATATGGATTATTAGAATTTTTACGAATATATTACAAAAATCCTTATTTATGAAAAATCACGCATATATCTAAAAACACAAATTGAGGGAGATTTTGTACAAAAGTCGTTTGCTTGGATACCTTTATTCCATTCGTGTTTTTACCGTGAAAAAGTTGTGTTTGCATGGTTGTGTTTCGGTTTGAAGGGTGGGATACAGCAGTGAATTTACAGAGTATAGAGGAATAATACACGAGTCCTCAGGAATGTCAACGCATGGGGGGTTTCATGGGCGAAACAATATACTCTGTTATGTTCATGGTATTGCTCATGTGTATAGGCGACGGTTACCACTTTCCATCAGGTGGGCCGTCAGCTTCGATTTCCATTCTAAGTCGCATAACAAAAAACATGCGTGAAAAGGCCGTAAGACAAACCTGGGTGTCGATCCATTTCTTCCCCTCCGGTGTGTCAACAACGCGACCGTAGAAGTTAACAGGCAACATGTACTCGGGACGAGCCTTCTCCCACGGGTTGCCATAGCGCAACCAGTCATCTGGCTCTTCCTGTTGCTCTCCGTTTTCTATTTTCTGCGCGAAGATACCATATTCGTAGCGTATGCCTAGTAAAAAAAATATAATACATCGGTTTTTTTTTTTTTCATTTATCTTACCATGGATCTAGTATAGGTACTTATGATACATAACATATAATTTAGTATAAATTAAAGACATACTCGAACTCCTTTCAATTAAATCTAAGAATCTGATGTAAAAATGTATTGATGGATATTCATCCCATCCTTATAAAGCTACACCTATGACAACAAGTCAACCACAGAACATTTTTAAATAAGTTGGCAACATGTATAACAAATACACAAAATTAAACAAGACTATATATATTTGACTTAAGACTATCTTGTTTAATTTCAACATCATAAAAACATTGTTTCTTAAAATTCAAACCAAAAATAAAAACCTATTCATTTAATTGGCGTATTGCCAGTGCCAGTGTATTTTCATATCTCTTGCCTGTTTCCATCAGACAAGAAAAAGGTTATTTCTGTTGAATATAGGAACACATGGATCTGTGTGGAATGTTTCAAATGCCTACAGGGAGAACCCCAACAGTTTTCTATAGATCTACTCGAATCCAGTTGGAGACGGTGATAAAGGATACAATTGCGTCAGCAGATCGAACTGGTTTTCAAATAGTTTCTACAGGGAGAACCCCAACAGTTTTCTATAGATCTACTCGAAACTGTGCTCGACGCAAAAATTGCTAAATGCGGTGATAAAGGATACAAATTAGAAACCGTTTCATTTTTAAGTACAAGGTTCGATGACGTAATTATGCAATATAAACTAATTGAGGCATTGCAGCGAGTAATGTCAACTATTTTTGCTAGGTACAAATTATCTTCAAATAATTGAATAATATTACTTATCTCTGTCTACACCTAAAGAAATGTGGTTTAAAGATAAATGTTTTTTTTTTCCTGAAATTCAATAAGTAAACATTTGACTTAAATATTTCCTAACTAAACTAAAACTAAAAAAGCATAATATCACTTTCATATCAAAATCACATTTATTTGTGTTAAATATAATTAGATATTTATATAACCATATGATCCATGTATGACAACTATGATACAATTGTACAATGGTACAACCAACAAAAATATTTTTAAGTAAAATAAAATGATATTTAATATACAATAAAAAATAACATACCATAACCATAAGCAGCTAATCCAAGAGTGGCCATTGAGTCAAGAAAGCAGGCTGCAAGTCTGCCAAGTCCTCCATTACCAAGACCGGCATCTTCTTCCAATTCTTCTAGTTCTTCAATATCTAAACCCAATTGGTACAGTGCTTCATCAACAGTACCTTGGATGCCAAGGTTAATCATGGTGTTCTGGAGCGAACGCCCCATGTAATACTCCAAGGAAAGATAATAAACACGCTGCCAAAAAAGGATTACAATTTTATTACACATAATATTCTTTTGAAAATTTCACTATATTTCTCTATCTTTAAAGTTACAATTCCATTACAAGATCAGGATTACAAAAAATCCTTATTACTCCAACCAGTATATACTATATGATTAATTGATATAAGTCAAAACTATGTATAATTTAGATATTAAAATTCTGTAAGATAATATTTTTGAATAAATTCAATTATAATTTTAGAGATATGATTTTAAAATAGCGCCTTTGAATAGACCCCATAAGGAATTTATTTATTCCTATTTTTGTTGAAGTTTCTATTGACCTATTTGACCTTGACAGACAAGAGGTGTCTGAGTGATTGTTCTACAATAGCAAGTAGCATTGTCAAGGACCAAATACTGATAATGTGCTTGGTATCATAACCAGGTCAGAATAGAAATGCATTTATAAGAATAAATTGAACTTAGAATTTGTTTTAATGCTACATAATTTTTAGCATTATTAAAAAACATATACCAATTAATTATATTGTGGTAAATTAACAGAATTAGTTTTATTTATAATCAAGATGTTATGAGTATTACTGTATTTTACTAATATATACCTACAGATCTGTGTCTATAGTCAGTTTAATTCTTAACCACCAGATAATCTTAAATCTCTACTTAATATGGAATTAGAAGAACATATTTAACAGACTGAAATTTATTTTGATTATTATTGAGTGAGACTCGATGACATTCAATCCAGCACAGTTTTACAATTACATTTTCTACTAATGAGATTCATTGTCATTGATGAAAAAAAAAGAGATTGCTCATCTTCCTTTTTTACTAATGTTTTAGTTTATCTTGTTTTAATGCTTTATATAACATAATTTAATTTAAAAATATATAAATGAAAATGCAATAAAATAAGTATAGAACAAATATTAGGAACTTTTATAGTAGTGTGTTTATTTTAAAATTTAGGTAGATATATTTAATTTGTACAGTATCACTCATTGAATATAATTTAAACAATAAAGATGCTAAATGGTTATGTATATAATGAAAAAAAAATTAACATTGTAACTTTTATGAATTATATTAATCAGATAAACACTTTATTTAGAAGATTAACAATGGTTAATTCATAAAATATCTATCTGATAAGATAAATGTCCTACCAAATACTATTTCAAAAATGTGTTTATATGTTATAATAATATTCTTATATTACAGAATGAAATTAGATGTTGTCTATTTATAGTTGACCCCATTGAACAATGACAATTTTATAAATTAAAAAAAGAGCAATTATTTCATTTTTCAAAAGTAGATAATAGTGCTCAGGTATGACAAGATATGAAGGATATCACGGGCAACATAGTAAACTCTGTTATATCCATGTTACTGTTTATGTCTATAGGGGATAGTTCCCATTTTTCATCTTGTGGACTGTCAGCTTGTTTAACATCAAGTTATATGAAAAAACTAAAAAAAGGAATAGTCATAATAATAATTTACTTTTAATATTTATTTTTATCCATGATATGATGGTAAGCCACTTTAAAATGAAATAAACCTTTTAAACAACATGCAAAACAAATGTTATATTCATTACAATTATAACAGTAAAGAAAACCCTTCAATACCTTATATACTGGGATTAATAATGGTTTATTTACTTAATAATTTATTAAAATATAAATTTAAAGAGTAAATAGTTGTTGAGTAAATGTAAACAGAAAGTTTATTTCATGTGTTATTCTGTTTAAAAGTAAACGTTTATAAAATCAATTACCTTTGGATCCTTTTCATAATAGTATTGTTGAGTACGAATCCACCGGGAAACAAGGTGATCCCTGACTGTGTGAGCCAATGCAAAATAATAATCTCTCGGAGTCGCAACATTTCTATCTTTCACCAGCGTGTAATGTACATGCCGATTAAAAGCCTTCTTTACTTCCGCTACATTTTCTACAGCAACAATACCTCTAACCGAAATTTGTTTACGTTTATCAGAATCCGTTTGTACGCTCATTTTGCCTAAATAATAGTCAAACAGAACAAGACCGGACCGTGCACAAACAATACTAACAAATGTGAAGTACTGACTGAACAGCTGCGTATCGGTCACCTTGAGAAGGTCAAATCATATTAAAGAAAGAAATGTATCCGACAATAGTGTTCTTTAAATACGCCGATTTGCTAATATTAAGTATATTAAGAAATATTTGTCCAATTGTGACAATCAAACTGAACACTTCTGAAGTTACAGGAATTTAGATTTCTAATAATTAAAAATTTATAATATTGAGAATGGCAGTAGTAAACAAAAATATATATACAAAGGATAACAGTGTACACTTCATAGAAACTATGTAAAATTACTTGGTCAGGAATATCTCACCAATCTACACAAAAAATCTTGCTTTCTCCTTAGTTTGGCCAGCCTGATATTCAAAATGGAAACGAATAGGTTATAATTATATTATAGTTTGATAGTATTGTAGAAACGCGAAACATGTAATAAAAGAAATATATATGGTATATTTTATGTTAAATTGCATGTTTCGACGAACATTATTAGCAAAAATAAAACAAAAGATATCATTCTTAAATATATTTATTATTTTATTCAATAATACATTGATCTCTCAATTTCGTAATATTATTGCTGTGGAGTCTGGGCAATAAAAATGAGGATTTTCGACTTGATGACCGTTTATTTCGTGCTTATTTGAATTAAACAATAAATTATACCTGAATGTTGTGTAAGTTTGTTCTACCATTTTTCGTTCGCCCTTCTCGCATCTTTCCGTCTCATTCATATATTCAGCCCGGGAAGGGGTTTTAATCAAACGAAACGATTAGTTTGATTCATACTAATCGTTTAGAATTTATTCCATATTTATATTAAACACAAGTTTTTAACATTTCTGGAATATCTAGAATATATATAATCATAATTTCTAAAGTAGATCTCGTAATAGAGTCAATATTAATTATTTATAGTCGTAATTCCCACAAAAAAAAAAGAAGAAATATCAAATACAAAGCTAAAACTGTTCCACAAATAGTTTAGATGGCAGCCATTTGCATCCTACTTGACAGTATTTTTGTTAGTTAAGTTGGCACTATTGTGATTTCATCATTTAATTAAATATTGGCATGATGTTTTCTGACCAACTCCATAGATTAAAAGCTAGTACGGAAATCGGGCAAGACTGGTAGTAAAAAAAAAACAGCAGTTTCTTTATCTATTCCAATTTTAGTATATGTATCGCCGAATTAATTACAGTTCGATATTCGATAAACTTAAATATCACTGTCACGAAGCGTCAGGTCAGATTTTTAACATTGATAAAGACTGATTGTAAGGTTGCTGTTATACCTACCTAAGATTCCATTATAGCTTCTTTTATTTCTCATAATAACATCAAACTGTAACTATCACTAATATCAAATTCCTTTCTGTTCCTTTTTGATACCCTGTCTCATTTCATGTTTATTAAAGGCATAATAGGCAACATAATACCTTGGCATGTTTAAAAAAACCAGTTGTGATGGGTAGTAAAAAATTGCACATTATTTGTTATGAAACTGAATTTTCAGTATCTTTGGTACTACAGTACTATTTATTTTACCTAAAAGCGATGTAAAGATCTCCATATACACATAGATAATTCATCTGAATCAACTATTGAACAAATGTTATTGTTGCATATGTATAACAATTTAGGAACTAGCGCCAAACCCAAAGACTGAGCAATACCGTAAGATTGCATAAGTAAAGCATCCAGTACGGCAGCCAGGAGAAAAGGTATTGTTAGTAATGCGGACTACCAGTTCCATTGCTAGCAATATACCCTGTCAGTTCGACCTTCACGTGGAAATCATCGTGCTATTCCAGCTGTATTCGTCACAGGCTCACAAGCGGTATCGAATCCTTGAGTCTTAAGAGAAATTTTGCCTCACTCTGCGTGTTCTACCACCTGTACAATGGATTGTGCTCAGAGGAATTGTTCAATATGATGCCCACAGCTACTTTCTACCATCGTACGGCTCGCCATCGACAGGGAGTTCATCCTCATGTCCTATAGCGTCAATGGTCGCGTACTGCGCGGTTTCAGAAATGTTTCCTCCCACGAACACTCAGGTTGTGGAATGAGCTCCCTGCCGAGGTTTTCCCAAGAGACTACAGCATGGGGTCTTTCAAAGGGGGGATAAAGAGGTTTCTTCAGGGTCGGCAACGCACGCGTAATATCTCTGGTATTGCAGGTGTTCATAGGCTACGGTAACTACTTACCATAAGGTGGGCCGTATGCTTGTTTGCCACCTCAGTGGTATATAAAAAAACATGATGGGTTAACGAACCTGCTTTTTTATTCTCACTTATCATCCTTTACTGATGCCCGTGTGGGGAAGGAATTGTTAGAGATGGGGAGGTTTATCCTCATTACGAATTAAACGATAATTATCGTTTAATACGTCGTTACCAAAGAAACAGATCCGAAAACAAAAAAAAAAAAATTGAGTTACCAGGTGCCTAGGTTTCTAAAATCAAATAAACAGTAACAAATAATGGTTTACATAGCCATTTGCAGAGCGACAAAGGAATTAATATTATTATTAATCAGTATTATTTATTTTCAGTTGATAGCTACGGGCGCTATTTTTCAGGGGAAAGTGCATCTAATCCATTCAGTAAGTGATTAAAAGTAATTATGCTACGTAATACCCAGAGATTTGTATAATATACTAGGTAGTAATACGATTATTTTTGAAAATAATCAATTTGTCAGAAAGATCTCGTCAATCGATAATTAACTCGTAGGTATTACAAATTATCTATACTTATAATAAAGCTGTAGAGAAATCAATTCTGTACATAAAATATTATATATTTCCAAAAATAACTATCAGGGGATGATTAGTGATCGATACTGATGCCAAAAATGCAATCAGTAAATTTTTTGTCTGTCTGTCTGTATGTTCGTTATAGAAACAAAAACTACTCAACAGATTTTAACGAAACTTGGTACACAACAATTATTCTTCATACTCCTGGGCAGGTTATAGTATACTTTTCATCACGCTACGATCAATAGGAGCAGAACAGTGAAGGGAAATGTTAACGCTAGTTAATAATAAGGGAGAGACACAGATAACATTTTGTTTTAGAAACCAGATAAATAATAGAATGATGACATAGTCTCTCTAATCTACGATAATAACGACCTTCGTGGTGCAATGGCAGGAACGGTGCATGTTGGTTTGTGTAAATTAGATATGGGGTTCAATACTTGGCCGTATTAGAAAACGAACTTTATAAAATTGGCTCGATCTAGAGATACCGGTTTGTATCCCGGATGTTAACCCTTTTAGTGCCATTGATTTTTACTCATATCTACTTAAAAATGCCAAAGAAATCTTTGTCGTGTTGCTGTCATTTACCCTTGTTTCTAAAAAAACTGTATCTCCAAAAATTATCCAATTTTAATATTTTTTTTTACAGCAAGCTAAACAGCGACTAATTTCACGAGCGCTGTGACGCTCGTGGCACTTTTAGTTGCGATGCGCACGAGCGCAATGGCGCTCGTCGGCACTCAAAGGGTTAAATGTCTGGTTTCTTGTTATATTTTCCAAAATATAGATTATCTTAGGCTACAGGACCATGTAACTGGTGTAATTAATTTATTTTAATAATATGAAGACTCAAATTGACATTATCTTTATTAGTAAAGTATAAAATTAATATTGTAAATAGCTTTTTTTATATTAAACATAACAATTTAAGGTACATTATTGTGATAATCACAAAACAGTAAAGTATACCATTAAGATATCTACTTAATATAAGTACTTATACAAAAATGTTAAAAGTAAAATAACTTATTTAATAAAACGAAAATAGTCAAAAATTAAAACTATGAGAGAGTACATTTTGGTTTGAATAAAAATTGTATTATTATTGTACAGATTCAAATTTTACATATATACCTAATATTCTCTTTTTAATTTCATATAAGTAGTGGCAGTTATATTGGATTATAGTTTCAAACGAAGCTTCTCTCAAACTGAGATGAATTGAGGGCATGATGTTATTTGCTTATGCCGATTGTGTCTTATTAGTCTTTCTAATAGTAATATAAAATTCGGAGTTTTATGAAAGTTGAATATTACATCATTTTACACTTGAGTAAGCAATAATAGTCACTTCAATATGACGACTAATAAGTGTACAAGCGAATCATGTGAAGTCATGTCCTGTATAGGTATGCTCTAAGTTGATTGTGAGTGCTTATAATTATGCAATAGTAAAAACATACCTACTTATTATTTGTCAAACAGATTAAGGCGCAAATACATTGATAGCCATCAAAATTGAAGCTAAATCGTTACTGCCATACGGCAATTAAGTAATAACATGTTGACAGCAATAGACACTGCCGTTCATGGACGGGCGTTATCACCAATAGGTGAGCTCGTGGAGGGGCATATATATATTTGTTGTGGGTACAAGTCCCCACGCAGTCTCACAGCTTTGGCACCGGCAGGAGAGGCACGATACTCTAGTTCACCTATAAGTACATCGTCGGCATACACTGACCACTCGTTCGCTCCTCGAATGATGCGGAACGTAGTCTGAAAAATATTTGTACATTGAGTCCGTAAATACACATAAATTATTAATTAACGTATTTTTAGACATTCTGAATATTTTTTTTATGATTTGGTCTTGGGATGGCAAACAAGCCGATGGCCTATTTAATGGGCAGTCATAAATATTTCTTAAAAATAAACATTTTAGTATGTCAATTTAGTATTAAATACTCACAAATTGTGCGGGGATGAGTCGCGCCGTCCTTTGGCGTCGCTCGGGCCCCCATGCTCCAAGCCAAGCATTGAGCACGACGAGCTGGCGGTCGCGCTGTGCGTGATCGTGCGCACGAAGGTTGGTGTGCAAGAGCACGTTGGGGCGTGGCCACTCGCGCGCCACATCCACCAGATCGATGGCGAATGAGTGCAGCATTGGACGCAATCTGGAGTGATATTAGGATCTACTCACTTATTCAGTATCATATATTTCCGAGAACTAGGATGTTATGCATCTCATCTGATATAAAATAATATATTACAATAACAATAAACATGCCATTATTTACTAGTATATTACATTACCTGTGCTATATTAATATTAGAAGAGGGAAGATTTGATATAACGGATAAAAACAAAAACTACTCGACCGATTTTAAAAATTGTTTCACTTATAAAAAGTTGCCCTCAAATCTATATCCAAATCTCAAATCTATAATAAATTGTATTCCAGGTACTCGGTAATAATATAATAACTACATATATACACACACACATGTAAGTTCTAAATATATTTTTTGTAAACACAAATGTATATAGAAAAAACTCCCAGAACAATACATAAGAAAAATACTGTATGAGCAATGTGCAAATAATACAGTCGTAGCATTAGTTAATTTACATATTCTCAATTCTCACACATCATTTCATTATTGAAAATCAGTTAGTACTCTGTAAGCAAGAACACCACGAATATTTATTTATTGTTCATTATAATTTTCCTAACAATAATTTATGCGTAGAGTTATAATTTATTAACATCTTAATTTTTGTATACTCCAAACATTGATCCTTCGAGCCGGATCTGAACCAGTGACCTATGGATACTACCTAAATATATTTGCATTACAGAGGGATCAACCTCGTACCTATCCTACCTGTACCTGTTCTAAAAAAGTAGTGTTAGAGATTTTTAAATACTATTACTTGAATCGGAGTCTGTTATAAAATAAATTTAAATAATTGAATTTTATGTCTACTTACAAATAAAGTAAAAAAATATTAAAATCTATTACTTACTTTCCGCGAATAACAATTTGATGACCCTCGGGTATTCCTTTAGTTAAGGCAGCGATTATATTCGGCCTCCAATTCGGCTCGATACCCTCAACTGGCGCGTCCAAGGATACTCTAAAAGGCACCTGAAAAGGTTATCATTTTAATTAGTCAGTGGTATTTTTGTAGCAAAATGAATCTAGTAGCAAAATATATCCAACTCTTTACCTAAATTAGCTTCTTCCCGTTAAAACGTTTTAACTTCGCGTGACCGGGATAAATAGTAGCCTATGCCCTATGCCGTGTCCTATGGAATAAAGAAGGCTCTATCCCATATAGAAAGTTTATATTGGTAAACGCTGGTGAGAATAGGTTATATTGCTAATAATGGGGCTGTTAAATCCTAATACTAACAGTTTCTTTCCCCGGCAGAAAGATACTGGCGTACTATTACTACACTAGCCAGGCAACTTGTTATGAAATAGCCTTTTAATTCCAGCTCCAATTTACTCACTTGTATTTGTTTACTTATTATATTTGGAGGGAGAAGGATTGTTAGTAATGGGGTCGGTAATCCTCATTGCTAGCAATACACCTTGTCAGGCCAACCTCCACGCGATTTTCCATGGAAACCATCGTGTTTTATTCTTATATAATTCGTCACCAATGGGCCAATTGACCTGGTTTCATTCTCATCTATCGCTGTTCACTGGTGCCCCCTTAGCGATTGCCGATAGCGCAGGCGGGGTTACTATTATATTATTATCCATTAAAATACCTATTGTGCTTTGTACCTTTAGTCGCATATTTCTTTTTTAATGGATGAAAATGGATTGGTACCCCGCCCGCGCTATTGGTATACACCGACGAGGCACCAGTGGAAGATGATAGGTGAGAATGAATGCAGGTTAGTTGGCCCACCATGATGAATTCGACAAGAATTAAACATGATGGTTTCCAGGGGGAACCACGTGGAGGTCAACCTGAGAGGGTATATTGCCAGTAATGGGGCTATTAGACCCCATTACTAACAATCCCTTTATTAGCACATTCTAGGTTTTACCAGAGGGAGACTTTGTACAAAAGTCGATTGCTTGGGTACCTCTGTCCCATTCGTGTTTCAACCGTGAAGCAGTTGTGTTTGCATGGCTGTGTTTCGGTTTGAAGGGTGGGATATGGCGTGAATTTACTGGGTACAGAGGAATAACACCTGAGTCCTCAGGAATGGCAACGCATGGGGGGTATCATGGGCGAAACAGTATACTCTGTTATGTCCATGGTACTGCTCATGTCTATAGGCGACGGATACCACTTTCCATCAGGTGGGCCGTCAGCTTGTTTGCCATTCTAAGTTCTATAAAAAAAAAAAAAAAAACATTCTAGGTTATAAAAGTTATTATATTTTCATTCGGCCACTACACAGAAAAGATTGATGCTTGGAGCACAAAATAAGCTTTCATACCTCTGCAGGTGGCGGTGCTAAGGTGGGGTATATTTCAGTCTTATTGATGTTTAATGCAGCATCTCGAACGCCTGTTACTTGGACCCATACGGCTGCTAGTGCACTAGGGTTCCTGTGCGCAAAACTGCAATAATGTTCTCCGTCAACTGCCCACAAAGTTTCTTTTTCGTCAACTACTACTTCTATTGTGAACGGACGATCTAGTTTGAAAGGAAATATTCTGAAATAAAGTTAAATAGAAATTAAAAGCAGTAGACAATATTAAATTATGAATTTCGTAGAATTCGCTATCAGGAACTCGTATAAATTTACTGAGAAACTGGTAATTATCATAGGATATCCAATCTCTAAAATATGAAGATCCTTATTCTTTCTAATATCATAAATATGAAAGTATGTTTGTTTTTTATTTCTTTGTGCCCTCTTGGCTACTTTTATCCCGGTTAATCGACATATACTGGTTACGCAAAGAAGTCACGGGAGAAAGTAAGTAAAAAATGTTGTTAATTTATTAATATATTTTTAATTTTAAATAGTGGCCTGTAAATATCCCTCGAAATCATTACATACATATTTAATATATAAAATAAAATTTAAATATAAAAGAAAATTTTGCTGTTTGTTGAATTGGGGGTTTGGATTGTCTAATTTATCAAACTGGGTTTTGCAAATCCGAAATTGGGGTGCTTACAGGGCAAAGATTTAACATATACCTAAACGCCGTGGTTTCCTCAGGTCCCCATTTGTTTCGGTAACGTGTATTTCTGACAACGTAGCATTGTGGAAGGCGAACATTGAAGTGAACAGCTATGTCACTCTGGACAGAGTCAACGTCTCCACAACCAATGTTCACTGCAAACCTGTTGATGGATTATTATAGATATATTTTTTAAATTATAAATAACAGTTTTTTTCCAGAGTAAAGTTATTCTAGGTTAATTTTAGGTAGGTTGAAGTACATTTTTTTGTGGATTCTTAAACTAAAATTAAAAATATAGATATATATTAACCATGGCAGATCTTCGCTTAGTGTTCCAGTGCAAACAATGTGTGATCCAATGGATAACGGCTCACTCAGTTTCTGGGTAAACTTCACATCACGAGCTTCTGCCAATTGCGTCTGAAACATCCAGGGAATATTAGAGATTTTTATGTAATAAGGGTTTTTTTTTTAAAATTGCAGTAATTTTTTGTCATACGACATCATCTATTCAATCTCTTTTACTCGGTCGCTAGTTTTTTTTGTGGTATGAAAATGGAATGGTAGCTGCCTGCGGTATTGATATGCTCAGGCGGGATGTCGACGAGTGATGAAATCAGGTCAATTGACCTGCAGTGGTTTCTAAGGATCATGTAGAGGTCAATCACCTATATCAGGACTATAATCTCTGTTACTAACAAACATTTCCCTTTGCTTTTAGATATTAGTCGTGTGTGCGTATTTTCATTGTTTCGATTCCTGATTCTGTTATTTAACCAGGAGTAGGCACCTATATTTAGATTTGATATTTTACTGGCCCAGTATACACATAGGTAAGGCGGCCAGACCGAGTTTCATAATCGATAGTGTAAGAGCAAATTGATTTGAAATAAGAATAGTGTTGGCGTGATAAAACGCGTTTCATTTTGCTCCAAGAAATACAGCGACTTCATTCGCGTCGAACCACAAACTAGCTTTTACCCGCAACTTTGTCTGTGAAACAGGAATATGTTCAGTGACCAGGAAAAAGTAGTTTTCTCCATCTCATACAATATTTTACACCAAATTTCAGAATGATTGGTTAAGGCGCCTATTGGTTTGTTACCTAATGAAACAAACAAATAAACTCACTTTTACATTTATAATATTAATAATGACGATATTTTAGATAATACATTGAAAAGAGTTGATTTTAAAAGAAATAATCTGCTCGAAGAGAAGAGGCGAATTTTACTTGATTTTGAGAAGCGATTTTTGTTTTGAAAAAATGGATGGTTTTAATCGTTACAAAATTTATATGGGATCAACACGAAAGTAAACCCTGTATTTAATAATAATTATCAAAATGGCTACATTAGCGAGTAACATAACTATACAGATGAATTGAGAATCTTTTTGGAAGACGGTTGAAAATGAGAATGAAGATACCTATCTTCATTCTCATTTTCACTAATCTTTGATGGGTATAAGATGTCCAGCACAAGAGTCTAGATAACTATCTAGATTCTTTACAAATGATCAACTGACCAAGATTGTACCTGTATTTTTTTTTGATGGGTGAAAATGGTATAGCAACCTCGCCTGCGCTGAGATACGCTTGCGGAGCATCAGTGAAGGGTGATCGATGAGAATAAAAACAGGCCAGTTAGCCCATCATGATGAATTCATCAGGAATTAACCATGATAGTTTCCAGGGAGAAACGCGAGGAGGTCGACCTGGTTGGATATATTGCTAGCAATGGGATTCTCAATCTCCATTACTAACGATCTCTTTCCCCCATTGTGTATTTGTGAACTGCTAGTAAAAGAAGTAGAAGGTGCTCAGAATCAGACGAGATGTAATTAAATAATTATACGTAAGAATATAAGCTTAAGCATTCCCCATAAGAGATCTGGCATGAAAATAAATAGAATCTAACAAAATCAATCAGCATTTCACTGCACGAATTCCTTTGACCGTTTTAATAGAACATGAGGTCATCTTTTATGATTGATGTTGCAACAAAGTGGCACCTGCCTTCCCGTGTGTAGAATATAAATGTACTGTCATATGTACCTTATAACTTATAAACCAAACTGCCTAATTTAAGTATAGAGCTCAGCATGAATATTGTATTGAATGACAAATTGGATATGACATGAGTCATAATAAGAATTAGATGTAAAATGGCCAAAGGAGCGTCCGAAACGCATTATTAAGGTTCCGTAGGTGCGGAGACAAACTTTATGTATAAACTGTTTAAATACAAATTGTTATAATAAAACTGCAGTTAAATACATAGATATGTATATTACGTAATGTATTGGAGATTCTTCCATAAATCTATTTACATATGCTATAACTACTAAAGCTCTATTACGAGTATGCCGACGTAAAAAGGTCGCGTGTCGAAAACCATCAACAGTTCACCCAACAACGCCTATTCTTGAGTAATTCTTGTTAAATCAATACTACGCGGAATTACAAATTTTCGTATGTATAGGTAAAGTACAGTATGAGGACCTAGATGCATTTAAAATGGACTGGCTTGAGGTGGTGCAGAACAGGAAGTTTTTGAAGGAGACCTTTACCTAAAAGTGGGACAGCATGGGTTAATTATAGAATCGATAAGTAAGATACATGGGAAACCCGGTTAGTTTCATACAAACAGAAGTACAATTTACCCATTCTCAATGTCCGACAAAGCAATTAGACGTGTAATCAAAGTTTCTTGTTTAACACACCGCTAATATATTATCTAGCGCAAGTTAGCTATACCTACCTACTAACACAACCTTGCTGTGGTCCAGATGATATAATAGTTGTAGATATCTAAGCCAGTAGACTAAAATAGATACCTACTTTTAATCACATCTCATGTTGTTTAATATGAAAACGCGGAAATTGTTGATTTGACTGGGTTTCTCGCTACTGCTACCTACTTCGAAGTAGCAATGACATCAGACGAACTTGGCTTTCGTTCTGAAAATAAAATACGTCGGTGGACTGTATATTGGATGAAATCATAATAACGCAAAACGCAAACTACCTAGTTATATGTATTTACTTATTCACTACTTGTAAGGCGAGAGCCCAATAGAGTTGTCAACTTTTTTATTAACCTGAAAAGACAACCTTAAAAATATGAGATTCTCACAAGATACACAATCTTCACTGTATTTTTTAGATTCTGTTTTATTTAAAGCAATATTTTCTTACAGACTACTGCAAAAAACAACAAAACATTTATGTTTTAACATGTAACATCCATCAGGATTTTCGTAAATACGAGATATACTCTCGAGTATATATCTCCCGGTAGAACATTGAAATTTATATAGGAAATACGCCCATATTACTATATATATATATATATATATATATATATATATATATATATATATATATATATATATATATATCCCGTGAAAACGTTAAAGCCTAATAAGTTTTTGCTCTGCAACTCATTGTCAAACAAGCACGCGGCCCGTCTGATGGTAAATGGGGTTACAGTTATGGACACATGTAACAAGATAGATTTCACGCACGTGTTAAATTTCGATGAAACCTCATTCAGTGGCGGACTAACCCGTCACAGGCCCATCGCGGCAAAGCTGAATAAGACCCTTAGTTTAAGAATACGATGAAATTTTACGTATTTTCTATTCAGTACACATTTGTATGTATAAGTGTTTATATTTATTTAGTTAAAATGTTGCATGTAAAATGTAAATAAGACGTAAATAAACATACGTAGAATAAGGATATTGATAAGGAAAATGAAGGCTTTGGCCCCCAGGATTAGAGGCCCGGGGCAAGCCGCCCTTTCCGTCCTCCTCTTAGTTCACCATTGACTTTATTACGACCCTTTTTTAAGAACCTCATATTGTAGTCTCTAGGGGGAATCTTATAAATTATAACCAATATATACAACGACTAAAGCTATTAATTGTGAAAAAAATTAATAAACTCGGTGCCGAATTAACAAATATATCTTTACACACAAAAAATAGGTATTGATAATATGATACTGATATATATTGATATATTGTCGTCTTTTCTGAAGTCGGAAAATGGTAACCAATTTTGATAGTTACTACTTTGTTGATTCTGACAAAAACGATCCTTTATTTATTAATACGAATACATAGCGATCCGCTACTGGTACTTATAAATTTTATTTAAAATAATATAGATTCTATGTTACTCGTTGACAATGCAGCTTTCTATAGGTGAAAGATGTTTAAAATTGGTTAAGAACTTTTGGAGTTTTTTTATTATAAACAAAAAATAAAACCTTTCCTTTTTATTCTAAATACTAGCAACTCGCCCCGGCTTCGCAAGGGTGCAAGATTTATTTGTATCTCTTTTAGACTGTTCAACACATTTTAGTAAGGCTGGTATTTTGTCGTATGTTATTGTACTGCACCATTATGATTTAAAAATGGAAGAACATCTAAACTCAGAAAATTTAACTCTTTATAATATTAGTGTAGATTAGTTTAGATGTAGTCGTGCTAGGTATTGCTAACTAAAATTCAAAATTAAAAAAAAATCTCTGATACATTATTGAAACTAATTTAATAATAATTCGTAGAGACTGATTGAAACACTAATAACCTGTACAAATATTATTTATTACCCCTAGATAAGTCACACACGAGTCCAACTTCGGAATAAGACGCTGGCAGGGTTGCTGGATTTTTACCTAAACATTAAATATTTTTTTCTCCAAATTGATGTGTTATTATATAATTTTTTACCTTCGTTCATATATACGTTTATACTGTTTACAAATGTTAAAACTTTAAAAAAATACCCAAAATTCTCCAAAAATATTTTACTTTCTCCAAATTTTTTTCTAAAATTCGCAATAATTTTTTTTAATAATTTACACTAAATTGCAAGATTAAAAACCCAACCTGGCAACGCTGGATGCTGGGCCTAGTATTTTTTGTGTTGGACGGCGTTGTCCCGTTTTACTCCATGCACGCGGTAGCTATAATATATCTAACGATACATTTATCACTTGTTTAAGGGGTCAGACCTTTATAGGTTGATTTAATTGATACTAGGTGTGAACTAGCCGCGCCTGATGTAATTTGTCGATTGACTCATGACCTAGAAAATATAGAATACAAAAAGGACAACTATCCTTATTATTGTAAATGCACTTTATACGATAAGAAAGAGATTGTTAATAGTATGGTATAACAGCCCTATTGCTAGCAATATACCAGATCTGGTCGACCTCTACGTGATTCCCCCTGAAACATCGTGATTAATTCTTGTCGAATTCTTCACGACGGGCAAACTGACCTGTCTTTATTCTCTCTCTCACTGGTACCTCGAAAATGTAGGCGGGGTTACCATTTTATTTTTAGCCATTAAAAAGAATGTATTTTATAAGTTTAATAATTGAAAATATTTATTTTAATGGGTGAGTGAATTTATCGGTATATATTGGCGCGGAAGTGAGAGATGATAGCTAATGATAAAAGCAGGTTAGTTAGCTCACGTTGAATTCCACATCGTGATGAGTTAATTCTTAACCACGATGTTTCCCATGGGGAGCCGCTAATATATATAATGAAACTAAGTTTACTGCAAACCTATTTTTGCACAGTTTGATCCGCTAAAAATCTAACTCTGTTCCCAAATTTATCAACAGAAACAGTAGGTACCTAACTTGGTGGGTTAAAAATAAATAATCCACATACATAAGATGAAGGATCGTCCTGAGTTCAATGTCAAGCAGATAGGCAAGCAAGATGGAGCAAGTTTTATTATTTTCAATCAACTTTAAAAAGGAGGAAATTCTTATTTCAACTGTATTTTTTCTGTACTTATATAGTACACAAGCATTACTTTTGCCAATTATAATTTCATTTGATGATATTAATTGGAAAGGTAAATCTGTATCCTTGACTCACGTCTCAGTTCCTTATATTTTTTCACAACTGAAGTCAGTAAGTACGTATGTTTAGAAAAAGCTTGAACTTTTTATTATTTATTACATGAAAGAAAAAAGACTTAAATATAATAAAATAAATTACTTATTATGTATTCCATGCTCAGAAGCTGCATCTTTTGTTAGGTATGTAAATAGGCACGTTATATAAATGAAAATCCTTAAGATGTTCATCAATCCATCAACATGCTATAAATATGTCCATGTATTATATTTTTATTATTTTTTTCTTAATATGAGTTATATTTGAATACTTAAGTATATAATATGACACAGTGAGCGAGAAAATTATAAAAAAAAAAAATACTGTATAATTTTGACGTTACGAAATTAAATTTAAAGTACGTAACTGAGGTATATTATAAATATAGTTCTTATTAGTCCTTGGAATAAAGATTTCACTGTAATAATAAATTGAAGTTTTATTTTTAGAGATACGTAGAGGCTGGTGCTTTTAAATTTACTAATGGTTTTTAATATTATAGGGTCACGAATGGTTCTTCATTACAGTTCTATATTACTGACATAACGAGTACTTTGGATCTACTTTGACCCTGAAATCTTTGAAGTCAAAGTGCGTTGCTATCGGTATACAATACGCAGTGGTATATATATGGTAGGATTATATTTTTATTTTTTGAATCATATTTAAAAATTAGTTTAAATGTATAGATTATTAGTTGTGATACTATTTTCTAAGTTAGTTATTTACATACATACATACATATCTGTAGACCTCATTCGCTTCTTCCACATTCATCAATCTTGTACGCTCGTCGGTTACGGGTACTTTTAATTTGGCCCTTCTTCAGCACGTCGCCTATTTGGTCGACATACGTCCGTCTAGGGCGGCCCCTACCGACATCTCCATTCATTCTTGTTAAGTTAGTTATTTATTTTTAGTTCAATTTGTTTTATATATTACGAGTACTGTTTGAGTTTCAAGATACTCATCGTTTGTGCAGGCCTTTGTCTTATATATAATACATATACTGTAATTAAGTAATCCTAAGATTTACTTCATTAAGATACAAGATAAAAATCTTATCGCTAACGTGATAATTAAAAATAAATCTACTATTAGTAGTATAACTGAGGTAGGTAGTTAGTTACTTATCCAGCTACTTGTAGTTAACTATGCTGCTACAATTATTATCGAAACTCAAAAATAAGCATACAAACCACTTATATTTTTTTCTACGTATTTCTACTAAAATAAGCAAGTGAAATATTAAAAAGTGAATATTTGATAAGTTTTCAATTATACTTAAACGGCTGAATGGATTCGTTTAAAATTTGGTACACAGACAATTCTAGCTAAAAATATATTTTATTCAAATTAAATTTCAGCTAATTATAACTAAAATAGAACTCTCCGTATGGGGGAGACCTATATTAGTAGTGACAAATTTTTAATGGGTGAAAATGGAATGGTAACCTCGCCCGCGCTATCGGTATACATCGAAGAGGTACCAGTGGAAGATAATAGTTGAGAATAAATGCAGGTCAGTTGGCCCACCGTAACGAATTTAACAATTAATCAATCACGATGGTTTCCAGGGGGAACCACGTGGAGGTCGACCTGAGAGGGTATATTGCTAGCAACGGGGTTATTAGACTTCATTAGTAACAATCCCTTTCCCCCAGTAGTGGCTAGTAGACAGTTAAAGGCTGATATGATGATGATAACTAAAATAAATTTCAACACATTTTTTTTTTAATGGATGATAATGGAATGGTAACCCCGCCTGTGCTATCGGTATACACTGTAGGGGCACCAGTGAGAGATCATAGGTGAAGATGAAGCAGGTCAGTTAGCCCACCGTGATGAATCTAACAATTAATCAATCACGATGGTTTCCAGGGGCAACCACGTGGATACAACCTGATAACAATGGGGGGAAGGGATTGTTAGCAATGGAGTTTGACAGCCTCATTAGCTCAGCAATATGCCCTATCAGGTCAACCTCCGCGTGGTTCCCCCTGGAAACCATCGCGAACAATTCTCGTTAAATTCGTCACGATGGGCTAATTGACCTGTTTCATCCTCGTCTATCATCCTTCACTGGTGCCCTATCAGCGTATACCGATAGCGCGGGTGGGGTTACTATTTCATTATCACCTATAAAAAAAAACCTGATAACAATTGTTAACAATCCCTTTCCCCCAAACAACCATTGTTAACAATCCCTTTCCCCCATTCAACCGAATTGAATACCCCTTTCTTTTTGAAGTCAATTGATTATAGTGGTTCAGTCAGCACATTTGCTTGTTACTTTATCTTTTCGAAAGATTATACTTTAATTGTTCCAACCTTAAAACAGTTGTGTTTGCATGACTGTATTTTGGTTTGAAGGGTGAGATATGGCAGTAAATTTACAGGGTATAGAGGTACCTCAGTCCTCAAAAAGTCCCGTTCATGTCTATAGGCGACGGGAACCATTTTCCATCAGGTGAGCCGTTAGCTTGATTGCCATTCTAAGTTGCATAAAACAAGATACATCAACGGACAGCCGAAACCACTGACTCTTGAAAATTTGCAAATAGAATCTTTGTATAGCGTAAGTAAATAATAGAAAAGAATTTTGAAAATGGAATCTCATTAGTTTTAGAGTTAGACATGCGATTTTTTATAGAACAAGAAATCGAATTCCACACGTGAGCAAAGCCGCGCGCAGAAACTAGTAACCTAATAATTTAATTTCATATTTTCACGGAATCATTATTTTATGATCATCTTAAACTAAATTTATAATAATTTTGACTTAATTCTATTATTAATTCAGTTTATTGGTCTGTTATGTTTGGTGACCGTTTATCAAAATAGTTACCAGCTTAAGTAGTCTATGTATGCAGCAAGATTAGGGCTTTGTATACATAGTCACCCTGAATTTTTTAAAGGAGCCCATCAAACTGATTACTACATCGATGAGGGGCATTTTAATTAAATTACATCTTACAGAGACACTGATAAACAATATATGTAGTACCTACGAAATAACGAAAAGTTTTTCTAACCGGGGATGCATAAAGGGCGAGTGGCACCCCGGCGCGGCGTTGGAATCCCATGGGATGCAACCTGTTTTTTTTTCATGCCCTCGAAAACGCAAGTATTATTTGGTCTAAATTATAAATAAGTAGGTACGTATGTATTAATTTATGAGTAATTCATGAATATATTTATTGCGTTTTGCTAATCCAACAATATAATATTATCAATGAATACAAGGAAAAGCAACGATGAGGTAAGTGCTAAGTACATAAATTATGCTTAAAACTATTTTATTACGTAGTACGTTGTAATTTAGAATTACCAAGGTGACGGGAGCAGTTTCTTCTTCATTAACGCTAGAGTCCGAGGTGTGTGAGCGGCAAAATAAACGGCGACAAAACGCACCACAACTGCATGATCTATCACCACAAACCATATTAAAAATAATGGACCACACGAAACTCGCTGATAAAATGAGTAGTACGACTACCAACTACTCAAATTAGCGACACTACGGGAACGCATTCTCACTAAAATATCCGCTCAGACGGCCAAACGTTTACACTATGATATTAACACTGAGTTGTGTGGTTGTCCGTAGATAGCTGGCTACCTACGTTCGCAGCGGTTCGTTTTTTATCGGTGCTCTCTTACCTACTGTTGTTAGTGTGTTTACTTTCTGTGGCGGGCTCAAACTTATGGCTAGAGATTTCGTGATTATAATGTAGGTCCTAGGTAGAGTAATGCACTCATATTTTTTAGTTGCAGTATTTTTCGTTATCACAGCATAGATTATTTTGTTGTAATATATGCACTTATTACCCCTTGGTTGTAATAAGCAAAATCCACTTTTTGTTTAGTATTTATATTATTTTACTATGTCAAAATAGCGACATCTGTTTTAAAATGTTTGCACTAGTAGGTTAATTCTAAAAACAGATGGCGCTACGGAATAAGTTCACAAAAAAAATCTTATTCTGACTGACTGTAACCCCTTACCATTGCTATTGATTGACGTTTATTACTTTGACAATTACAGTTTGCCAACCCTATTATTTTTAATATTATAGTAATTAATTCAACACATACCTACATCATCATGAGACACAAGTTACTTTTGTCAATTCGGTACTTACTATATCTATATCAAAAACATACACAATAAATAAATAAAAAATTGAGTTTTGGCTATTTATAAAAAAAGTAAATATGATGGTATTCACTACTTATTCAAATTGAAAATAATTTATTGACTTGGAGGATTTCGTACCTAGTTTAACATTGATACCTACTCAGGGATATTGTATCCAGTTCCTTGAATAATTATTTATTGAAATTCTACAAATGGTATGTATCTACTTAATTATTGGCTAAAAAATGTTGTCAAAAATGAGTCACAACACTGATAATAAAGGTAGATCCTATCTCATTACTATTGAAAATAATAACAATAAAATTTCTAACCTCAAATTCCAAAGCATCTTCGGCAAAATCAAATTCTATAAATTCCCTTGGTATTTGACCGTCTTCGACTCCATAATCCATTTTAACACAACTCACACATGTCATCACTATTAAAATTTATACAAATATACACAAACAGTTAACACCTATATTATTATTGACAACTTGTTTTGGTGTATTTTAATTATTATTTAGGAAAGAATCTTAGACCGAATGTAGAGTGAAGTATTTGTATGCCCTGAAACATTGCATAATATATGAATGAACAGTTTACTGCAATGCAGCTAAATAATAGTAGTAACGGTACGCATGTACCGTAAAAGCAAATTATTACTTTCACTTTTTTGCTTAGGTACACAATTGACAGTTCCACTGATAAACTGCTGACACTGGTAGTGGGTTGCCCTGGCACATTTATATGACGTAACAACATTGTTTGTTTATAAGCGCAAGCTACTTTAAACCATCCGATCCGATTCTAATTACAATACTAATAAAAAATAGTGTTAAGCAAAAAATGTTATTTATGTACAAGACCAATTTGTTAATCATCGTGATCTTGTTATTATTTCATATTCAATGAATATTTTACATTTATTATGTTCGAGATAAGAAAATTTGTATTCACAGATTAAGATATCTCATGATTAGCTCGATTAATTGTGATAAAAAAGACGCACATTTTTTAATCGGTCTGATTCGACTATAACATTTAAAATTTTAAATCCGTTCAACTATTTTACTTACGACGTGATGTAACAAACAAATATCAATTCTAAAGTGTCAAATTTAGCTATTATATTGGTACATAGAATTCTTTATTAAAAATATATATTTATAATTATTTAGTAAAGTATCATTATTATCATCAATATACCTAATATATTAATATTGTGGGGAAAGGGATTGTTAGTAATGGAGACTAAGAATCCCATTACTAGCAATATATCCAACCATGTCGACCTCCTCGCGGTTCCCCCTGGAAACTATCATGGTTAATTCCTGATGAATTCATCATGATGGGCTAACTGGCCTGTTTTCATTCTCAGCTATCACCCTTCACTGGTGCTCCGCCAGCGTATCCCGTTAACGCAGGCGGAGTTAACATTCCATTCTCACCCATCAAAAAAAAATTGATAATATAATACCTATAATATTTTGTAGATTCGACGTCAAATTGTCGCATTAAGTGTCACAATGCCTATGAATGCATGCTCCAGAGGAAAAATCCTTTTTGTAAGAATATACAAAAACAATTACTCATGTCAGATGATCAGATGGCTGAAATTGTCTATTTCCCTACGATATATCTAAAGATAAATCGGATGTTACAGAATAGAGATGTTCAGTCCACTCTAAGTTGTTCAATAAGTTACGTCAAACGCTTTATCATCTTATTCATAAAAATTTAAATCTACAAATCTATTTTAACTATTACACTGCTTTTTTACTTTAATTCAAATTGGGAATTTAGTGCAAAAGAAGGACAAAACCGTTCAATAGCTAAAATAGGTTTATAAAAGGTTTTACGTTTTTATGTATAAGGGATTAATGTGCAATCAACGTGATCATCACACCCTTCTGGATGAAGGGTTGGTGAGGGTCTTGGGGCGGACTCCTTTACCCCGGCTTCAACTCCGGGGGCTACTTTTAAACGGTGTGGTTATTTGCTTGAAAGTTGGTGTCAGTTTGATGTTGAGCCCTCTTCTTTCTTAATGTGTGTATGTATATATGTATATTAACGAAGGAGGCATAGAAACTCCTAACACTAGAGGGCGATACCGTCGCAGGAGTAGTAGTGAGAAATGTGCGCAATGAACTATCGTAACTAAACACCTCCATTTCTTCGTAAATGAAACCAAAAGTTATTATAAAAAATATCTATAAACAATTAATTAAAATACTCAAAACTCAAAATGGAAAAAATCTTGTGACAATGTTTAAGATGTAGAAGCACGGTAAATCAAAATATATATTTTAAGAATAAGAATTAATTTACCTATATAAATGGTAACTGAACTACACATTTCGCCTTATCTAAAGGCGATTCCCAATCAATTATGTATGGAATGCTTTATTATATAAAGTACGATTCCCAACTAGTGGAATTTGAAGCTTTTTCGTTTGGCTCAGGCTTTAAACATCGCACTCTTTGGGTAGTTCAACAGGTCGTTTTTTCCCTTTTGAACATAAGTCTCATCAACCCATATTTCGTTACAAAGTATGATTGGTACGATCCTAAACCACCTGCATTTAGCGACTCTTATTACTGTCTTATGTACGTCCAATGTTCTATGGATTTGTTATAATCTACTAGAGTCGATTCTGAAGTGCCGTTTTTCTAAATCTACCTCTAAATTAAAATTTTAATTTGATATTACAACACAATCTTTATTCTAAGGTCCACATGAACTAAATTTCTAATTAGTAAAAATTATTAAAATATAATTTTAGTATATGATGGTCCATTACAGTAACTTTACAAAACTACTAAATTAAAACATTAGGTTAAGAAATAAGTTTAGAGAAATGGCGCTTAAGAATCGAGCCCATTGCATAGTTATGTATTTTGTTCATTGGAAGGCTGTATAATGGACAATATACATGTATAATATAAAAATAATTAAATGAAAGATAAAAACTTGGGTCTAATATTTATTGCATTACATAGATCTATATTATATGTAGATATAAATAGATATTTTGTCTGCAGTAAAAATAACATTTTGGTAAAAATACACTTTAAAATTGTACAGTTACTCACATTATTTTCAATGTAATATATGCATGATGTTTATTAAATTAACACACCTGTATAATTGTTTTCGTGTTTTTCGATGGTTTCTTTTTGGTGGTCGGTGGAATCTGAAATGAAGTTAGAAGTAATTATTTGCCCAATGGCGTAGTAGTTATCAGCCTCACAGAATTCGATAGCCAGGAGTTCAGTTCTGGTTGACACTGGAATATCAATTTAAAATATTTATCTATTTTTTTAATGGATGAAAATGGAATGATAACTTCGTTTGCGCTTCCAGCATATGCTGCTAGGGCACTAGTAAAGGTCAATTCGTGATGATGAAAGCAGATCAGTTGGCCTATTAAATACAATAATACGCGAGGGGGCCACGTGGAGAATGACCTGACGGTAGACTTCTAGTGATTTCGTGGCTAGATCTCGCTAATAACAATCTCTTCCCCCAACATCCAACTATTAATACAGGGATGATAAACAAAATTTAATAATCCGTTGGATGATAACAACAACGGTGATATATTACAAAGACGAGAAGAGATTGAAAATTGGAACATTAAGTACCTAGAAGGTTAGTATGTAACGTGTCAATTAACAGTTGGCTGGCCATTAAAAATACCTAATGCTCCATTTAGATGTATATAATCTAGGATTCAATGGTGTAGAATAAAAGGATATTGATAATTACCAATTGTGGGTGACGTGCGCGACAGTGTTGCAGTAGTTTGGCGCGCGTAGCATACTGACGCGGGCATGCAGTACAAGCGGCTGGCTCATACTGCCGCTTACCTCCTATTATCGACTGAGCACGATCTATTACTGCATCTAAATTACATATAAGACATATAATTTTACAGACCCAAAGATATAAAATACGAAAGACGAAGAGCGCAAGGACTGTGGAAGGTTTAAACTGACCTATCGCGATCAAATAGATCGTACACTGTCAAATCTTCGCAACTGGTATCCAGAATTAGATAATTATAAAAATGGATGTAACAAGCGACTTGTGTAAAAATATACACATCTGGCACTCGGTTCTCTCTACCTATATCAAAATAACCTGCCTTGAGAATTGATAGGTTTTCTATAGTTTGTAGAAAATTTTTGTTCACTTTCCTTTTAAATAGAAACAATATTCTATACAATCAATTGCATTTACATATTCCTACAGTTTTACAAGGGGAAATCAGATTTGTAAGCGGCACGTAAAATTGGAAATCTATCCATCAATCTTCCATAGACAAACGCACCGCGTCATTGGAAGGAATGCTCAAACATAACTAATTTATTTTATTTGCCAAGCAATTAAAAAAAAAATAACTCGAATTAATAGTACTAGTAACCAGTTTTTTAAGAAATGATGAAAGCAGATCAGTTAGTCAGTCGTGACGAATTCAACAAAAATTAAATACGATTGTGTCCAGGAGAAACCGTGTAGAAATCGACTTGATAGGACATATTACTAGTGATGATATTGTTAGATCCGTTACTAAGAATCTCTTATCCCAGCGGTGACCAGTTATTGTTAGACAAACTTGTCAATTACCTAAAGATATATCTGCAGATATCAGCAGAGGGATGTTAGGTTATGAATTTACTTGGGTGATGGGTACGTAAGTGAGCGTCACGCTTGGCACGCGCGCGGTACAGCTTGGGGCAAGCGCCGCACATGAAGCAACGCTCGCGCCTCGCAAGCGGCAAAGCAGCTGCTGCTGCCGCTGCAGCCTCGCGATGCTCGCGCCACAGATGGTTCACTAGCATGCCGCGACGCTACAATAATTATTTAAGAATATTGGTCTATCTAAAATAAGATTTTATTTTTTACAGCATACAATTGAAACATATCATGCCGACAAATATGTATTTTATGATACAACTCTTAACAAGGAAACAGCAATCACATGTCGCTGGAATAAAATATGAACTCACGACTCTTGAGCAACAAGTCTATTGCTTCTTTTTGGAAAAATCTTAATACTTATATATCACGTTAAATCTACCAATGGATATAACTAAATCAATGATTATGTTCCAAATGTGATGGGCATGAAATACTATTTACCTTAAAGACGTGTAAGCATTCTTCACATTTGTAGGTCGAATCATCATTTGAGTCAGTTTCGGTCTAAAAAAAATTACTCTCATAAATGATTACTAATATAATAATAGTAATATTAAAAGAAAATAAAAAAAAAATACGATAATACCTGAGTGGGCTGTTTAAGTCCTTTGGTTGGGTGGTCTGCGAATACGTGTTGCGCTAATTTTTTTTTACAATAGAATATGGTCCCGCATTCACATTCAAATCTTAGAGCCGGACACTGTCTGTAATGCAAAATATCTACTAGTATAGTATTATATTATCTGTGCCTATAGTATAAAATGATTTGTGAATATGTTTTATTATTTTCATGCACCTTATTGTGTATAGTGTATTATTTAATATTAGAGTAGGTATCATTAGACAATTATTAGAATTATTTATAAATAGTGTTGAATTTTAATGAATTGATCGGGACAAATAAATATTGCCCGTCTTATAGAAACTACAAAAAAAAAAAAAAATTAAGTAAGCCTCTTATTGTTAACAAAACCAGACTTACCCCCTTATTCATAAAAGTGTCAAACCTCTCATAATCCTATTTTAGCTATTGAACAATTTTGTCTCTTTCTTTTACACTGAATTCCCAATTTTAATTACATAATGTAGATTTGTAGATTTTAGTTTTTGTGAATAAGGGGGTATATATTAACAATTGGAAAAATATTTCGATATACTTCAAGTGCTGTGTTTTCGTATCCTTTGCTATTTCTGTATGGCAATATGGACAAGATATCTTAAAAGATTCACGAGTTTTATTATTCTGAAACAAATAAAGAACATATTGTACAGTAATTACAAGACTTCTCTATAAAAGAAATCATCATTTAAATATAAAAATAGTACCTGGCATGTGTTAGTTTTAGGTTTCGTAACTTTTGATAACCCCAAATAATTACTTAAACTATTATCGTCTTTATATTCAATATCATAAGGATAATCGGCTTCCGACCGAGAGCTACCCGATTCCAGATTAGGAATTCTGTCAGTGTCAAACAAGTTAGTGGAAAAGTCTAGTCCATTTGTATAGTTCTGGAAGCTTTCATCTGAAGGCATTTTGTCCTCGACGGATAATCTAACGTTTGATTCAACATTTGGCGTAGTATCTGATTTGTTCGCAAGGTCCCTGGAAATAATATCAAATTATAGAATACAAGTAATCAGTTACATTCTGCTAATAATTTCCTGAATACCAAAACTTTTACAGTGCAAGCTGCTATACTTTGGAATTGCCTCTCAAATGTCAGAATGGCGCAGACCATTCTTGCCTTTATAGCTCAAACAAAAAGATCTTACAATGCAATGGACAGTTAAGTTACTTATTTATATTTGTGTGTGTATCTATATGTATATATTTATTATTTAGTTACTAATTATATAGCTACTAATAATTTATATATATATTTTTTATTTAAAGTATCATTTTAGCACTATATATGTTATGTATATAAATACAAAACTTTAAAAAAAATCAAAATATATAAATGTTTGCAGTTCAATAATTAAATAATGCAAAACAAATGTTAGTTTAAATAAAAAGTCATTCAATTGCTCGCTTATCCTAAATCCAACTTTATACATCGTAATAAATACTCACGATTTATTTAATTTTTTACGACAATGTCGCATTATATGTCGCCTTAAACTGTAAATAAAAAAGTATTATTATTCAATTTTTGTAGAACTTTAATCATATGTAGGTTTATAGATGTGTCATTACGGCACAATAATGGGCAATGTGCATAGACAGTTCTCTAGATAAAAGGACGATAGATAGCCTAGTAATAGGTTATCATGCTGGTCAAACGGCTTGTTATAGGATTTTATATCAGTTTCCTTCCTTTTCCTGTAATACTTTTGTACAAAGAACTGGTGCAAGTGTTTTGTTCCCTTAGTTGTTCTTACAACATGCTGGGGATAAATATGAGTGGTGATGCATTATATTAATACTTTTTATTTAGTTTTAACTAGTCTGATGTTTAACGGACTTTTACACTATATGTGTTTTAAAGTTCAATAAATAGACTAGTCAATAACGGGATAAATCTCGAATTTTACACAGTAAGTTAGTTGTCCTAAGAAATTCGAAAGTGAGCAGATTTAAATTCCAATTTTTCGACATTTAGGTATTATTTTATATCCAATAAATAAAAATTATTTATAAAATGTTATATTTACTTACTGAATTTTAATTCATCTAGACTAGTGTTTTTCAACTTTTTTTCATGACACGACCTCCCCTAGTATAAAAAAAAAATATTTCGCGACCCCCGACCCTTTGCTTCTTATTCAAGAATTTTATAATCGTAAAAAGATGTTATAGGGACTGAATACTTCAATCCATACAATATTTTTATGCATTTGCATAATCAGGTCTTGGATAAATACAGCATTAAATTTAATAGTATCTATTTTTATAATTTTGTTTTTTTTTTTTACTGAGGCAGGTTTCGCGATCCCTCTATAGAGGCTTTGCGACCCGCCAGGAGGTCGCGACCAACATGTTAAAAAACACTGATCTAGAAAGTGGACATTTTGTTTATGGCGAATGAAACAGTCAGTCGAAGCATCAAATCGGAGATAGAGAATCGCGTATATCACTATTAATATGTCTGATGCATTTGTAACTAAACTATCATTCTTCTACAAAGTGAGCGTACTCAAAATATAAGTATAAGATTTTTTCTTAAACTCAATTGCTAGAACTTACGTAAATAATCTGGAAAATGTTTTCGTGCAATGTCGACATCGATAGCGCCTCCGACGTGATCTAGACATTTTTTGCTGTAAAAGTTTTCGTTTTATTTTAATAAAATCTAAGAAAATACTTAATACCATGTGAGCTAAAATTGCAAGTTTATTTCTTTGTTTAAAAAAAGCATTTCATAAATAAATTTTTTTTCAAATAGTTTTACTAAATTTTATATATGAAGAAACAATAACAACTGACGGCCGACTTGATGAAAGGTGGCAAGCATCGCCGTCGCCTATAGACATAAATATGTAGTACCAAGGATATCAGATATCACCTATTAAAAAAAAACACCATAGTATTCAGGAATGGCAACGCATGAGGGGTACCTGAATATTACACTATATTCTTTAATAGGTGAGAATGGAAGGGTAACCTCGCCTGCGCGGGGGGAAAAGGGATTGTTAGTAATGGAGTCTAATAGCACCATTGCTATCAATATACCCTTCCAGGTCGACCTCCACGCGGTTCCCCCTTAAAACCATTATGGTTAATTCTTGTAGAATTCATTACAGGTCAACTGACCTGCATTCATTCTCATCTATCATCTTGCACTGGTGACTTGTCGGTGTATACCGATAGCGCGGGCGAGGTTACCAATCCATTTTCATCCATTTAAAAAAAAACCCCGCCTACGCTATCGGGATACGCTGGCGAGGCACTAGTAAGAGATGATAAGGAAGGTTGAAAGCAGGTTAGTTAGCCTATAGTGACGAATTTCACAAAAATTAACAACGATGATTTCCATGGAAAACCGCGTGGGGGTCGACCTGATAGGTTATATTGGTAGGAATGGAGCTTTTAGACCCCACTATTACTAATAGTGTCTAGAGTTACTAATAGTGGAGTCTTCATTATTAACAATCTCCTCCAGACTATGGTGTTATGCTTCAGTACCCTGTAATTTCATTATCATGCTTCACCTTTCAAACTTAAACAAAGCCATGCAACCATAGCCGATTCAGAGCAGAAAAATGGGTGGAACAGATGTACTCATGCAGATCAAGACTTCAGGCCAGGTCCTATATAAGTGATCGATATGTATAGCATAGAAAGGTAAGGTTAGATACGGTAAATATTTAGAATTTACTACATTTATAAAATTATTAATATTATTATGCTATTTTTTTTTAACTAGATTGTTTATATAGAAAGTTCTTACCTTACGGCAGATTTCCTCGTGTTGCTCAAGTAGAGCCGCCGATGGCTGTGCTTCGTGGCACTCGCAACACCACCAATTTCTTGATTCTTTTAATAACGCTACAAACGCAAATATTAAATATAAATAAACAGTAAAGATTAGATGGTAGATTTTAATTATGCCATCAAATTGGTTTGTGATTAAAGTCGCTAGCGGTGAAATTATAGCGAATTTAAAGTCGCTATAATCCTAGTTCCCATTGTTAGTAATATTGACGGGATACCGTTACGGGTTTCCGTGGTTATCACTACTTAACCCTTAGCATTACCAAAGGGAGACTTTATACAAAATTTGTTTGCTTGGGCACCTCTGTCTCATTCGTGTTTCTACCGTGAAGCAGTTGTGTTTGCATGGCTATGTTTCTGTTTGAAGGGTGGAATATGGCAGTGAATTTAAGGGTACAGAGGAATAACACCCGAGTCCTCAGGAATGACAATGCATGAGGAGTATCATGGGCGAAACAGTATTATGTTATGTCCATGGTACTGCTCATGTCTATAGGCGACGGTTACCATTTACTATCAGGCCGTTAGCTTGTTTGCCATTCTAAGTAGCATAAAAAATCCGTTAGCACAGGCAGGTGTTCCATTTCATCGTCATTGATTAAAAATATCCTACTACTATTATAAATGCGAAAGTTTTTGAGATTGGATTTGTGGATGGATGTTTGTTTTCCTTTTACGCAAAAAAAAAAATATAGAAATTTTAAAACTTTGTACACAAATCATAACTTATCCTTAGACCATATGATACCTTTTACTGATACACGTGAACGAAGCCGCATGGTAAGGCCAGTTATAATTTAATGTGGAATTGATTGGTATCTCTTGTCATTATATATATATATATATATATATATATATATATATATATATATATATATATATATATATATATATATATATATATATATATATATATATATGTATATATATATATATGTCTATTTTTCGGGAATTTTAATTATTTTTGTTTTTAGCAAAACAAAAATATTTTTTAAAAATAAATAGTTTTAATACTCTATGTACCAATACTAACACTAGTTTTAGGGAATAGGTTACATTAAAACAGCTCCAGAAATTGCTGTGAAATTCGGTATACAGTACACGTACATTTGGAGATGGTGGAGAAATAGACTACAATTTATTCCAGTCAATCAACATATCCAGACGAAGTCGTGGGTAAAAAAGCTAGTGTACAATAGTCGATAGCAAAGTCACTGCCATATTTTTTTTTAAATAATGCATACAATGTTTGTTTGAAACAGATGCTTCTTTACTCAATACGTAATTTATGTATACAACTAAGAAATTAAACTTGTTTAATTAAATATTACACTGTAAATTTCTACAATTCCTTTTTTATACTACTATGTGAAAAACAAGCATACGACCCGTTTGATGGTAAATGTGGTTACCGTGCCCTATGAATGCCAGTAACACCAGGCATGTCACGCGCGCGGTGCCGACCTTTAAGAAACCTTTTTGAAAAATCCCATACTGTTTCTTTAGGGAAAACTTCGACAGGAAGATCATTCCACAACGTAAGTGTTCGCGGGAGGAAATCCCTCTGATCCTTGAGCATTACACATAAAATGGTGATAAGTGAAGATCCAAATCGGTCCTGTAACTTTGCAATTACTCATTTTAAAGTTTTCGAATGAAGAGTAAATTAAAAAAAATATTTATAACATACCTTCAGTAAGATCTAATACTGGTTGGTTTGGAGGCAAATCATGATCCTCTATATACTGCTTGCTGTATCCCAGATAAAGAATTGTTCGCGCCGCTAATGGCAATGCAGTTATAGCATACAACTCATTATCATCTTGATATAACCATACATTCGCTTTACTTTGATCGCCTAGCGGTAATAAACTTAACCAATTTGATTTGTCTGGAAATAAAAATCAGTAACTGAACATAGATATTGTAAGTAATATTTATAATAGTGATGTTTGCAAAATGACTTTTCTTTTAAATTCCGTAACGGACTTTAATATGAATTTTAATGTCATTTAGCTTTTACAAAAGGTCTGTACATACTAATTTACACCCACGCAAAGCCGAGACTAGTCGTTAGTAATAAAAAATAAAAATACAACAAAGTGTGATCCCAGCTTAGAATAGGCCACCCCTTCCTTTTCCGTGGGTGTCGTAAGAGGAGACAAAGAATAGACGAAGAACGGGCAGCAGTGTCCCTCTTAAAACATCTCCAAAGACTAATTTCGGTTGTCAATCTGCTTGCCAGGCGTGACGACTACTGGCAAAACCTTCCAAGGGGGAGGCTTATGTTCAGCAGTATTTACGTACTGTATTACAGAGATCTGTAATATTTCAAGACAATAGTTACCAGTTACTATTAGGAGCTTTCTAGCCATTTCAAGTTCAAATATTATCATAAAAAATCATGAAATATTTTTCTTTCTTCAAAAACAAGGAAAGAAACATAAAAAAATGTAACCTATATTTAATAATAATGTAACTTACCTTTATCTGATACATCAATATGCGTTATGTCATCTTTGTTCTTCATAAGAAATATAGGTGCTTTCAAATCAGCCGCTTTAATTTTTAATTCAAGTGTTACAGCACTGCTTACTTTGTAATTCACCCCTTTAAAGAGAAAAGCCAAAAACACATAAAAAAATTTGTAAAACTTAACATATAATGGTGACAATACTATGCTTAAAATGATAGCTGAGGATGTTCATGCACCTGTGATAGGACATTTCGTCAGAATGATAACTAACACAAAATAACCATGTCTTAGTTACCGTCCTGACTGAATATTAGATATTTTACTAACGTAACGTAACATTTTTTACTGACGTAATTTTAAGTCTACTATTAACAAAATAAACCTTGTTGTCTGGAATTAGATGATTTTAAATTTGAATTTAAGTTACCAAAGAATTTTAAGGGCTTTGTGTACTAGTGAATGCACTAATGAATTTTGTTATTGTATTATTTCGAAAATGTGGCTTGTTACATTTTTTCATAGTTAGAAAACTGTTACTCAGTTATAAATTCACTTAGAAATTTACTTAGTGAGCAAAAAAGTAAAATTCAGAATGGTGCTGACAACAAAGCTCAAACAAAAATATTTTACAATTTTTATCATAACCTAATATATATATTAAAAGTGTATGCAGGAAAACATATATTAAATAAATAAATAAATAAGTTCCTTGTGTCAAGAAAATATTAATATACCTACACTATGTAAAAAAAAACCTCTTGCAACTGCAAGAGGTTTATGTAACTATATAAAAATAAGAGGGATGGGACACGACATGGCAGGCAACAAATATGCTTACCTCGCAGAGGGCCAAAGCGAGTACATGCGGGAAGGCGGCGTCTCGATACCACGCGGCCATCGCGCCGCAACTGCAGTGCTGTCGGCAACACCGCTTCTGCTCGAGCCGGCGCCGTGCGGTCCGGAATGTGCACTGCAGACACACCAGAAGTATTAAGTATTCACATAAACAATTTTTTTTGATAAAAATGCCTGCCAGACGTAATTACTTCATTAAATGATTATTGTTTTATTGTTGTTTCTCTTAATAATTGTTAATAATAAGAAATAATTTACATGACACTTAGAATGGCACACATGCTGATATCCCCATGTTGGAAGGTGATAGTTGCTGTTATAGAATACCCTACTTTCAATAAAATTTTAAACATACCATAATCATAAAATATTTTATTGCTAATATGTTGATGGGCACTTTCAACAGTTCCTTCTTCAGAGACAGTATTTATTTTTTCAGTGTGATGCGATTCTACCGACTTATTCTTAGATTCTTTACTGGATTCTGTAGCTTGATTTCTGAATCTTGTAATTACAGATTCTTGAGTTATATTAGCATGAGTATTTTCAAGTAGTTGGTTAAGTGTGTTGTTATCAATACAGTTTAATAAATTATTCCTTAATGTTGGATCTAAAAAGAAATTAATATTATTAAATATGATAAGAATTACCTATGTTCAGCAGTGCTTGATGATGAATTTGTGAATTATATTTTTCAAATACATTATGTTATATAATTTATTCTTCATATTAATCTTAAATTATGTGTTGTGATAAACAGTTTCTAATAAGAAAAAATATATATATATATATATAAAATGTCCTTACCAACTAGCATTTGTAAAGGGGTATTGTTATCTGTTTCTGTATGATCCGCTTCTAATGCCAGCAAACAGTGATCATTGTCTAGATTCTAAAAATATTTAAAGCACTAAAATATTATAATTAATTAAATAATTATTTTTTTCATAAATACTGCTAAATTAAATATTTATCATAGTGATACTCTTTTAAAATACTCTCAAAACTTTATTATTTAATATCAACTGGATCATTTTTTAATTCACTGTTTAAATAAACAGATAAAATATAATTAAACATGAAAAAGGTAATGTTTGCTATAGATGTTTTTAAGGTATCCTTGTAAAAAAGAAATTGTACAAAGTAATGAATTCTACAATTGAAATTCAGATTTTTAATATGATAATATTAGAATACATACCAGTACATGTATAGGTAAGACTTTGTGCTCCAATGAATCCTGGCTGATATTATGGTCTAATGTAAGAATATACATACGGGAATGACCTGTAACTGTATAAAGATTTCATGAATGATAGTTTAAAATAGAGAAAAAGAAACTATACATCCATAACAATTTATGTAGAAATAATATAGATAAGTACTTACTATTGTTCATTATATATTTTTGGTGATTGGTTTTTATGTACTCAATACTATTTAGATTTACTGACTTATTGAAATCTAGTAAGGATACATAAATATTTTTTTATGATAGATATTTAATTTTTCATTCAATGGGAATTTATCAAAACAGAAATTACTATAATATTTAATTTAGACAATAAGATAGTTATAAATTATCTTTATATTATTTTTCGGTAGAATTCGGAGCAGTCAGATCATAATATTTGGCGACAGACATTGACAGTTGATGAATTGACACTTTTAACGGCGTTTATCGGGTCCGCGTCACATTGACAAAAACAATAATTAAAATAAATAGTTTGTACAGTATCTAAGTTTATTTGGTATTTATATATATTCATTCATTTATTTATGTAAATTTTAGTATGTATATATTGATTATTATTAGTACCGCATTCGAGTATTTTAGCACTTTCCTAAGATTGTCTGGGAGAGAATGCTTTTAGCATTAAATCCATCTTGTACACATACATGTACTAATGAATAAATAAATAAATAACGAATTTATGTGTAGTTTGTATGGACATAGAAATTTGTATACTATTTATTAAATTTTATAATATTTTAAAGTATCTAGGTCTTTATGGTATTTATTCACGTCTTTGGCATATTTACAATAAATTTCTAGTGAGAGCTGGTCTGGTTTTTATAAAAGGCGCATCTGTATTCTTAAATATATTGTTACGATGCCGTACTTGCATTCTCGGCCAGGGGCGAGAGGAGGAGGGGTGGTTCCGGACGTTTTCAAGGTGGGCTCTAAATACAGCTCACTTCAATATTATTAAAAGTTCCAAAACATAAATAATTAATATTAATTTATATTATTTTGTTCATATATCGTACGTAGTGGCATAGTTTCATTTTTGAGTTTCATTAATTTAGGATAGTGCTGACCCTTAAGATGAGATTACTTACTCTGTGGTCTGATGCAAACATAGATAATAAAAGGTAATGTAATAATAGATACACTAAAAGACTAATTTATTCTTAATCCTTAATACAATTGCTTTTAGGTAATATAAAAATAAAAAAATTACTATAGACATCAGCAAATATCGACTATTGTAAACTGTTTGCGAGATACTTACCTATATAATCATTTTCTGGAAACGTTATTGATGACTTGTATGAGTGTTTTACAATTTTTTTTTCTAATATAAACTCATAATTAGCTTTAATGTGTAGAGGTTTTTAAAATGTTGATAAGTACGATGAAATCATATTTTATTTGAGGGGAAAGTCAAGAACACGTCTTAGGATTTTGTGTGTATTCATGTATGTATGAGACAAATTCAGACTATAAAACTAATTATGAAATGAACGAAGTAAGATATGTATTGTCCTTATAGGACGTATCATTTAAGATCTTTGGTATTCCATTCTCTCTGCCTAGCTTACAGACTGCGTGAAGACAAATGGATAATAATAATAAAATAATATCATATTTGATACTTTTATTTGTAAATATAATGACTTATTGATAGTAAACATATTTTAACTAGCATTAGCAACGATCCAATCGGAATATACAGATACGCGAGTATTAACCCCGGGGTAGTAGTCGTGCGCACAACCGTAACCCCATGATGTGATACCCACGACTATGTCGCCATCGTGGGCAAGTGGGCCACCTGAGTCGCCCTGACAGGCATCTTTGCCACCAACGTTGAGTATACCAGCACACAACATGCCGTCTGTGATTCTAGGCCAATGTTGGAAACCAGGTTGACTCCTTAGATAGTCATAGCGCTCGGTACAAATTTCTTGGTTGATAACATTAATGTTTACATGTTGAAGTTGTTCAGGATAACTACCGCCGGGCTGCAAAAGTATGTGAGTTCAATTTACCATAGTTCAATGCAATTTTAGAATAAATAACTATAACTGGATATAACTATCTGGGGGCAAAAGACTGTGAGCAGATAAATACGTACATCGAAATTTGACCGTTGGCAGTTTGGCTGTGGGAGAAATCAATATTGCTGATGGTAATGCATAGTCGATAAAAGTTAAAAACATGCAAATGAAATTGAAGTCCTTTTAAAAGTTTTCTATTCGTGGTTATACTAACTAGTGAAATTGAATATTCTGATCAAAGAAATATCTAGCTCATTCAGCTGCGTTAAATATGAGAACCAATTTATTGAATTCACTATTTTAAATTCAGATTTTTGAATATTTAAAACAAAATTTTCGCCTTAATTATTACTACTACTTTATGCATTATTCTACGAGTGTAGCATCAGATGTAGATTTATAGTTTTATGTACGGCTAACGATTTCGATTTTGTTCTACATATATATCGAGGGGATCACGTGAAGATTGACTGAATAAATATAGATACTCTATATTATTAATAAAAGGAACTAGAGTTCCCATTAATATTATACCCATATATCTATTCTCTTTATATCTTCTATACGTATATAAATAAGTAAATTTTTCATTAACGTAACTATATAACTAACTATAGGTAGGTACAAAATCTTCACATTCTAAGAAATTTTATATAGGTTGTAGGAGTCAAATTATTTTTATGATCCCACGATCGATTTTAATGAAACTTTCTCCAGTTTTTAACTTGAAATCTACTTTTTTTGTGGAAATCTGTTTATCTATTTTCATATGGAAGTCATAGACAAATAGATGGTATTTATTTTTAATTTCTCTAGTTAATTTATACGACAAAAAGAACAAAGTATATTTTTCTATTTATAACATCTAGTAAGAAAACAGTTGAACTTACTGTAAGGGATCCCCATCCTATGGCAGTGACGACGGCACCGTCGGGTACAATGTAGTTAACACCAGGAATGCGTGCTACCCCAACGCTATCAGAGAATATGGCCGAATTGGCCAGTCGGATGATTGCAACGTCAGCATCGGCGGTACTGCTTTGGTAGGCATTGTGAATGATTATTTGGGAGACAGCAATAGCTTGTCCGCCACTTGAGGCATACGATGTGCCCACGAGTACTCTCCAGTCGGTAGGCCTGTCACCTCTGTGTGCAAGAAAATGATATTTTAGTTTTGAGGTATGTAGGTATTTAGGCAATAAATGTGAATGTATAGACACATAACTGATTGACCATTTTCGTCACATATTTGATTTTAGGCTGATTTTTGCATTTTTTTAAATTTATGTTATGAGAATTACAAAGGAAGGCAGGTACTAGAGCAAATAGGTTAGATTACGTAATTATTACTTATTTAATAAGCTAGTACATACTCGTAGCAGTGAGCAGCAGAAAGTACAGCCGTAGAAGTAAGAAGGGATCCTCCACAAAATTGGTACCATAAAGACCCATAGAGAAGGTATTGCATGTTGCTCATGTATGGGTACTGTTCAACGGTGGTAGGAGTACCACCCACGATGCGCGACAAACGCTGCGGCACCGCTGTGAAGTGGAAGGAAGTAATTATTAAATGAGTATTGCTGAAACTTGTAGCACAACTAGTTTTAAATTCCTGTTTTTTTTATGCAAACTTAGAATAACAAACAAGTTGGTAACCATCACATATAGATATGACCAGTACCATGGACATAACAGAGCATACTGTTTGGCCCATGATATCTTCCATGCGTTGCCATTCCTGAGGGCTAAGGTGTTATTCCTCTGTACCCTGAAAATTCGCTGCCATATCCTACCTTTTAAACACACCCATGTAAACACAACTGCTTCACGGTAGAAACATGAATGGGTTAAAGGTACCCAAGCAAACGACTTTTGTACAAACTCTCCCTCTAGTAAAGCATCTGTTATTATTTTTATGCAATAAGCAGGTACGTATAAAAATCGCGTACCTTTGTATCTGGAGTTGTGAGAAGTAGTAGGATCGTACCTTTACTCCGAGTACACTAGGTATTAGGTAGCGTCGTGTATTCGCGTATAAACGGTGTAATTATCTAAGAACCTCTAAGAAGAAGCTTGGATATTATACTTTGTATATTATATTAGATAAATATATGAACTTACAATAGGTTTTTTTTTAATCAATGAAAATGGAATGGTAACTCCGTCCGCGCCATCGATATGCGCTGGTGAGGCACCAGCGAGGGATGATAGGTGAGGATGGAGACAGGTCAGTCAGTCTATCGTGACAAATTCACCCGAAATTAACCATGATGGTTTCCAGGGGGACTGCGTGGAAGGTGACCAGACAGGGTAGGTTATATTGCTAGTAAAGGGGTCACTAGTCCTCATTACTAACAATCCGTTCCTCGTGGACTTACATGAGATAGCTAAAGTGGGACAGATCGGTATAAGGACTCACCCAGAGCGGCGCCTATGAGAGCTAGAAGAATAACAGCACGCATTGTTAAGACAACTCTAGGTCAACTGATTAATGAGTAGAAGATCCTCAAATTTATATAGTAAATTAAAGATGTTAATGATATTGTTATCTATAGACATTGCATTAAATGAATTAATCTTTGGATAAAAAAAAATCCATTTGATAAATTAGGTGCACGTATTTACTTAAAGGTGGAATTACAACAAACAAGAGAACGCTTATCCTGCCCTACTCCTCCGACTGCTATGTGGTGTAAATGTGCTAAAAACGTTTGTATTCCCAATTATTTTAGTAAAACATTCTATGAATGTTCGCTTGTGTTCACTGAAAGAACAAGTTTGCGAAACACTTGAACGCACCCATTCGGGATAACATTAGTAATTCAATATAATTTAGGTACCTGTGGTGATAATTTTTTATATGTTCGAGCATTAACTTGATATTGACTTGATTATACAACAAAACAATATGAACAGTTGAATGAACGCTGTGCAGAACAAGAATAGAAGAGCATTCTATGTTTACAGACGGCCGAAGCGGTTTTAAGTTGAAACACCCTTGTTCTTTTAGTCGAGATTTATATTATCCTGTGTTCTAATTTAGCTCTTTTTTATTGTCAGGGCGGCAAACAAGCAGACGGTCCACCTAATGGAATGCAGCTATCACACCGAATGAACACCAGCAACACGAGAGTTGTTTGTACATTGTCGGCCTTTTAAACATTTATAGGTACTTTTTTTAAATATCTCATGTTATGTTGTAAGAGGAAAACTGAAAAAGAGAGCTTCTTTTATACAACTTAGAATGGCATACAAGCTGAGCTTATACCATAAAACAGATGCAAGAGATAGGAACGAACATAATCCACGGATAGTGGTAGTGTGCCACGCATCCAAAAATTGTGGGTGAACTTCAGTTCTATGGCGAGAGGTGGGAAAACGTTTATAAAAGCATTAGGTCATATAATTTCTTGGATCATTTCCTATTGTACAGATAATAGAAAAAATATTCAATCGTTTTGAATTTTTTTTATACAACTTAGAATGGCAAACAAGCTGACGGCTCACCTGATGGAAAGTGCTAACCGTCGCCTATACCTACACATGAGCAGTACCAGCGACATAACAGAGTGTACTGTTTCGCCCTAGTTCTAATACTGTTCTAACTCTTGCTCTTTGATCATTTAGTGTAACTTCACCTTCATAATAATCATAACCCACGTGAAATATCTGCAGGTATTATATTTTATACCTATTAGTATCTAAGTATGTAGACAAATAAGTAACAAAAATATATATACCTCACTTTAGATATATCGGTACCCATATATTTATATTTTCATGAAAATGATTTGTATAAATGGAACTAACAGCGTAGGCGGATTTACCCGTTTGCATTTTTGGTTTACGTAGGCGGCACAGACTTAGTATAATATGCTAAGGTAGGTGGTGTATTAATAAGAGATTATAATTTAGAATACTATGGCTATTTCACTAGGAATTAACTACCATGTTTTCCAGGATGGACCATGTGGAGGACGACTTTCGCTTCATCGAAATTTCTTTGACGTAATTTTCTTAATATAAGTAAATAAGTTTAGAAAATGTCAGCAGTTCTTAGTGAAGCATGTAGAGAACGTATATAAAACTATTATATATATATATATATATATATATATATATATATACTACATGTTTCATAGTAGTAAAGTAGGTTTTATCCATGACTTCGTCCGCGTCGCCAAACAGAAATCCTAACTATTAAAGTTAGGATTTCTGTTTTTTAATATATATATATTTTTAATATATATGAATAGATACATTATTATTATATTTAATATTTAATAATAATGTATCTATTCAGGAATAAAAAATATTGAAAGCGTTATTGACCGTATTCTAAATGAGACCTAATATTCTAAATGAGAAAGTTTATAATGGTTTTTGAACGTTTAGATGTTTGGGTGTTTGTTACTTAATATGATTGAACTTTGTGCATACTTACAATTTAGTATACAGGTAAATATTGGTACGCATTATGTAAAGTATCATATGTGTTAAGTAAGAATACACCCAACTTAACACTTAGTATACTTTATATACTGATTTACGCAGGGAAAACCACGGTCATTAGCTACAAAATAATATTTGCCAATTCTAAACCGATTTTGATGATCGTTGTCAGTCGGAAGTGTTTTCTTCAGAAGTTGTAAATTTTATTATATTGTTAAACCTTAATTGTATATATATTGTATTGGACATATAAAAAACGTAATATTCAATGGTGGACTTATACCATAAAGGAATCTCTTACAATCACATATTCCATACAGCTATTGTTGTAATATAGGTATGGAACAATATGTCAATAAAAAAACATATAGTTCTATACCTATCTATATTAAAATAATAGCTGTATACACTTTATACACTATACACTTTTACTATTGGTACACGCGAGTGCTTACAAATATGATATGATTTTCTTGTTAGATGACTTAGGTACTTTGTATTTCAGTAGTTAAGAAAAAAAAAACTGTCCAGTACCCGAAAAAGTGTAATTTCCGATAACTGAAACATTAGCATTTTTGTAATCTAAATATCAACAATGAAAACCCTCCAATAAATTATACCTAATATTAGTTATGAAATTAAAAATATTAGTCATAAAAATTTCAGGGCTTTTGCTGTATAACCCCTTTATTTCTTAAAACGTCAATCCTCACATAAACCTATTTTAGCTATTACAATATTTTGTCAATTTCTTTTAAATTAGGAACTTAGTACAAAAGAAAGAGACAAAACAGTTCAATAGCTAAAATAGGTTTATGAATAAGGAGATAAGAGTGTAACCTTAAAGTAATAATATTCGATATTAAATTTTTATTAGTAACGAGGTTCTGTTAGCATAAGGCAATATACCTTGTTAGGCCGAACTTCATCATCGTAATCATATCAGCCATTAACTATCCACTGCTGAATATAGGCCTTCCCATATTGGGGGGTGTGTGTAGCCATGTCAGTAGGTCATATCATTCATCACAACGGGCCAATTCACCTGATTTTATTATCATCTTTGACTGGTACCTGATAAGGTACTTAATAATACTTAATAATAAAGAGTTGTCTTTGCATATTCATCATTATTGAGGCCCCTACAGTAATTGTGCCGTGAATTCGCGAAATTTTCAACTCCAATATATTGCCTATTGTACATGACAACCTAATATTTACGTCTATTTACGTCAATTTCATATGTAACTATTGTATTGGATTTATATATACTTCATTGCACCATTTATAAAAATAACAAATAAATTTTAATGGGAAGTGATACAAAACGCAGCTTTATCGCTAAACAATCTCTTCCCGACAACCTTTGGCGCACTGTTATATAGACACAATTATATTAATTATGAATCTTGTGGGTTATTTTCGTACAGAAATGCAGTTTTCATATATCTACCTATCTATTAATGCATGACTATTAAACAAAATTTATTCACACTCTTCTCATTCATTCAAAGTCCAATTAATAGGTATCATTCTTAATTAAAGTTGTTATTTTTAAAACAAAGACTTTTACATGTATTTATTTTTCATATAATTTAACTAGCATTAGCGACGATCCAATTTGAATATACAGATACGCGAGCATTTACTCCTGGGTAGTAATCGTGCGCACAGCTGTAACCCCACGACGTGACACCAACAACAATGTCGCCTTGGTGAGCCAACGGGCCACCTGAGTCGCCCTGACAGGCATCTTTGCCACCAACGTTGAGTATACCAGCACACAACATGCCATCTGTGATTCTAGGCCAGTTTTGGAAACCAGGTTGTGTCCTCAGGTAGTCATACCGCTCGGTGCAGATTTCTTGGTTTATAACATTAACAACTACGTGTTGAAGTTGTTCAGGAGCACCACCGCCGGGCTGCAAAAGTAAAATAATAAAATATATAGTATTTATAACTATCATCATCATCATATAAATAAATAAATAAATATCAGCCGTTAATTATCCACTGGTATACATAGGCGTCCCTCTATTCGAGGGTTTTGCTATTAATTGCCATGCCATGCCATGGCAGGCAGGTTGGCATGGCATGACGTTGGAGGTTTTTTAAGAGAGATGCTGCTGCTCATCCCTCGACTATTAAGTTCCCTTAGTAGTCTCTTACGATACCCATATGTATAATGTGTAAACGATCAGATAAATATATTGTATTTCATACTTAATATAAGTATAAAGAAAAAATCTAATTGTTGTAATGACTTGTATTAGAGCGCAAGCTATGTATAAGTTTTTTTTTTGTAATGTACATACTCTCCTATTTTGACAATTTATGACTAAGGTTCCTAAGTTCAGGGCACATTTTATTAATAAACCCTATCAAAGCCCTATGGAAGTATCTTCACTTTTGCTCCATCAAATAGGTTTAATATCTGCTGCTAGTATTTCCCCTTTATAGTTTATTAACGATAATAAATTTAGCATTGGCATTGAATTTACTGCCGTGTTTACCCCGGCATAATATGAGCCACCCCTTCCTTTACCGTAGGTGTCGTAAGTGATGACTAAGGGAGGGCGAGAGATGGGCAGCAGTGTCCCTCTTAAAACATTTCTAAAAGCCTAACTGCGGCTACCAACCCGCCTGCTAAGCGTGGCAACTACTGACAAAACTCCCCTAATGGATAAGGCTAATGTTCAGCAGTGGACAGTTAACGGTTGAAATAATAATAATAAAATAGAACTTACTGCAAGGGCTCCCCATCCTATGGCAGTAACGTTGGCACCATCAGGTACAATGTAATTAACACCAGGAATACGCGCTACTCCGACACTCTCAGAGAATATGGCTGAATAGGCCAGTCTAATTACTGCAACGTCAGAATCGATGGTACTGCTTTGGTAGTTTTCGTGAATGATTATTTGGGAGACAGCAATAGCTTGTCCGCCGCTTGAGGCGTACGATGTGCCCACGAGTACTCTCCAATCGGTAGGCCTGTCTCCTCTGTGTAAAAGAAAGTGGTGTTTTAGTGGTATTTGTGTATTTTACTAATATGATACATAGATCCATAATAGATAGATACTTCTTTAGCATACATTAAGAGGATTTGTCATAGTGTAGATTGAATGTGACTAAATCTACATATAGAAAATCGTTTGTCTAAAGTTATTCATCCACGCGTAGCTTAAACTACAGAAGTTAAAAACTAGAAATTTTACAGTTATTGCATTTTCTGTGAATATCCAATAATGAAGTATTTTTGGAAATTTTACCCTTAAAGCGGTACAGTAAGGGATGAACGGTTGTATGAAAATCCGTTATTTTAAAGTTAGAAGCATGAAATTTCATAGACCCTTTCATAGTCGTTTTTGGAAAGTCAACCCCATACGGAAGAAATGGGGAGGAAATATTAGTATAAAATAGAGGCTAAAAGTTTATATAGTCCGTCGTTATTGAAGTAAGGATGAAATTAAATATTTAAGTTTTCCAAGACTCTATAGCACGGAGTTTTTTTTAAAAAAGGGGATAAAGAGGTTTCTTCAAAGTCGGCAACGCGCGCGTAATGTCCCTGATATTGCAGGCGTTAATAGGCTACGGTAACCGTTTACCATTAGGTGGGCCGTATGCTTGTTTACCACCTTAGTAGTAGTATAAAAATAGTAATTATTATAAGTATTATATATATATATATATATATATATATATATCTTATGACATACTCGTAACAGTGAGCAGCAGAAAGTACAGCTGTAGAAGTGAGAAGGGACCCTCCACAGAATTGGAACCATATAGATCCAAGGAAACCATACTGCATGTTAGTCATATATGGGTATTGTTCAACGGTGGTAGGAGATCCGCCTACAATGCGCGAAGAGCGCTGCGGCACCGCTGTAAAATGGAAAAATATCTTAGGTAATATAAATGTAAATGTTCTTTATACTGTCAATACCGTGATATAGGTTAGTAGATTTCATGTTCATACCAATCACTTCCTTTTTTATTCTCGTATTTCATTTTATGTTCAATAGTGGTCCCTATGTACAAATTGTAAAACCTAGTTATCATCTGAACCCATAGCTTTAAGTTTATGCAAATAGATATTTGACAGGATAGCTAGGCATATGGGTACTCTGCTGAATTGGGTGTTATTTTACAGAAGTCCATATCACTAGTTATTTGATTAATTTTGTTCAATTCCGCCTCAATTAGTACCTACGTGTGCGACTGTCAACACTCGAAGATTGACCACTATTATTATTACCAGAAGTTTTAAAACCTTCTATATTAGCTATTAATCTTCGACTGCCATTTCGTCAACGCACGTTCTGTGACACGTATTTCACCTCTAAACGAAGCATCTTCAGGCAAATTGATAGATCGCTGTTTGGAGCCTAGTGTTAATCGTTCGTTCGTTCGCAGATAGGACACCGGAGGATAATCAAATAACCAGTGATATAGGTACTCTGTTAGTTAAGAACTGATCCAGTAGTAAATATTAAGTCATGAGATACCTAATTTATTATACGGATGTTATTGAATGGTCGACGTGCTAAAATAATGTAAAACTGGATTTTTCATCAATTATTGACGACTATTACTGTCGTTCATTATTAGTTAATTCTTGAATATAAGTCCTCTCCATAAATTGCCATGAATGAAAGAGTACGGATGATGAATGAAACATTTCTGAGCCACTATATATCTGCATCTAACGCACATTTTAAATGTCATCCATTATTAGTAATGGAGTCTAATAGCTATTGCTATCAATATACTCCATCAGGTCGACCTCTATGCGTCTATTCCTGGAAGTCAACATGGTTAATTATTGTTTAAATTGTCATGATGGACTAACTGACCTGTTTTCATCCTCAACCATCACATTCACAGTCGGAGTTACCATTTAAATTTCATCCATAAAAAAAAAAAAAAACACTATGTATCGATTTTTGAAGTCACCACTGATAACACGCACTATTGGCACTAATGTATATATAAATAAAGATAACAACCTTCCGGACCCCCCAATCTACCCCCAGTAGATTATAAAAAAAATGTTAATTTAAAAGTGCTTGTAAACAAGTCTCTTTGAAAAAAACATGATTTGAATTTGAATGAAACTATTTTAATTTTAAGAGGACTTTTACAAACGCTCAGGTTTAGGATTTTTTTAATGGATGACAATGGTATGACAATCGCGCTTGCGCTGGCGGGACACCAGTAAATGATGATAGGTGAGGATGAAAAGGCAGGTCAGTTAGCTCATTGTGATGAATTCATTTAAAATTTAACACGATGGTTTCTAGGGTGAATCGTGAGGAGGTCGATCTGACTGGGTGTATTGCTAGCAGTGGGGTTACTAGTTCCCATTACTAACAATTCCTTCTCCCTCCTCTAAGTTTAGGTTACGCACATTAGGTTTAGGGTTTGCAATTCCACAGTATTCTATTTCCCGCTAAAATTTGTAGTAAATTTCCAATTATAGCGGAATGCCACTGTTATTTCTGCGAGAGGTTTAATCCATACCGCATGTTAAATTTTTCGAATATCAAATTGAATCTATATTTTTTTTAATAAACGGCTTAGAGAAGTAGAATGATATTAATACATAATAATGAGCAAAGTAAAAATTATAAATAGTATCTTTAAGATAAAAATATCTATACAATTCAGCAATCAAAATATATATCAAACCTTTAATTATTTAGAACCCAACCTCATAAACTCTTTTTTGTTCTCTCTCTCTCTCTAAGTATCGTATTACATTATAGTTTTCAGCAATTTAATATTTTTTATGAATGTTAATGGAATGATAATTCTGCTTGCGCTATCGGTATATGTTACTAGAGCACTTATAAGAGATAACAGGTGTAGATGAAGTCAGGCTAGTTGACCAATTGTGACGAATTCAGGTATTAACCACGATGGTTTTCAGAGGGAACCAAGATGAGGTAAACCTAACAGAGTATAATGCTAGCAATGGGACTGACGGTCCCCATTATTAACAATTCCTTCTCCCCCAGCAATTTTATTTAAGACAGTTAATAAAACTTACCTAGAGCGGAGCTTACGAGAGCTAAAAGAATAACAGCACGCATTGTTAAGACTAGTTTAGGTTTACTGATTCATTGGTAAAAGACCTTCTTATTTATACAGTAAATAGGTTAATGAGTAATATTATCTATTGTTAGACATGAATTAATCTTTGGATAAAAATTATCCGTTTGATAAAATAGATGCAAGTTGGTAGATATTCCGTAGATAGGAATTACTAATTAATAAATATATTTAACTTCTATTAAATGTGTAACTATATTTGTTGATTGTATATTTTTGTTAGGTATATATAATGAAGAAGAATTTACTGAACGCGCAGATAGGTACCAAATTTTTTTATTATTTAAGATTCAAATGAGGATCTATCATAAAATATCTACCTATAAGCGTCCAAATGTGACTACAAATGGACGTAAGCACAGATAATATAATACTATACTAGTAACTTAAGTATACTTCTACAATTTTCAGTGAAAAGTTAATCAGATTCGATCAAGTTTTACTGATATATATTATATATACTATATAAGTTAGTAATTAATCATGAATTTTAAAAAGAATACATGTAGACGTATTAATTTGACCATTTCACGAATTACGTACTATATATTTCATGATAGGTAGGTAGCATAGCCTGAAATTAAAAGAACTACGTGCCAAATGTGATATAGTATATATATGTAGAGAAATTATTGTGCTTTGACTAAGATGTTACATATTTATCTAGTTTTAAATTAGTTACAGTGTGATGGATCTAGTTTTAAATTAGTTACAGTGAGGTGGTACTTCGCCTCTCAACAAATGCTACCTACCAATAGTATATAGCGCTGCTCCTTACTAACAGGATATACATACAGCCTTGGCCAAAAGTGTTAGGCACCCTATATAAATTATTTTTACATGTTTACTAACTGAATAATTAACAAGTGCTTTTTATAAATGCAATGTCGGTGTCATAAAATATTATATAGAATAATAGACGGCATATTTTTACAGTCATAAAAGACCTGGGATCCAATCACAATAGATTTTGTTTTCTTTCTTCTTTCACTCTCGTTTTGGCATTCTTAGTCTCAACAAGCGTTTACTTTTGGTTTTGTGATAAATTTGGCAAGTGTCTCGTTTTATAATGCCCAAAATAAGTGAAATTAGTTTGGAGAAACGGGTGAAAATTCAACTTTTATATGAGCAAGGAAGGACGCAAAAAGAAATTTCCAAGTTGCTAAAATGTTCGCGATGTCCAGTGCAATTTGCTATCAAACGATTTGCGAAGACTGGCTCTTACGTGAATAAACCACGAACAGGCAGAAAACGCGTGACTACAAAATGCCAGGACAGAAAGTTAATACGCGAGTCAGTGAAAGATAGGAAGATAACTTCCTCGGAGCTTGCTACTGCCTTATTCGAAGAGACTGGAAAGACGATAAGCGCGAGAACAGCAATAAGAAGCCTCGGAGAAGTAGTACTAAAGGGATGTAAAGCCAGAAAGAAGATTCTTCTTTCAGAAGATAACAATAGAAAACGGCTAGAATGGGCTCTACGGCACCAACACTACGGAGAAAGATTGGTCTAATGTGGTCTGGTCTGACGAATCCAACTTTGATGTAAGTTTATTAGTTTCATCAACAATTAAAACAATTTTCTCTTTTAATTTTGAATCTTTTAAGTTAGAACGATTTATAAAATATATATTTTTCGTCTTTTTTGCAGGTATTTGGAACACCAGGCGTGGCCCTTATAAGGCGACGCGTGGGCGAAGAATTCCACCCAGATTGCGTTATACCAACTGTTAAGCACGCAGGAGGCATAATGATCTGGGGCTATATGTCTACTAATAGTGTGGACGAAATGTTCGTTTGCGAAGGCCGCATGAACAGTGAATAGTACATAGATGTGCTAGAAACTGCGCTTATGCCTTCGTTAACTCGTATTTAAGGCGATACCAACTTAGATGGTGTCATATTCCAACAATGTCCCGTGTTATAAATCATCGACTACAATGCGCTGGTTTAGTGAAAACAACATTGATTTGTTGAATTGGCCTGCTCAGTCCCAAGATCTAAACCCGATCGAACATCTTTGGGGTACTCTGAAACGAAAAATCAAAGAGCACAGCATTATATATAAAACCGCATTAAAAAACGCGTTGACGCAAGAATGGGACGCTATATCTAGTACTCAATATACTAAGCTGGTACGCAGCATGCCCAAAAGAATTGCTATTTTAATTTTTTTTTATTGTTCTTAAGCAAATAAAGTAATTTAAAGTGGTTTTTTTTTTCCTTTATGTAAGAAATATTGAATAAATTATGGGGTGCCTAATACTTTTGGCCAAAGCTGTACATAGATATATTCATTTTCAATGCAAATATCTAATTTGGATGGAAAATAAGTATAGCTATGCATGTATGTATATCTTAGAAGTTGCGGCCGGCGATCGTTAGTAACGTGAACTACAGCAATATATCAGGTCGACTTCCACACGATTACCATTGGAAACGATCGTGGTTAAGTCTTGTAAATTCATCCTCACCTTTAATCACTCACCGATATCCACTAGCGTATGCCAATAGAGCGGAGTTGCGATTTATTTTCCCTCCAAAAAAAAAATGCAGTCAATATCTTGGGTACGTTGTCTCGATGTGGCATAGTGGTAGATTATTATGTAATAATAGTAAACTTTAGGTTTTAAAAATATTTGCGATGATCACAGGGTAAAGTCAAATGAATATACTATCCTTTGGTAAATACTTTAATTGGAATGTCGCTAATAATTAATTTACAAATCAAATATAGTTTTACAGAACATAAACAAAAATATATAAAAAACTGTACTTAAAATACAAATTTTACAGAGTACATACGGCGGTTTTACCTTCATTATGTTTTGCTAGCAGGCGTACTTGATTATTAAAACATTTATTTAAAATGTGTTGCAATTTTTATGTTGAGATATAAAAAATAAGGTACAGTTTAGCAGGTAAGAGTTTTTTATGTATCAGCATAAAGCAACATGTCGGTAATCATGACGAATTTTTTGCAGGAAGATTGACTATTACGGGAAATGTTTATTACACATGATGCCCATATGAAGAATATCTACTATCTACCTGTATATATTTAATACAATATCAACATATATAATTTTCTAGGACTGGTTGCAAAAGCCTGTAAAAATTAAGGAGTCCTCGAGGTGGATTTTAGTGTGGACTTTTTCAACCGACTTGAAAAAGAAGGTTCTAAATTCGATTGTATTTTTCATGTCTGTGTTACGTAGTATTTAATTGCGAGAAGTCCTTTGACTTCAGCAGGTACATTGAAGAACGAACATGGTAAACGTTACTAGAAATTGTCCACTAAGTCAATACATACATCGAGACCACTTATATTCAGGATAAGCGTTATTTTTAATTGTTTTCAGCAATATTATCATTTATACACTTTTTATAGATATATTATTTCAGCTATTAGTTAACGCATGTTATATCCGTCAAGAGAGCCTGCTCCTTTTGGAGTATAACAAATATAATTATAATAATTAAATTTAGTTCAGATTTTGAAAGTGCGCTGTATGGATTTAATTAAATTCTGTTGGCTGCAACCAGTGCGTGGATACTTCAATCTGTGAGTGCCCCTGTATATTTTTGCCTATAATGTGGACTTAAATGTATGGCGCCGATGGCTGTGACTATGTTTATCTGCTGATTGGGTATACCTAAACTATAATTCTCATCTACTTAAGTATTTAAACGTTAAGTAATATTTTCTTACAAGTATTAGTTTATGTAAGTGTGTTCTTTTTTACTTTTATTTTTGTTTAAAAAAGAGCCTATAAATTATATAAAACAAAACAATTATTTAGATAGAACATATTCCATACAGGCCTGAGTCCAGCATTGGTTAAATAACAGTTGAAATGATGACATTGTTACTATTAAATATTCAAACAAAATTGAGATTGTATATGCTAATTTATATGATAAATAGCAACTAAGAGTCCATAAAAATATACACGCCGAGAAGTGTATTTATATCTTTATGAATTATCAATTATTTACGAAGAAAACTGATAAACAAAATCTGAACTATCACAAAAGTCAAAAAGGGCTTAAAAACAAGTTGGATTTTTAAATAATTTCGTTTAACAATAATTACTTACATAACTAATTAAAAAAGAAGTTTATTCTTTCACTCAGAAAAGATGTTGTTTTAAAATAACTTACGTACATTAATTAATTAATTTTAACATAAATATGTGGTGGGAAGAACCTTAAATGAATTATTTATATAACTTCACTATTGTTAATTCTACGGTCGAGAATTTTTGCCCGTGTTGTATAAATTAATATTTACATTTAATAACAAACGCAAACAGAATAATAAATTCGAATTTTATGTATTAAATTATAAATAGCATCTTAAAAAGCTACCCACCGAAGACACTTTAGTATTTGTTTTATAATTACCATGAACATAGTCATTTTAAAAAATGTATTTTTCACTTATAAAAGTAATTATCAAATTATAAAATTCGGTTACCAAATACAGTGATTTATTTCAATAATTTTATCCGAGGGTAGCTTTCTATATAGCTGAATTTATTTCATAAATTAATCGACCGAACAAATATTGCCCTTATTATAATTAAAAAAAAAAAGTTGTATCGTTAAGCTAATGGTTCTCACTCCTGGTATTGTATTTATATTGTCAACAAAATCCAGTAACAATCATGTACCTTAACAATCTATATTTCATAGTTTCATTACTTTGGTGGTTCTTGGAATAGTAAACAAATTAACATGTAAACATACATAAGAACATTTTTTATAATAATGTATAAGGTATAGACAGACATAAATATATGAGTCAATAAAAGTTTCCCAAAAGCAGTCTTGCAACTTGTAGGTTGTTTATATTATTATTATTACTTATTATCTACGAGAGCAATTAAAAAATATCAAAGCATGCATGGATAATATTGGTACCGTTCCGATATCTATATATTGGGTTATTTTGGATATAAATAATAAAGGCGAATAAAGGTATTCACCTATTTTGACATCGGTGATACCGGTTGGATGTCTATATTATTTCGATCGAATTCCTCATTTCATTGCTTGTTAATCAATGTTTATCTGTTGTTAGCAAATAAAATATGTAGGATATTGCTATGTATTTATTCGTACCTCTACATCAAAGTAATGACACCAATAAGTAATTTCATGACGAACTGGTGTATCAAATTATGACAGGTACTTTATGTTAAAGATTTTTTTTACATCGTGGGGCGAATAGACTTATTATAGAATTTTAATCTCAACTAGACGTTAGTTTTCAATGTTAATTAACAAATTGACTGCTGTCACCACATAAGGTAATGATAACTTGCTCAGTAGTCACTACCTTTATTTATATTAACTATTTCGAAATGGATTTATTCATAAAAAATTTCTTTAAATTAAAAACACAATTATTTTTTAATTTTTATATGAGAAATTAAGCATAAATTATATATATAAAAAAGTCGTGATTGTAATGTAATATTTGTAATGACTCATATCGATGGTGTACAAGGTAAATGATTATTATACAAACAATTTTGCTAACAAGCAATAAACGCTATTTTAAGGTAATTACAATATTCATAAGCTATGTGAATGTCTTGTGAAAACTTTCGTTGCTGTTTCCTAATTATTGTACATAATTTATATTGAAAACATTATATTCAGGGATGACACCATAAAACAGAAAGAACAAAAAAGAACGTACATAATTTATTTAACGTTGGATATTTAAACTTGGTATCATTTATTATGCATCTAAAGTTTTTTTAATCGGTTGTTTAGTTTCAGATCAAAGCAAGTCCAATTCTGTTTAGGTTGCTTTCTTGTTTTATATATATAATATAACTGTGTTTTATAGGATACGCCAATAGAACATTATTATTATATTCTGAAGTTAATAATTTTGTTGCTTTTAAAAAATGCTAAAAGAAGAGGCACTCGTTTATTTGCCTAGATATGCCTTACAAGTAGGCATGTAATAAAGTATAAAGCAAGTCTTTCATATTACATAAGTATCTCTAAGTGTGACTTAAACTAATAAAGCTTTCATTTTACGATCATAACATCTAATTTTACGAGACTCGAGACTCAATAAGACTATTTAATTGAAGAGTAAATCCATAAGAATAAAAACTAGGCAGAATAGACATTCTCGCCAATTAAATAATAATACCCCGTTTGCGGTTCGCATTGTCATTGAGAATTATGTTCATCTAATCTGCGTAATTGTGTGCAGTTCGGAGAGCATGTTTAATTGTAAGCCAGTAGATGCCACTTTATTTTTTATTTACCTTTGTCTAGATAACGCTGATGATTTGATTATTTAACAACCATAAAAATGTATGTGATATCACGTAAATGGATACTATCGTTAATCTGTAATTCCACAAAATTAAATTTGATGTTTTTTCAGAATAGTAATAAAACTTTAGTTCGGTAGTATTATTTACTTGACCTATTTAATATAAAGTCGATTATTATATACTTTTGAATACATAGATTATAGGAACTCTATCTGTACTTATCGGAGTTTAAGTATATAATTATGTTGAAAATATCAACAGCATATTACTGACTCGAATTGAATTCCTACAGTCAGTGGGGTCGCCCTAAACGACGTAAGTCTGTACGATGTCGTCATTAATTAATTTTTTACTCTTTCATTATTAAAACGGATTGTTTTTCATTATTTCTATCTATCTGTCCTATTAAAGAGCTGCGCTCTTGTCGGCGGGGCTCTTGGCACTCACTACGATTTTCAGTGAGTCTCTTCACCTCTTGATCCGACATGACACCAACTCCTTCCTTGATCTGCCTGATGTAACTATGTCTCGGTCTCCTTTTTCCCCTCCTTCCTTCTATCTTACCTTCTTTTATAATGTTCATAAGTTCGTCGTGTCGTATCAAGTGTCCCAACATTTTTCCCCTTATGTCCTCAATAGTTCTAATAATTTGTTTTTTTTCCTTTAAGAGGGATAGAATTAGCAATAAGGAGGTCATTGCTAATTCTATCCCTCCAGCTAATTTTCATTATTTATATATGAAAAAATTGTGATAACGCTATTTGATTGAGAGGAAGTACATTATATTTTTGGCATCGGTGCACTCACAAAGGAAAAGTATACGAGTGGTCATTTCTACCCAGGTTATTTATTCTTATGGTAAATCATTAAGTAAAAATCACATGTACATACAATGTAAAAAGTATAACCCTTCTTTGCATTTTTTTTATTGGTGAAATAAATCAAGGTAATATAATTCATGTTCAAAATTAAAGGAAAAATGCTTAAAAAAATAAATGTAACAGCTAGGGTTTTTTCTGCAATGGATATTAAAAAGGTATCCAGAGACGATCAACTTAAAGTGAACTTGTTCTTTTATATAATTTTTGGGCATTTAATGTTATGATGGAAATTTCCACAATTATGCGAAGAAGGGATAACAAAGTAAAACTCAATTGTTTATTTAAGAATTATGAATTATACAGAAGTGAAGCTAAGTTTATATGGAGCAACTATAATCGGATATAATGTAGTCACTGGTATTTTTTTTTTAGAAAAAAAGTAGTATATTTGTATTTATTTTAGTTAGTAAGATTGTGCTCTTGCGGTATCATTTTATGACGTTTCTAAAAGGCTTTCAAGATGATTTCAGCATAGTTCGTAAGCACACATAATAGTTTTGGTGTTAAATTAAGTTTCGTAATCAAGATTAATAAATTAAAAAAAAAAAAAACTTTGTGTCCTTGTGATACGACGGTGCAATTTTTAATTTATTGCAATGTTTTGATACTTACAAAAGCTTTAATAGAATGACAACGCGTCAATAAAACAGTGTCATACAAATTAAATATGTAATAATATCATAAACACACAGTGGTGTGTCTGAATGTTTTAACTACACATTCTCATCGCCAGGTATGTCGGAAGACACGAATGTTGGGAACAAAGCAGAGGAGGTAAACGCGAAATAAAAATATATCTAGTAAGCCGACTTGGTTAGGAATTTTATTCGCAGCTGGACTTTCCGCGACGATAACTCATTATCACGTATGGATATTTAAAACTGTTACGATATATTATAACTGTATCGTGGTACAGTAAACTATAAAAGCATCTATTACTGTCCTCCCGCTATTGTGCTGTTATATGCTGTTATAAAAATTAAATTTCTTAAATAACACGATGTACAAACAAAGTTTCACTTCTATATAATATTCGTTTCTTCTCACTAATTAATTGTGATGCGAGTATATTATTATGCAATATGGTAATAATGTCACTGGTTCAGAAGAAAAGCTACTTTTATCTAAGATAAAATAAATCATAGTATGTGTATAAAATGAGTACAATTTGTGCTAAAATTCGTGTCTCTTATTGTATTAATATTTGGCAGGTTTCAAGTCTGTATATTAATTTAACGTACTATCCGTAATTACTTAAGAGTACACATTTTATATCACTATAAACTCTACTGGTCATTGTCAATAGTGTAAAACAATTGTCATGTTACTAGTACATTTATGAAAATATAAAAGATAATACTATATTACGAAATAAATACTTATAAGGTACTTAAAAGAAAATTGATTAGATACGTACCGGATTAGATACACTAATGACAAAGACGAACGCATAGCCTAATTGGTGTTCACCTTACATTTTTTAACTAACTTTATTACTCATATATAATAATATATTTAATGTAATGTTTCTAATTGCGTATAATATATAAAATGATGTACGTAGCTTTGAAATTTGAAGCTATAACTCGATTGCTAAAACAACCATATAAAACCAAACTACAACATCCTATAGACTAAATAGTACCTAATTTCTACAATATCAGCTCGTAACAAAAACATAGTATGTATATCTTTTTATATCAAACATCAATAACGCCAAACGATAAACATAAATAACGCCAAAAGGATAGCTCCGTAAGAAGCACAGAAAAGGCACAAAATTCATAAGACAGCGCATAATCCAATGTGCGGTGTAACCGATGTAATTTGGTGATTTCATTACAATTATATTAATTGTTACGAATAATAATAGTTTTACCTGTTTATGTACACACACAAACAATGCTGCTGTCATTCTATTATCATGATATCAGCCGTAACTAGCTGATATTGGTAATCGATAGGGATAATAAACGGAAATGGTTTTCCCATAATTACGTGAGAGTATTTTTTAAAATAGAAAATGACGCGCACGATAGATGGATAAAATTATCTACATTAAAAATCGTATTACTTCTAATTCCTTTATCTGTGTATCAATTAAAGGCAGACAGGTTAATCTAGCTTCGTAATGTAATTATAAGCAAGTTATATGATACCACAAGAAATATGTACCACATCAAGAGAAATATAATAATCTTGTTCCTAAAGAGATAACACATAACAAGTGAATAATATAGCGGCCAAGTTGACAGTATTCTTGTATTTGATCATTGGATAAAATACAAGGATTTTGACATAAAGCTTCCGTTCGGATATCCGAGGAGGGCGCGAGCAGAGGATAAACAAAATATCAAATTCGACCTTGGAATGAACACTATAGACCGCAGAGTCCTCCATGACTTTTTCGTCGTCATCGTCAAAGGAGAAGTTCAGTGCCGTCAATATTTTGTTTGGAGGCACCTCAAAAATATTGTGACCTCATTTCAGACTACAGGCTAAGGTAGATCATGACTAAATCTTACAGAATTAAGTCTCATGGGAATGGGAGATAATGAACGATAGGCGGGCGAAGTTGTAGCTTTAATGTACTCGTATGTTTTAAGGGGTTGGGTAACCAATACTTTTTTTCAATCCAACTATAATCTTTATAATATATACATTTTACATCTTTGGGATTATTTAGAATTGGGTCTAAATTTAAATCATATCGAAAAGCAGTTACTGGACGCTACATTATTTTATATTTAACGTTTATTTGATGTGATTTCAATTTGACCCTAATTCGGTCACGTCAAAGATCAACACATATTTTTAAGTTATATACTCAGCAGCGTTGTTTGTATGACATAATTTTGTCAAAAATTACATAAGATAGGTAAATTAATGCCGGCCTATTATTTACCGTGGCATGCATGGTTGGTTCACTGCCGGTCGACCGTTCGCTTGAGCCACTGCGTGAAATGCCGTAACTGCCACACAGCGCGTGCTGATTCTTCGCGTAAGCGTGCATTGTGTCGTCGTAATCGACGTACCTGCGAACAAAATGTTGATTTCTTGTATTGGAAATACACTCCGAATTAACTCTACTAATAGAGAATATGTTTCTAGAGTGAGTCGATTTGGAAGTGTGACAGTATAAAAATGAGAAAGATTTATTACAGTATTTTAGAAAAACATTCAAAGTTATTAATCAGTGTCTAGCTAATCCATGACTTAATCTTTAATAAACACAAAAATCTTGAAAATGTTAAATAAGGCCTATTTACTAATCAACAGCATACCACTTTATCATTCATTATCAATCCAAGGCTCTTTTTACATTGCTTATTGCATTTTAAGTTATAATTACATGCAATTAAGCATAATTATTATTTAATTCATATAGATTATTATATAAATTCCCAAAGAGGGTTGACGTCAGGCAGGCGGCCGGTCGTAAAATTATAAGCCAAATCCTTTAGTAATATGGATAAAACCATATTACGCCGACCCCAAATAATAATTGGAATAAGGGTAGGAAGATGATGATAGTAAAGATAAGAGCATAGATAATGGTTACATTGGGTTACACTGAGATATTGCGATGTCGCAGTGTAACATTTCAAATTTTAGGTAAATTATCTTGTTAATACTTTTACATAGATAAAACAGTATTAATGTGATTTATGATGAGCTGATGATGATAAATTTTCCTAAATGTCCATTGATATCATACATACATACATACATATCTGTCACGTCTGTCTCCCATTAGGGTAGGCAGAAACAATTGATATCATGGCCCCAAATTATATATATAGATCGGAATTTCTATATTTCTTATTAATTATATTATTAGATGGATTTGTATTGTTTTAAAACGTTAATAACACAAGGAATTTTACATGTTCGCATATATGACCGTGTATATAAAAATTTCGTACGTAATTAATGGAGAAGTGGAAATAAAAATTGATAATACAACTAAACAATTAATATATTTTATATCGAAGACAGCGTGCTGTCTAATGTGCAGATAAATAATTTATTTTATTTTCATTACATTCTATTAAAACATACTATGTACTGACCTCCTCCTCGAGCTGGTGCTGGTGTCGCTGCGAGGCGACGGCGTCAGCCTCCAGTGCAGCCACCCTCGGCGCCAGGCCGCACCCGCACACCACGTTACTCGCCGCACCACTCGCCACTGCTGTATTCCCCACCGTCGCACTACTCGTCACCGCCACACTACTAGTCAACGGCGTACTCGGATTGCCCACCATGGGACCGTTTCCACTCGTCTCTGTACTCTGCTACAGATGAAACATATTATAATAGCAACAAAGATGTTTTTCAATATTGTATGGAACTTGGAACCAAACCCTATGCACAATATATGAAAAAAAGTTAAAGATTTGTTAAAATAACAAATCTTTTATTAAATTTGTGCCATAAATAAATTCAAACTTAAAGAATTATAATAAAGTTAAACGTCATTCTGATTAACATTATTTGGGGAAAGATATGCAAATTACAATAACACAACTTACTGGTACGTCAGGCCATGCTTCAGGTACGGGTTCAGTAGCTATACTTTCTAGAGATGGGTCTGTATTGTCCATTGATGGATATTGATGTTCTTCACAGATCTGAAAAGGAGGTCTCATTAAGGTGTTTATATAGTTCTTTTTTTTATACAACTTAGAATGGCAAACAAGCTGACGGAACACCTGATGAAAAGTGGTAACCGTCGCCTATAGACATGAGCAGTACCATGGACTAAACAGAGTATACTGTTTCGCCCACGATACCCCTCATGTGTTACCATTCCTGAGGACTCAGATGTTATTCCTCTGTACCCTGTAAATTTATGCCATATCCCACCCTTTAAACCGAAACACAGCCATGCAAACACAACTGCTTCACGGTAGAAACACGAATGGGACAGAGGTACCCAAGCAATCGACTTTTGTACAAAGTCTCCCTCTGGTAACTCTTATTTACAATTCTTAATCTATTTTATAATTTACCTTCGGGTTTTATTTGCAGTTTTCGGCAGTTTCGAGCAGTTCTTTTGGTGTAAGTAAATAGCCGAAATAATTAACATAATTAACATTAAAATAATTAATATTAACAAGCTCAAGCAACACAGGCCACGGAGGAAGGTCTTCCAATAAATATTACGGAAATGTCATCATAGTTATTTTAATCTTCTAACGTTTACATGTTCTCTTCTTAAATAGATTATCACAAGCAATAATCAAGAGCACGACTCCTCAACAACAAATTTCTCTTATGCGAAATTCAGGTATATTGGAAACCCACATAATTAACTTCCAAAACTTAGTCTTGTTAGAATAAGTCTTTTTTTATATTGTATTTGATTGAATTTTACGTTTTTAGATTGATTTGATGATTATTTTTGTAATCTAGAGTTTAATCTTGTTTTGGTCCTATTCTAATTTTGTCACAATTAAATGTATTTTTTGCAGAATAAAAATTTTATTATAATATACCTGGAGCATAGCGCGTGTGGCAGTGTGCACGAGCGCGGCCCAGTCCAGGGCGGTGGCGTCGGGCAGCGGTAGGGGCGGAGCCCGTGTGGCGTTGGTCACATTCGCTACTCCTACATTGGGGTTTCCCACATTTGGCACTCCACCACTATTCGCCAGTGCTGGTGTACTTGCCACGCTACTTGATCTAGTTTCGCCAAGTTCCGCATCCATTAATCGCATCAATTCTTCCTGTATGTAATGAGGAAAAATTATCTTTATTTAATAAATGTATTTAAGGGTGAATTTTAACGCCGCTCTTTATTAAATATGGTTTTATGTATTGTTATAATAGAAATTGTCTATTTTCAGCTTCGATTTCTGACTTAAGTAATATTCCTAAAAATATTTTAATACAGTTATTATATAACAAATGTTTCCTTTAAATAAAAAAATTCTCAATCAAGTCACCTTTAACAACGAAAATGGTTAATTAGTTTGAGAGTTTCGTTCTACGTTAAACTTAAGACTTTTTAGTTAAAAAAAAAAAAAAAAAAAAAAACTGACAGCTTATGCTACTACAAGCTCTGCTTAGCTTGGACCTAGATAGTGTAATGCATTATAATCATATCAGCTGTTGATTGTCGACTGCTAAACATAAGCCTCCCCCTTGAGGGAGTTTGCCAGTTGTTGCTACGCTTGGCAGGCGAATTGGCAACCACAGTTAGGCTTTGGTGGTGTTTTAAGAGGAACGATGCTGCCCATCTCTCGATTATTAAGTTCCCTTAGCGCCTCTTACGACACCCACGGGAAAGGAAGGGATAGCCTATTCTATGGCGAGAGCAGACGGCATTGTAGTATGTCCGATACCTAGATTATACAGATAGAGCATCTAGCCTTTAAAGTCAAGGGTAAAGTTTTTGTCAGTGTTCTATATAATTATGCATAAAATGTATCGTGATATAATATTTAATAAATAAAATGAGTGTTTATGCAATAAAAACATGCAGGAATTATAAGACAAAATAAGTATAGAAGTTATAAAGGTATCACTAATCAACTATTTATCACGTAAAATTGTATGAAAAAGTTGTGCCGTTTTTCTCGAAGCATTTATATGGAGACACAGTATGTGTATAACAGGGGTTGCCAAACTTATTTTGTCTACTGCCCACTTTGAGAATAAATTATTTTTTAGTGCCCCCATTTTTTCACCTACTTTAAAACCACTATTACTACAAGCCTCTAACGCCTCTAAGCCTTTAACATAACGCCCCCATTTTTTTTTAGGTCTCTTACCGCCCTTTAGACTTGCAGCGTCCACAAGGGGGCGTTATCGCCTACTTTGGGAAAGGCTGGTGTATGATGTGAGGTCCGGATGGTAGTAGGGTACGCACGGTGAGCGAGCTGGTGTTGGCGGAGGCGCGCTTGTGCCGCGCGTGGCGCGGCGCGTGCGGCGAGGCGGCGGCCGCGTCGTCGGTCGAGCGGCGCCGCAGCAGCGCCTCCGACACCGGCGACGACTGCGGCGAGCGCCGCGCGCTGCGCCCCGACCCGCCTGCCGCGCACCACGCCATATTCACGTTTTATTTTTTTTAATTGGTGATAATGTAATTGTAAACCGCCTGCGCTACCGGTATATACCAGTGAAGGATGATAGGTGAGGATGTAGCAGGTCAGTTAGTCCATCGTGATGAATTCCACTAGAATTAATTACGATGGTTTCCATATTACCTGTTAGGGTGTATTGCTGGTTGTGGGTCAGTGAGACCCCATTACTAACAATTCCTTTCCCCCCTACCCAATATTAACGTTAGTACAGTGGACGCGGGGGAAGAGGGATTGTTAGTAATGCGAACTACCAGTCTCATTGTTAGCAATTTACCCTGTCAGGTCGACCTCAACGTGGTCTCTCCTAGAAAACATCGTGCTGAATTTCAGGTGTATTCATCACGATGAGCTAACTGACTTGACTTTTTCTTTTGATTTATCATTTCTCACTGGTGGCCCCGCCAGTGTACACCGTTAGCGCAGGCGAGGTTACTCTCCCATTATCATACATTAAAAATAAAGTTAGTACAGTTGTTCGTTCTAGGGGTTTGAAAGACTAGTGGTCATTTGCTTATTTTGTTATGAGTTCGTTTGAAAACCATGCTTGTTATCTTAAAACGAATTCCTAGTGAATTGGTCATTACCATCAATAATCTCTACTTGTCGGTGTTAATAGCGGAGGCGGGGTTATAATTATAATGTTATTACATTAAAAAAATTTTCGATAAAAGAGAAGGGTATTGTTAGTGGTAATCCCATTGTTAGTTATCATTGCAGCATATACAATAGATCTTGGAATAACATTGTGTATAAATAGGTTATAAAAAGGCGCGTCGCGGCCGGACTGGTCGCTGTGACCGATGCGAGGATGGGGCGGGGAAGGGGCAATGTGTACCGGTGCCGTAGCCGGAACTGTCGGAACGCGGCGGCGAATGGCCGCGCTCGTACGCCCGGCGCGGCCGGCCCGGCTGCTGTGCGTCAGCCCGCGCGGGCGGCGCCCACTCCTCGCTTGCCGCCTCGCATTCGCACCGCGAGCTACTAGCGAAAGTTACTGTCACCTGCGCATAATTTTGAATTTATAAAACCTTGAATATAATTCATACTTCACCAGAGGGAGATTTTGTACAAAAGTCGATTGCTTGGGTACCTCTGTCCCATTCGTGTTTCAACCGTGAAGGAGTTGTGTTTGTATGGCTGTGTCTCGGTTTGAAGGGTGGGATATGGCGTGAATTTACTGGGTACAGAGGAATAACACCTGAGTCCTCAGGAATGGCAACGCATGGGGGGTATCATGGGCGAAACAGTATAATCTGTTATGTCCATGGTACTGCTCATGTCTATAGGCGACGGTTACCACTTTTTATCAGGTGGACCGTCAGCTTGTTTACCATTCTAAGTTGTATAAAAAAAATATGGTATAAAGTCCCTCACTTTTTTTGTATGTTTTTCTATGTTTCTCTTATTAATATTTTCTTTTTTTTTTTCCGCTTTATCCTTACCACTCAGTTAAAATTATATCAAATTATACTCTGAACTATTTACATTATTTTTATTATACACACACCGCACAGACAATCACCAATAATATTGCTCTTTTTATTTTGTATTTATTTTAATTATTATTTTCACATACCCTCAAATGGGTTAAAGCTGAAAATCAGTGTTTTGTTCCTTGAACAATGTTCCACGCTGAGCTTCGACCTTTTTGTGTTGCTGCAGATCACACATAATAACACAATTTTATAAATCTTATGTTGTATTATGTATTATCTATTCTTATGAACATGTTGTGTGTGATTAGTAACAAACAAATAAACGATATATCTATCTATCTATCACTGCGTTTACCTGTCTGTCTGTATAAAGCTAAGCTCAAAAATTTATGTAGGTATTTCGATAGAATTTTAATTGGATTGTATTAATTTATTTTGTTATAGTTAAGTACACACTCATAACAGTTAAGTGCAACAGTTTAAATATTTCAGGAGTAGTTTATACTGACTGTGACGGGGTCGGAGGTCTTGAGTAGGTCGACGAGCTGGTCGTGCGCGAGTGCGACGACGGCGGCGCGGCACACCTCGAGCAAGCGGGCACCGCGACGGATGCCGGCGCGCGCCGCACAGCCTCCGCCCTCCACCGCCGTTACCAGACCGTCCGGCTGCACGTGGAATCCTGATCATAACCAACTTACAATGATTAGTGTTACATAACGAATCGATAAATAATCCTTATCCAACGATGATTAAGTTATCTTGAATGTAGTCACAAATAATCGAAAATATAATCGACTAATAAGTTGTTATATATAATTAACCAATTATTAGTATTAGTAGTTCTTAAGCGTTATATATCAATTATAAGAACATCGGGATTCTCCATCTTCACGACTAGTATAATAATTCCAGACTTACTTAGTAATTTTACCCCCATATAAACAGCCTTTTAAACAGAATTACAAGTTTGCAGTATAGTTTAATGAGAAACATAGATGCTACTGTTTTATAAATATACAAAGTGTCCTTGTTATTTTATAATATATATGTATATACAATAAATAAGTAGGTTTTCATGAAAATCTTTAAGTGATCATCATCAAGTGATATTACCGAGCTGATGTGCGGCGCCACGCTCTAGCGTGATCTCGTGCAGCGCGGTGGCGTGCGGTGGTGCGACACTAGCGAGCCGCCGCCGCAGCGCTGCGCTACCGCTGCCGGCCCGCACTCGCACGCTCTCCCCGCGATGATAGTACACGCGCGTCCACTCGCCGTTCTCCACCCAGCCTGTTGAAAAAAAAGGTTATTAGTAAATGGGAGGTTTGTATTGCCTGTGCCATCGGTATACGCTGACGGGGCACTAGACTATAATTATAATTATAATTAATATAGTTACAATATAATAGTTGAGCTATCATGACAAATTCTATACGAATGAAACAACGGTTTCCAGGGGGAACCACATGGAGGTCAACCAGATAGGATTGTTTTTGTAGTAGTAGGCACATATCATGCCATTCTGTATGAAATCTCTGAGGTGCATCATTGTTACATTACAAAGTTTTGTACTTGGTTATTTACATTTATCTTACCGATACAATAAAATTGCAAGTAGATCATGTCTGTGAGAAATTTAAGAAAACTTATAATAAGAGGTCTGAGTGAGATTAATAAATAACAAAACTATAATTTTTAGAAATTTTGTCTACATGTATGGTTGTTCCGGCATTATGCAAAAACGATTGCATCAAGTTGAATGCATTATCCACAGTTGTGCTCCTGAATGTTTACATTAATCTGGTGTATGTTTTATATTTATACACCATCTAAAAATGGAAATCCACGTGCAAGAAAAAGTGAGGAAAAAGCTAGTGTACTATGTGTGTATAATGGTTAGTATTATATTTAGTAATTTTGGTGAAGGGTTTTTTAATATTTGTATACCCAATAATGGCGCAAAACAGCGATCTAAACTAATTATTATATATAATATCATGAAACTAAATACCTATGTTTATGCAAATAAATTATTGACTTAACTAGCATTCTTTACCAGTCAACCTTTGTAAAGACTGAGATGCAATTATATGGTGACAGACAATTGAAAATTGTTGTAGATAAATAGTTACAGATGTATTTATATTGACTCATAAATTATTTAATCTATACAATGGAGAACTACTATACATAAGAATAGAGAAAATATTGGAAAGCAACTTCAACTGTCTATTTTAACATATAGGGAGCCATTTAAACTGGGATCATTATTACGTAAATATAATATAAAACAAATAGAATCATTAATTTCGACGATGCAATTTATTAAGATCTTCATTATGATCAGAATAACATACATGAATATAATCAATAATGAGGGGAATAAGTGCATGAACAAGTCATAATATTAGTTTTAATTGGGGAAAAGTGCTTAAAATGATTAATATACTAAAGTGTGGCTATGACAGAATGACTAATCTCAGCTATTATTAGCATGACAGTCATAGGCATGGTTTGTTGATAATAGAATGTACATTATATTACTAAGACGGCAACTTCGAACTGTACATATAACAATTGAAATATAAATTTTAGTACATAAATGATTATAACAAAGCAAAACATACCAAGAAGTGTGCCAGTAGGTATGACCAGTATGATCTGCCGCGTGGTATCTTCTACAAGTACAACTGTATCGGCCGACACACCCATCATGCAGTCTAATAGCGACCCGCCGGCGCCTTCATCCAGCACTTGCACCTGTATCATGCACATTATATGTTAAATGGTAAATAAGCAGATAGCTTAAATGATAGAAAATAATAACCATTATCTATAAACATAATTAGCATCACTGTAGAATTATTAACTTTACTTCGTGACACCCATAATATCCTCCAGATCGTCATCATCTGTTCACTGCTGAACATATACCATAGACTGCCATAAGAAACGGTTCTGAACTACCTGCATTCATTGACTTTCTACAATGCATTTGAGGTTGTCCAGATATCCTCATGTGTGGCTGAGTCTGTGGACTATGCTGGGGAGCTATGTATCTCTTCCCAATAATTTAACTGTCATATCCAATTATTTAAACAGTCATACATGCATAGTTGCAGGATAGTAGAAATCCGAGTGAGATTCATGCAAACTTTGTCTTTGATAAATATTTTATTTTCACGTCATATAAGTCTGAGTGTCTAATTCCGGTTTTTAGGTTTATAATTATTGCTAGAGATAAATTAAGACATGCGCCTGTCGCAGTTGAGATGTTTTAAGGACTACTTATTATTATACACAGTACAATGCTATACTTACATGAAAACAGAGTGCTCCTCCAACAAGCACGTCGTTTGTGCAGTTGTCAATGCGCGGTAGGATCGTGTTGCTGCTTGAATTGTTACCGCTTTTCATCAATAAAGACGAAAATAAGGCTAGAGAAAAACATGAATAATAAATATTATATTTAATATTTGTTAATTATACGTAATTTGGCACATATACCAATTACTACACTTCTAATGGACTGGAATTCTAACTGACAGATAATTGTGAAGTTGCCACACTTCGGTAAGTAAAAATTAAGAACGTTCTAAATTTAAGTAAATACAATGATACTAATTAATTTGTGTTATTTCTCAAGTGTGCGCGGGAAACCCGATATGTCAATAGCCGACATTTTGTAATTTGCCCCCAAAGACAAATTAAAGATAATTAGGAAATAGGCAAACTTACAAAATTTCTGTCCAGTTTCCACAGTAGTGGCTGATACATAATTTTTGGCTAAATCCTTTAGATATTCTTGCCGTGTGCGTGTTGCCATTGTGCTAAATTTAGGCGATTGTATTGCTGCATTTTCGCCATTAATTACCTATATAAATAAAATTAAAATATTTATAAAAAAAAATTAAGTACATAATTATGACAAAAGCAATAACAGGTATGGGGCATTGAATTTATATAATGTAAAACAAAACAATAAATACTACAACAATATTAAAAAAAAAATAGTATTACACATTTTTTTTTCTTAAGTTTTTATTGTAATTATTCCATTAGTAATATTAAATGAACAATTAATTACAAATAGCCTAATGAACATAACAATATTAAGTATGTAACACTTTATATCAACATACCTTACTTAGAAGTAAATCAGTGAATGCTTCACCCTTTGGATAAACAGCACCATGTTGGATCGGAGGACCAAATAAAGGCACTTCTTTAGCACGACTCACTGCTATACTGTAGTGAGTGTTTTCTGTACAGGGATCTATAACCCTGACCACAACGAAAACGTGTTGAAATTGAGAACGAATATTGCGCGGTGTAAACGGTGCCGCGCCGGGTTCCTGGAAGACTATAGTTACTATATCGTTGCCTATGTGTCGCTTCCTTAACAGCTGCTGCCTATTATTTGGCGTGTATGGAAGCATAGTAGAAACGTGAAACATTATTTCACAACCCTGGTACGTAGTATATACTGAATACAGGCCAGTAGAGTCTGTTCGGTTGTCAAGACCCGCTTTGTATTTGTCAAATTCTTTTAATCTTACAGTCTGTCCTAACATTTGTAGAAATTCAACAAAGGCGGGCCCTGCTTCTTGATTGTTATACATTTCTTCCTCTGTGGACTGACCACTCTTGCAATACATAACTCCTACTTTATAGTGTCTGGTTACACATTGTTCGTCAAGCCGTAATAGTTGATCTTCTGCTCCACTATTTGTAATTCCAAGTCTGTAAAACATTATTGAATATGAAAAGAATTATGGCTTTATGTAGAATATTACATAACTGTTTTTCATATTTATCATTATCATCATCATCTCAGCCATTAATTATTTCTCCACTGGTGAACATAGACCTCCTCTATAAACTGACTTTTTTTTTAAATTACTATTGGTTAATGTCTGTTTACTGTTTACACTAGTACAAAATTAACAGATGGATATATACCAGAGCTCCCTCTGCTATATATCTTTTGTACAAAGTCGTTTGCTTGGGTACCTCTGTCCCATTAATGTTTCAACCGTAAAGCAGTTGTGTTTGTATGGCTGTGTTTCGGTTTGAAGGATGGGACATGGCGTGAATTTACAGGGTACAGAGGAATAACATCTGAATTCTCAGGAATAGCAACGCATGGGGGTATCATGGGCATAACAGTATACTCTGTTATGTCCATGGTACTGCTCATGTTTATAGACGACGGTTACCACTATCCATCAGGTGGGCCGTCAGCTTGTTTGCCATTCTAAGTTGTATAAAAAAAAAGTGAAATTTTAAATATATTTCAATTAGATATTTTTGCAAATCATGTAATACGAAATGAGAACATGATAAGCATGTCACATTCAGTTTGCGATAAACCCATTGCTATGGTACTTGAATATGAAATGTGTAGTGTTTTCCCTGTTTATAATTTCATATAAGTCGTTTATTATACAGAAAAGTTCGACATGGTAAGAGGGATGGACAGTAAGCCTATTTGTAGTTGCCAATCCGTCTGTCAGGTATGGTAGGCTACTGGGAAAATCCCCCAATATGGGAGGCCAGTTCAGCAGTGGACGGTTAACGCCCGATATAATTATGATGAAGATTAGGACTAATATATATAAGACATGAGTAGTGACAGTAAATTGATCTGTTAACCTTATTAATGAAATGTATTATTACCAGAGGGAGATTTTGTACAAAAGTCGATTGCTTGGGTACCTCTATCCCATTCGTGTTTCCACCGTGAAGCAGTTGTTTGCATGGCTGTGTTTCGGTTTGAAGGGTGGGATATGGCGTAAATTTACAGGGTACAGAAGAATAACATCTGAATACTCAGGAATGGCAACGCATGGGGGGTATCATGGGCGAAACAGTATACTCAGTTATGTCCATGGTACTGCTTATGTTTATAGGCGACGGTTACCACTTTCCATCAGGTGCCTCCCTGAGCTTGTTATCTTGTTTAAAATACTGAATATTTTTAAAAGTTAAAAAGTTAATTAATTAACAATAATAACTACTGAGTGTTATTTGGTAATTATAAATATATATGTACTCACTTCAAGCAATTATACTGCAATTCAGGTGCAACATACTCAAGGACTTCTTTAGTATTATAGGTGGCGCTGTTATTGCTAGGTTTAGCTGCGGGGATGGCGTCCTCTAGCACTGTGCCCCGTAGTGTAAGCAGTTCCGAAGTACGTATTATGAGACGATACTGCCAGGCGAGCTGCGAAGCTGGAGCTGACGCGTCGCCTCCCCCACCCCTTCTTAGCTCTACCCGTTCCTTTTTTATCGATATAGCTATCGGCCCTAAGTTCTCATCCATACCAAACCAGTTTTGATGAGCTGAAATGATATTATGATATGATTGTGATGTATATTGTAATATAATATTTTCCTATTTCAAAAAGGACAAGTTCTTCATTTCAATATATTTACAGTTTTTTTTTTGCGTTTAGTACGCATTATATTTGTAATTTTACGAGCTTGATGGCGTAGCAGTCTAACAAACTGCCTCACCTTTCGATTGTCATGGGTTCAGTCTCTGTACAGTACAAAATTTGTATTCTTATGTATGTCTCAATACTAACCAACACAAACAGCGGGTGGTGAAATAACCCCCTTATTCATAAAACGGAGCCGTGTAAAATACCCAACAAGTACATTGCAATTTGTTGCTTACAAAATTGCAAGTCGTGTAGGTCCCGGCATAGAATAGGCCAACCCTTCCTTTCCCGTGGGCGTTGCAAGAGGCGACTAAGGAAGCGTGTGGTGAAAGGATAGGCAGCAACGTTTCTCTTAAAACATCACTGAAAGCCAAACTGCTGTTGCTAACCCGCCTGCCAAGCGTGACAACTATTGGCAAAATCCCTCTTATAGGGCTATGTTCAGTAGCGGACAGTTAATGGCTAATGCAACAACAACTTTGTAATTATTAGGGTTCTTATATTTATACAAATTTTGTGTTATTTGAAGTATCTTTTTGTGGAAATATTGTATAATAGACGTGTATTTTAATTTGAAAATAGTTCAAGAAGAGATAAACTTACGTTGATTGTAAAAGTAGTTTCTGTAATACAAGGCACCTAAATCTTGACTTTCCACTGGTAGAGGTGCAGATAATTTTGCGAATGGACAGCCATGTCGCCAATGTGAATGTCCTGGAGGAAACTCAAGTACTGATATACCGTATGCCGCTCTTGGCCGATGCCACCCTCCATTTTGACCTGGGATAGGCCCTCGCGCCGTTCGCCAGCACAGAGGTACGCAGCGTTCTTCTTCACCTGTAATATTTTGAGATAAGACTAATTTGGTATTAAGGCGTAAATTATAGCTATATTTACACTGTGCATTGTTTAAATAAATAAAAAATATTAAAAGTAAACTGCAATTTACATACTACAAGCAGCATTTATATTTTTACTTAATAAAGCATTTTTAATATAAAAAAATACCTTAAAATTAAAGTTTCAAATTTAAAAACTTATTTAATTTAAATACGCAAATAAGTATTAAAATAATATACTAAACATGTGACAGTTTATTTAAACCGTGACATTTTTCGTACTTAGAGAATTTTTATGCTCATCATAACTTCTAAACGAAAAATCCGACTTAAATACTTTTAAGTGGAATTTACACGTACATATTCAGTCTTAATTATCAAACCATTTAAATGGATAAGGATTAATATGATGATATCAATATCACCACTATTCGATATACTTGAACTTAATAATTTAAACAAAAATTGTTATTGTGGCTTATCTTAATATAATAATAGTTAAACATATGCCATCGCGGACTTTTTTGAGTAATCATAATTACTATTAATATATAGAACACTATTTTATATACCGTTAATAGTTTTTTAGCGCACGCAAAATAATTATTGATTATAGGTAACACTTTGATATCTTGGGTTAAATTGTTCCAATTTAGATAGCGATTTCTAATGTTATTTGACGAAGACGTAGCTTTCTAACATTCAAAGAATTTATAAAATCGGTCAAGTAGTTCTCGAGTAAAATCATAACAAATAAACAAACTTTTTGTTTGTTGGAATAAAAAAATCTCTTTATGATATTAGTTTAGAAGATGTTTAATTTAGGTTTATTCTGTTACCTCTTCACTAGGGCTAAATGGATGAATGAATGCTTAATGAAGTTTTATTATTGATTAGAATTTACGCTAATTTAAAAATTGGTATATAGGAAAATAATTTGATTGTCACCTCAATTATTTGAAATTACGTAAAATTCTTTGTTAGTAGGATTATCACGTTTACGAAAAGACATGAAGTTGTATATAAGGGTACTTTGTACCATTAGCAAGGAAGCTAAGAAGGGATATTTTTCTTTATGGAGTATGTGAAACAACATGGACAAATAAAATTACAATAAAATTGAAATCTATTGGGTCAGTAGTTATGAAGGTAGATACTAGATCATGATGTTTGATGTTTCCAATATAATTTCTTACAAATATATCTTTAACACATAATTCTATAAAAATACAACAAAATCATTATAATGATATATTAATAAAAGGCAACAGACATATTACCAAAAAGTAATGAATTTAAAAGTTTATGTAAATGTTTAATTTTTATGAATTCCCAAGATAATAAGAGAAAATTTATTTATTGCACCTGAAAATGCATTGTTTTTTCAAATCATATGCATGTATAGTTTAAAAGTTTATAGTTTGCCATCCATTCTGTTGAGCTCTAGCTCGATCTGTTAGTTTTAAATCTAGATTAACACAGATATCAGACTAGTGAAAATTGTGTTTATAAAGAAAAATTACTTTCTATAGAAAGTAATTTAAAGATATCTAGTTGAAAATTTTTTAGGAAAGCCAAAAGACCTTTAAATTATCTGCAATCTATACTAATACTAATAGTGAGATATATCAATAAATATTATCCATTACAGATATACAATGTTTCACCTGGTTTCATCTGTGTTATTTTAAATTAGGACTGTAGGTACTAAATTTTGTTCAATGATAAATAATCAAGTGGTTTGTGGATATAAGAAAGCTTTAGCTCCTTTAGAATTGTAGTATAGGCTCTTAGGTGATGCGAACAAAGAATCACAGGTCAGATAGTACATAATAATCTTAGACAGATGTAAACAAGCTCATCAGTGATATATAAAGATAAAAATTATTTAATGAACAAGAAATATAAAAATAATAGCAATAGTAAAAGTTTATGAATGTTAAAGTTCAATAACCCTTAATTCCTATTAAGGTTGGTAAATTAGTAGCCATTTATTCACAGAATCTGAGGAAACTGTCATGTGTAATGTATGAGTCATGTAAGGTAAATGTTGCTCATAAAACCATGTCACTTTGGGGAATTTATAACTATATTACATAATTTATTAGTTGACACAATACTGTATTTTATATCATATGTTTTAAATAGAGAACATAAATAAGTACACAAAAATTATGTATCACTACATAGTATAAAACAAAGTCTCTGACGCTGTCTGTCCGTCCCTATGTATGCTTTAGTCTTTAAAACTAAGCAACGGATTTTGAAGCGGTTTTTTTAATAGATAGAGTGATTCAAGAGGAAGGTTTATATGTATAATACATGCATAAAATTGTAGAGAAACACTGATAAATTTAGAGGTTTCTAATGTGATGTAGTAAATAAACACATCTTTTGCCCTTACATTGCAAACACTGGCTGAAACCCACAAGATAAATCAAAATAATGTACTACAATATTGTATACCTTAAAAAGTTTAACAAAAAAGTCTGCGATAACCCACAATAGCCATTTTTTATCCTTTACATTTTACAGAAAAATGGCTTATTTACAACGTGATTTTAAGCAATACAGCATTAATTTTTATCCAATTAAGTATCTTAAATACATTGTTGTTTAATATAGATGAATATGGTTTTTATAGCATGTAATTTAAATGAATATTTTCAAAGATATTATGGATTTAAAATACAGGAACATAGCAGTGTGGCATTGCACCCATGCGAAGCCAGGGCGGGTCACTAATTACAAATATAAAGTAAATATTAAGTTTACAGAAATAACTTGATAGACATTTATCTTTTCCATTAAATAAATGAAAGTGTAGTAATAAACACTCACAAATATTCAGACATTGTACTAGAGGTACAGTCAATAAAGAAAATTACTTGTAACAAATATCCAAGATTGTACTCATGTATATAATAACAGATACCACTTCTCATCAATTAGGCTGTTTATAATTTCTAGTAATATTCTATTTACAATATAATGACACAATAGTTGTGACTATTATTAGTTCAACTTATAATGTTGATAAACAATATATATGGGCCTTTCTCTACTAACAGGAAAATCATGGTCCAAGCATTTTTTTTCACTTTGGCTATATTAATGCACAGTTTTGTTTATTAAAACACATAATATATAACCTGTTTTTTAAGGGGCCAAGCTTAATCAATATTTAGAATCATAATTATTTCATAAATTCGGTCTAAAAGCCATTAAAAACAGTCCTCTGTTATGTCCTAATTCCTGATTGAGTATGTTTCAGTTCGGTTTTTATTAGTTGTATTTCAAAATGTAAAATCTTATAACTCTATGAACATAAAGAATATTGAATGCATGTGAATAAAAAGCAATTATAATTTTAGAGAATTTTTTTGTACTAAAAACTAGTGTTCGAATTTTGTCCGATACATTTGTAAACAGTCCTCTGTCAGAATTTTAATATCGCGCCACAAAAATATTAAACACCATTGTGGCTACATTTTGCATGAAACGGAACATTAATAGTGTGAAGTTTACTCGGTCGCCATGCTAAACAAGTCGCCGTCATTTTGCGCAGTGACAACTCCGCGTCTGTGTGGGAGCCTCGTCTCTGTAGTGTTGAGTGAACATTCCTCTGGTAAGTCTATTTTACGGTATTTTATGTGTTAGAATTATATTTATTTAACAAAAAAATTGCTCAGTGTGATAGTTTAAAGTTGTTTCTGTGTTATGAAGTAATATTTAAACTAATACGTGGTATGAATTTTTTTACGTAAAAATAACAGTCCTCTGTGCAACAGTCCTCTGGAAATTTATAACACAGAGGACTGTTCAATGTGACAGAGGACTGTTTTATTTGACGTCCGTGTATTTTATTAATATTTTTTATAGTCTGCACTAACCTACTGCTTGCCGATAGTCTCTTTCTTTCTTACATTGGCCTGTCACGCTAATTCAGGTCTTTTGTTTTCTATTATTATGGATTTTGGAATATAAAATAATATGTACCTAGTAACTACGTGTATTTAAACCCTTACGGTTTTTGTTTAAATATTGAAAGTATGTTTTATTGTTTTAGTACCACCGCAATGCCACCAAAGAAGAAACCTAAAACCAAAGAAGAAATAAAAGAGCAGAAACGAATTGCAGAAAGATTAAGATATCAACGTCTAAAAAATGATCCTGTAAAAAGAGAGCAATTGAAGGAAAAAGAACGACGAAACTACCAAAGAAAGAAGGAAAAAGGTACAAGAAAGTCCGTTAAAGATATGAGTCGACGTGAACACAAAGCTGTGACTAAAGAATGGAGAAAGCACTGTGCTACCTATCGCGCAAAAAAAAAAGCTTTGAAAGAAATTACAAACAATTTTGTACGAGAAAATACGCCCGAATCCGAGGGTTCACCTTCTCCTCAAAATTCTGTCTCTCCATCAATACCACCTATGACCACTCCACGAAGTGATGCAAGTAATGCGAGAAAGCGTAATGCTAGGAAGAAACGTAACAAAATTATAAAGGATAAAGACAAAAAGATCGAGTATTACAGAAAAAAATCCGAGAAGTATAGGAAGAGATTAGAACGTTTGAAAAAAGTTAAGACAAAGGAAAATGTAGACATATCTAGCACTAAACTTATCGAAATGTGTGATTCGCCAGAAGCTCGCAGAGAAGTAGTAAAAAAGGCGCTATTCGGTGAAGTGTTGAATGCCCAGCTGAAAGAAAACTATGCTAATTTAAAAACCTGCAAAGAAAAACAAATATTCGGAAAAGTCGTGTCCGGTAAACTAATACACAAGTACAAGTTATGGCGAAACAAAGATAGTTCTATATCTTATAAAATAATTCAGAAGTCAGCACGTCAATCAGGTTTAGTACCCAAGCTTCGGACTCGTAAAGACAAAATTTCATCTGATTGCATAAACACTGTACGAACCTTCTACGAAAATGATAACAACAGCAGACTTGGCGCAGGAAAACGAGAATGCCTGACCAGAGAAGGGGTTAAAAAACAAAAAAGATATCTATCGGATAGCTTAGGAAATTTATACAAGAAATTTCAAGCTGAACATTTTAAAATAAGCTACACAACGTTTTGTCGTCTACGTCCTTTCTGGGTCATAACACCAAATGTAAACAAACGTGACACGTGCCTGTGCATAAAACACGCGAACATCGATCTGAAACTGTCAGCATTGCACAGAAGAAGAATTTTGACTTACAATAATCACACTGCACTGCTTGAAAAGACATGTTGTAATCGCTATAACGAACTATGTTTGTCACGAACCTGCCAACGCTGTATTGACAAGAATCCTGACTACAGGGAGTTTGATGACAGCAGGCCTATTGAATTTAAACAATGGATATCTGAGAAACAAACTTACAACGACCCCAAGACCAAGAATACTCGAACACTTACCAAATACCTAAAGAAAACGTTCACGGTTCGCCCTCGAGAACTAATAGAAGAGCTGCACGAGGATTTGGAAGCCTATTATCAACACGAGAGAAACATTACCCATCAATACAATGCTATCAAGAAATACAAACAAAACCTTACCGACGAAGACGCTATCATACATATTGATTTTTCAGAAAATTATTGTTCCAAATACGGTCAAGAAATACAAGCATTTCATTTTGGAGGGTCGAGACTTCAGCTAAGTCTTCATACTGTGATAGTGTATACCAAAAACTCTATCAAATCTTATTGTACCGTTTCCAAAAATCTCACACATTCACCAGCTGCTATATGGGCACATTTGCGGCCAATCTTTAAAACTCTCCCACCTAATATAAAGAGCATCCACTTCGTCAGCGATGGACCCGTAACTCAATACAAAAACAAAACGATGTTTTACATTCTGGCATCAAGGCTTCAAAAAGAGGTTTTAAATGTGAAGAAGTTTACCTGGAACTATTCAGAGAGTGGTCATGGCAAAGGGGCTCCTGATGGCATTGGAGCAACCTGCAAGAGAACCGCTGATGCCGTCGTTGCTACAGGGGGTGATATTGATAACTTGGAATCATTTGTAGAGGCCATTCAACGAAGATGTTCCGGAATTACCTTGTTCACAATCGACGATAAAGCCATCCAAGAATTGACAGACGACCTTCAAAACGAAACAGTTAATTTAAAAGGCTTTAATGGCACTCTAAAAATACATCAAGTAAAGGCTAAAATATTAAAAAGTCCTCTGGAATCAGCTCCAAGTGCCGCTAAACTCATAATGAAAAGCTTAAGTTGCACTTGTGAAGACGAGTGTCAGCATTTCAATTTAGGAGTGTTAGAGTACAAAAACAAGACAAAACTAAACGTACATGATATTTATACAGACTCTGAAAGAAAAAACATGGACAACTTACAGGATTCCACAATGGAGACCGACGACGATGCTGCATTAGCTGGACCTAGTTCAATCAACCAACAGAATTACACCATTGGCGATTACGTCTTGGTTAAATTTCTAGTAAGAAACACTGAATATTGTTATGCTGCAGTAATCAATAAGATAGACACGGAAGAAGGCGAACTAACAGTAACCTTCTTAAAAATTTGTGACGATAAAGGACACACATTCAGAGTCGATGAAAATGATGTTTCTGATGTGTCCTTTGACCAAGTATTAAAGAAATTGCCAAACCCAGATATTGCCCTAAAAGGGAAACGAATATTTTATTATTTTAATATACCTGTACCTGTTTTTGAGAAATAAGTCTGCATTGATAAGTAAACAAGGCTGATTCTTAGTACCTAAGCTTAATTTTTATTATAATTATTTTAATTCATTATTTAGAGAGCTAAGCCCGCAATTTGTTCCTGATTTATCATCAATACTTATAAGTATTTAAATTCTGTATGTGATATTTAATAAAGAAGAAAATTTATTTGATTACATTTAATAATTAATATTGTGTTTTTCTTCATATAAACATTGACATAAACTGTTCTCTGGGTGGAAAAAACAGTCCTCTGGATGGCAAAACAGTCCTCTGCCACATTTTTTTACAAAATTGCCTGTAATTCGAAAAAGAAGGGAAAATTACAATGGTTTCTTGTTTATATGTATTTATATTATAATTGTCTATCGACTTAACATATTATATTTTGAATTTTCTAGAAAAATAGGGTGGGACAACTATCAATAGACAAGTTTCCAGTTAGTAGAGAAAGGCCCATATAAAGAATAGATAAACAATAAATATAAATAAAAAATAACAATTTTTTTATTTATATTTATCATACAAGAATTGATAAAATAATCTAACAGTTAGTATAATATTTTATTTTCGAAGATATTAGGACTATAAAGGACTTTTTTTTATTAGTGATTTAATTACATTATTAATTTAATCTATTATTAAAATGTATAAAAAAGTAGTAAATTAGGAACAAAATTATCAGTTTATTATATAAGGGATGGTTTTAAATACATAAACACCTATAATAATTTTATAACATAGACAATTATTAAGCTAACTGTATCATGTTCAGCTTGAATGAGCCAGAGTTAATGCCACATTAATTACAAAAGAATTTAATGACATCATAACATGAATGGAACTTAGGTGTTGCTATATGATGCTGAAAAATCATTTATATTTAAAAGTTCTAGTATTCAATAAGTACTATCTAAATAAATAAAAAGATTTATGTAAATGATCTTTTTTTATGTCAATACTTAGCATTAGTCATGAATTATGTATCACTCTAAGAACAATATAAGTATGAGAGTGAAATTTGTATGTCACCTGATTCACAGGTGACACAATGCTCATATGAGTTGTAAATAAAATGTAAAAGGAAAATAGCATGTGAAGAAACACAAAAATATTAGGTGTCACAATAAGATTAATAGGAACATTGTCAATCATTGTGTAATAAATTTATTCCTATTATTAAAAAATATATCAAATATAATATATAATATATATACATATACATAACATAAACAATAAATATTGGAATAGATAATGGTTATTCATATATCATAAACTTCATGTTTATTAATCAATAAAATAATTATTATATTACAAATGATTGCAATAAAGATAATGAAATATGAAATGATAACTTATCTTTAATGATTTACTTACCACCTAATTCATTTCTAAAAAATGGACAACTGTCTAGAAGTTCATTAGAACGCCCATCACCAGTATCTGGTACAGCATCTTCACCTGGTGGTAGACCACGAGTGGCAAGTAAAGACGCTGCAGAGGCTCCAGTTGTAGTATTACGGCGTCGACTCAATAATGCTCCACGAATTTCTGCAGCATAGCTTAAGTTGGCCATGAGTGACTGGCAGTCATAATGTGCAAATTGTTTTCTTTTAGAAGCATCAGATATGGTTGTTAATGTACTATCTTCAAGTGGTTGCCGTGATAATGCAGGTGCATTACCTCCCCATAGTTTATTGAGTTTCAGTCGAGGCTTTGGGCTTGCATTTGCTCGAGGTGGAGGACCATCTGCATGGTCGCTATTCAAAACATCTGCAAGTCGATCAGTGGGTCTCGCCAATCCAGGAGGCTTATCTGATGCAGAAACAACAGTGTAATTATGTACCATTGCCGGAAGCCGATCGTTGGCACCCCCTATTACGTCGATTGAGCCGTGACTACCATATTCCCGTCTAAGACCGTTTCCTGATGGATGTTCGGCGTATATCAAGTCAAGGCTCGAGTTACTACGGTACATAACATCCCTTGTTTCCTTTCTTCTATGATCCGGGGCATACATGGCATATTTTTTTTTAACACTGGTTTACTTCATTATGCCTAATTTTTAAAGAATTCAATAACTTCGGACCATCAAATCGATTAACTTTCAAAGACGAGATTAAATTCTTCAATAAACATTGACACCAAACTAAAACTTGAACTGTGAAAGTTCAAACGAACAAGTACTATATTTCCACATACTTATTTACATATGAATCTATATGTGAAACATAAAATTATTTTTTAATTGCAATAATGGTTTGATAATTAAATTACTTTGCAATAATAAAATAAAGTGAAAATAATGCGACAACTACGATTGTGAATTGTATAGTAATTTTTTTTTATTGAAACATTTGTATACGTATGGCTCTGGGTTCCAACCTTTTAATTTGCAGTGCATTATAGAAACAACACTGGTAGATAAAAACAATTTTTCTTATAAAGAAAGCATTTAAAATATAAATATATATAATAATACAATAATCTTATACGTAATATCGAATGATTTAATAGTTTAATTCACGTAAAAAAAAAACAGAGAAAACTGTGTAAAGAATAATAATAGGATTATTTGATCGCAGTCTTAAGAAGTATGTTGATTGGTTGTTTTCAACATCAAAGTGTCAATGTCATTGTTTATGGATGCGTTTTCTGTTTAGTATGTAAAGTAAAACCAAATTTAAGTAAATAAAAATTCTTATATTCAAAAATAATTTAATTTAAAGCATAATTTATTTATTTATTTCATTAACTGGATAAGTTTTACAGTATTCCAATACGCTCACTCAGGAAAGAATCAGTATCAAATAGAAGTAACATTAGATCCTAAACATCTGACTGCAAACACTGTCGTCATCCGATGAAACTCCAGCAAGTTGGAGACAAATACGTCTAATTCTGGATGCCGGATCAAAATTTCATTGAGTAGTTTCAGTGCAAGAGATTGGGGAGCTTGTTAAGCCAACTCTATTCTTCTTAATGAAACATCAAATAAGTGCCGTCTTTGTTTACTACCTATATATTTTTTAATGTATAATAATGGAATCGTATGTTATACTCATAGACGTAGGTAATATAACGTATTTACGTTATACTATGTCTATAGTAACATCAACCGCGCTATTAGTTTACGTTGGCGGGGTATTAGTGAATAATGGATAGGTAAAAATGCACAGGTCCGTTGGTCCACTGTAACGAACTCTTTACGAATTATTAACCACGTGGTTTCACCAAGAAGGATCACGCGAAGATTAAACTGATAAGATATATTGCTAGTAATGGAATTGATAGATACTATTATTAATATTTTTTTTTATAAAATAATGGAAATGAAAAGATGTATATATTTATATGAAATAGTATTATTTAATACTTTGTAATTTTACTGTATGATGGGATATGTTTACTAATAGATTTAAGCTAACAAACAAACAAATCCAATTTCACGTTTATATTATTAGTACCTAGGGATTATACACTAAGTAGTGATACGTATGATGAATTGAAAATAAAAGCATTGGATTTTGATGATAATGATGCGTGTTAGGTCATCTAGTTAAAAAGAAAAATAAATCGTGTATAGATAATCATTTATTTGGTTTTAACATTATTATTACGTCTATAGTAGCTAACAGTAGGTACTTAAAAGAACAAGTTTTTACCTGAGGAAACTTTATATTGAACTAATCTATTTAAAATAGGTATTAACCTTATTATTACCAAAAAACAAATCTTTTAATAATATGGATAAAACCATATTATGCCGGTCCCAAATAATAATTGGGATAAGAAGATGATGATTAACCATACTTGTCTATTATTGAAACCTGGGAGCACGATCAAACGGTATGAATAACATTAAACATTAGGTACCTATGTATATAGTATTAACATGAACAGAGGTACTCGTATTATTTATCGTATCGCTAGCATTGTAGAAAATTACTGTCACAGGTTCCGTAGCTAATTATCATGTATTGCCATGTGATGTCGTATGTACCGTACAACTATAGTTTCATTTTCATCTAAAGATTACAAGGAGTGCTATAAATAATGATGCCTATAAAACCTTTGCCATGAGCGTTGGCCTAATAGCAGATAATATCTAATTGTACTTCACACCATAGGCGTTTCATCCGTATCGATATGCATAAGAATAACAATTGAAAATAGTAAGTATGGCAGATATGTAATTATTAGTTTTATGTCTATACTTTATTAGTCTTCATCAGTGCGACGGCTGCGACTTGAAGTTAATTTCTGTTATAAAAAAGATGATATTGGTTAATTGTAAAATATTTGAAGTGGATTGTAAAATTGGGTACACACATAAAAGTTTAATATTTATCGTTATATATATATAGCTATAAACTATACTAACTATATATATATATATATATATATATATATATATATATATATATATATATATATATATATATATATATATATATATATATATATATATATATATATATATATATATATATATATATATATAGTACGATTAGGTTTTCTCCTATTATTCACTGATTTCTTGTTAAATAAAAAAAACACCCCCTATATAATTGTTAAATGATTCTTTTGATAGATACGATACTATACTTTTGCTATCACTTATGCATGATTTAGAAATTTATGCTCGGCGTCTCTTTTGTTCATATGCATGTGGTATAAAAACTTATCTATCTATTTATTCGATTTGCACTTGTATAGTGGCGTAGAATTTATACCGTTTCGACAGAAATAGTTTTCTCCATTTCGATTTCAAGTTGCTCCATCTCTTCAGGTCCAAGTAATTGAGCTCGAAGACACTCTATAGCCAGCTGTACTATATGTTCTAGTTCCTCATTTGGGACTTGAACACCACAGTCTAAAAATACAAGTTATATTTAAAATATTATAGACAATCGGTTGGATTCTGAGGCACCATTCTATAATTTTATCTCTGAAACTAATACTTTTGTTTAACATAATAGTTTCGTATAGGTACTATTTTATGGAGCATCGTAAATTAAATTTATAATAATTTTGACTTAGCACTATTGGAAATTTAGTTCATATTACACTTTAGAAGAAAAATTTCACTGTGGTATTTAATTCAAATTTTAATTATAGAGATAAGTTTAGAAGGTGGTGCCATAAAATCGCCTATTTATGTGTAGTATTATGCATATTATATATATAATTATGCATAGTAGTAAGCCATTAATGGGCTGATAAGGTAAAAAAGTATGGTATATAGAAAATGTACACTCTAATTGTAAACCTAGACAAAATAACGGTAAGTATAAAACCAAATATCCAAAGGTTTTAATTTGACAAAGATGTCACATAAAAGATTTGATCCATTTCACCAAATCGTTCAAAACTAAGTTATAACATTAGGTATAGATAGATATCTTTGATTTGTGTTAATAACCGAGGGGTTTATTGACTTTTTTATTTTGAGGAAAGTGGTGGATTACAATTGTCTACTTAACTTTGCCGGACCTTTAATTTGACGGACTTTTTTAAAGCACCTTACATTTTTTGCCGTGAAAAAGAGGATATGTGCATTATTAATAATGTTGAATTCTTGTGTCCTTAAAAACAGCTACGTACGAAGATTTGCAAAGATCTTCTGTCTGTAATGTTTATGGTGCTTTTCTTGTCTATATACAAGCAACGGCTGTCCATTTCAGGCAAGTTATTTACTAGTTTATTATAATTATAGTACCTTTTATATCTTCTATAACATTGATGACTTCTATTTGCTTTATAGATTCAGAAGTGATAGGATGTTCTTCGTCGACAAGTGAGTTCACAAGCGCTGTCATCGTCTCTTCAGTTTCTGAAAAGGTTGTTTGTGTTACATTATTTTTTAGATTTATTATAACTTAAACATTTATATGTATATCACGTTTATTATCATTAGCTGCTTCAATTAGGTGGATCAGGTTAATCTGTTCTGTAAATGGTGAGGGGAACAGGAAAATAGTTTTAGGTCAATATTCAGATGGATTTTCGAAAGACAGCGCGACAGTGCGAGGGAAATGCATACAAAAAGTAGAGGATCGCATTGATTATTTTATACATAATTGCATACGGGGGGGGACAGACCTACATTTTTTTTAATGTGTAACGATGGAATAATAACCCCGCCCGCGTTATCGGTATTCATTTGCAGGGAACCAATGAGGAATGATAGGTGAAGATGGAAGCGGTTAGTCCATAATGACTAATTCAAGATTTAACCACGATAGTTTTCAGGGGGAACCACGTGGAGGTCGATCTGATAGGGTATATTGATAGCAATGGCAAGGCCCCCCAGGACCGGAATATGACGATGGTGATGAGATACTGATGGAGATGAGATGAGGGAGATAAAGGATATGGCCTGGGATAGAGCTGGCTGGAGGAAGATGTATGAATTAGTTGCACCGACAAGAGGAAACTCTTAAATGAAAAGAAGATGAGATACTGAGAGGTGTGAGAGGACTGTTAATTATGGGGACGCTATTGAGCGTCAAGAATAGGTCATCATTTTGTCACCAATTATGATGACAAAATGATGACCTATTCTTGATTAACTGACTTAATTTCAGCTTTCACTAATGTCCCATCTTTGTATATCATTATAATAACCGGGTGTAAAATTTCAATTATATAAATTAAATAACTTAAAGTTTTTCTAAGTACTTGTAAAACGTATCGATTGCAGAATAACTAATCAAAATCGAGTCATACATAAAAAATAAGAACCTCATGCTTTTTAAAATCGTTTACAAAATGCCTTTGATTTTAATTTAAAACAAGAAATCTAAATGTAGGAAATAAAATGCAATTAACCTAAATCGGTAGACTGGGTAGTATGGAATAAGGATGCGATGGCAGGCCCCAAACGTTCATGTAGAGGTTGTTTTACATCCGATATGTCTTTAAGTGCTTCCTCTAAAGATTCCATCACTTGATGAGTATTGCTTCCTGCGCCTTCCATCGCCTCAACCTGCAATAAATATTAAATAATAAAATCGGTTAAGTGTGAGACAAATTCACACATTGAGAGTTCCGTACATAAAAATATCTGAGAATAATTGTTTTCTTGATTAAGAGGTTTGTGTGATATGGTAATATAGTGGTATATTATGTGGGGTAATATGGTAATATAGTATATGGTAATATACGTACAATGAAACATGTTAGTGTGCATGCAATATGAAATAATTTCCTAATGTAAGATATATTAGGAAGTTATTTCATTATTAGCACGCAAGAGTTATTATAAAAGTAAGTTGTAACTAGTTAAGATCAGAGTATTAATCATGTAAATCTGAGTTAATATTTAGGTGAACCTTTATCATCTAGTTAATTAAGTTACATAATAGATAGTGTGACATTTCTACATAGTTGACGTCTTTCTGAGGTCCCTATAAGTACTTATAAAAAACTAATGTCAACTTACGTGTTGTCTGATCAGCCGGTCAGCTAAAGTAGCAAGCGCATCAAAAGCGCGCGTTTGTTTTTTGTACTGACTGGGGTCTCCTCCATACTTTAAGAGCCATTTGCGAACCAACATGTCCACTACTTCGAAACGAGACTTAGTTCTGTTGTATAAAATGATATTTTTAGATAACACAGAGTAAAAACAAAATCACTAGCGTCTATTATATTTAAGAATGCGTTCTATGAGTGAATCTGAAAATTTATGCATAGAAAATGGAAGGAAAAACGATAAGAAATTTAAGCTTCTCCTATGTAACATAGTGTCTCCATTGCTAGAATAGTATAAGAGATTAATTAAGAAGCACTTGTATTTATTGTTGAATATTAGAACTTATAATATTTTTTATAATAAATAGAAAAGCAGCTTTATCTCGCCATGTAATTATTAGATAAATCTTGTTATACCCTGCGAGCACGTCTGGTAGTTCGGATGTGAGCTCGTGCAACAATTGATCTGCATCGTCGCGCGTCACACGCATAGCATCCAAGCAGTCGTATAGTAATTTCATTACGTTAATATCGTACACCATCTTGACCTGTGATCCTAATGGTGTGCTAAATAAAACAATAATATCGATAATGAATCCATAATTTCCTTATCTTATTAATGTTATAAATGTAAATATGTGTTATTTCTTGGCGCTTATTTATTGAATAGGGAGGCTATTTTTAATTCAAGTTAATTTATTCTAGTCACGTGGAAGAAATCGCAAGTAAAACAAGTATTTATAAATATTAAAATTTATAATGATGTTATTTCTTAGAAATAATTTATAATAACAGACCTAATTTTATTTTTATTTATTATTTTTGAGCGAAGCTTATAGGGGTGATTCTCTGTAAACTCGTAATCGGCTGTCCCGACTGTTTTTTTCAAAAAGTAATATAATTACTTTCATAAAAATCATTTCTAATGAAACTTTAACCCCAAAAATTTACGGGCCCATTGTTTTTAGAACCATAACTATTTAAATTTTTTTTCTAGAAGTGATTGAAGCTCTAAAAATACAGTCCCCTAGTTGTCCCCATCACTGTATTCCCGCCTAGAAACGAGATTTATGAAGAAGTTATTGAAACTACATACATTTGGCAGTTAACATAATAAGAAAAAATATAAAATTAATATTATTTTCGTAAAACAAGGTCTCATTACGAATTCTATTATATTAGTAAACACTTGTAAACTTTGTCCCTAGAATTTCCATACAGTCCCCTGCCAAAAATTTAAATCCATATTAAAAAAAAACTGTAATATTTACAAAAGTTTTTTAGAGAGAAACGAAACGCAATTATTGTTAAATTGGCAACCTTGCCGAAAGTGGCAACGAGACACCATTTTGTTTAGCGTCAGAGCTTCATTTGTAAGGTGAATACGCGTTTGGTCCGCTACCACACACAGTCCTCTGGTAAGTAATATTATTTATATGTTAATTACTTTAATAATCGCTATATAGTTTATTGTTTTATTATTTATGTCTAAATTGATAGGCAGGTTCTTAAAAAACTATTTTACATCAGTTTTGTAAATATTGTGAAATCTAACCTAAATACACAGTCCCCTGGCAACAGTCCCCAGCCTGAAAATGCAGCAGGGGACTGTTTTAAACAACAGGGGACTGTGTATTTTGCATATTGGTTATTGTTTTTATATATTGTTGGTGTAAATTTATCCGCTAAGTATCATTGCTTTGCATTATTTTCCTTTATAAACTTATTTTATACAGGTCGATCAAACATACATGATATTTTGTTCCTAAAAAGAAAAAAAAAATTCCCGAGGGGAACTACTATAAAAAAAGAAAGAAGCAGGGCGACTACGATATAAAAGAAGAAAAAATATTCTGAAAAGAGATAACAAATAAGAGAAAAGGAGAAGTTGAAGTACCAAAAGAAGAAAGAAAATTAGTAATGGTCATCTCGTGAGTGCAGAGCTGCCTTAAAGAAGTGGAATGAATATTGTACTATATACCGAGCCAAAAAACTAAGACTGAAAAGCGTCACTAATAATGTTGTACGAGGAAATACATCGTTATAAGATCCAGAAGCAGATACTTTGTCTACAAGGCCCGCCACTCTAGTTCCAGTTCAAATATCTCCAGCTCCAATCCCAGCAGTTTCCAGTACTAGTCTACAGCAAAGAAGAAAAGAAGTCTTAGAACAACAAAAGAAGTTTAACAGAGAAATAAATAAATAAATCGCACGTTTAAAAAAAACTTGTGAGGTACAAAAAAGATTAGCGAGATTTAATAGTAAATACAAAAAGATCGTTGAAGGTACACCTAAGACAAAAATTTTTAAAATGTTAGCGGAGCCTGGTCAAAAAAAGAAGTAGCCAAGAAAGCGTTGTTTGGCGACGTCATTAGCAAACAGTTGAAAAAAAATTATTTCACACTGTAACGTACCAAAGAGATACAAATCTTAAAAAAAAATTGTTACTGGCAAAATTGTACAAAAGTACAGGTACTGGATAGCTAATGAAATAAAGTCGATGTCTAGACCTGGAAAAAAATCTAATCTCAATGGTTTATATGTACCTGTAGCTAAACGATGTAAAATACATGATAAAAACAAACTGATGACAGAAAAGATATAAAATGTGGATTTCTGAAATTCAAGATTTTAAGACTAAATGGAACCGACTGGTGACTAAATATTTGAAAAAAACATTTGGATGTCCAAGACAGCTCATAACACATTTACAGACAGATTTACACAAATTTTTGGATCACCAGCGAAATATTGTTCACCAATATAAAACAATGAATAATTTAAAGGCAAATCTACAAGATGATGAAGTTCTGATCCACGTAGATTTTAGCGAGAATTATAGCACTAAAAACGCAAAGGAGATACAGAACTTTCATTTCGATGGGTCTCGAGCACAATTGAGCCTGCATACCTTAGTAGTTTACCTACGAAATTCCATTCTTTCTTTTTGCACAGTCTCCGAAAACATAGCCCATTCATCTGCTGCTTTTTGGACACATCTACGACCAATTTTCAATACTCTTCCATGTGGCATCGAACGAGGGTATTTCTTGAGCAATGGCCCTGTAACAGTCCCCTGATACCTCATACAGTCCCCTGTCATGATTTTTTGAAAAATCGTTAATAACTCAGAAAATAAGTATAAATTTAGTGGGCCTCCTTATCTAACTAAAATAATAGTTAATTTTCTTCGAAATACGACACGGTTTTTTGGCAAATGGCAAAAATAATTGTCAGGACAGCATTTGTATGGGACCTGCACGAGCTTACAGAGAAATACCCATAGCTGTAATATTTACGCGAACATGTGCCTAATAATTTACCTAATATTACCCAATAAACCTCTGTTAAATCTTACTACCTCTCACTTTAGTACTATTTTCCTGTGTTCTCTCTTCGTTTTCCTTCGTCATTTTTTTCTGTTGTATATGTGCTGTTAAGTATGTGTATGTTATGTATATATTTAATTGTGTATATATTATATATGTATGTGTATATATGTATGTATGTATCTATATATGTTTGTATATGATAATATTTATATAATAGTGCGCCACCTACTTTTTGTCTTTTTCTCAATGTCCTCTACCCAAAGGTTGTCTGGAAGAGATTGCTTAGCGATAAGGCCGCCTTTTGTATCACTTCTCATTAATATTTACTGTATTTGTTATTTCTGTTTTTACTTGGTGCAATAAAGTGTAAATAAATAAATAAAAAATTTTTAACCTTTGAGTAAGAAAGTGTTACGAAAACTCAGGTAACGAACATCAGAGTGTACAACATTAAATATTCAGATCTAGCTTATTTAGAAACATTTGAATCGGAAATTGATCCGACTAAAAATCCAATCCTCATGCAAAGTAACGTAGCTATCACAGTACAGCGGATCGTCACAATATTCACACCTGATACATTAAGTATTCATCATTATCATATCATCCCTAATTTGTCTACTGCTGAATACAGGCCTCATCCTTTTAGGGATTTTATCAGTAGTTGCCACGCATGACAGGCAGATTGGCAACAGCAATTAGGCTTTGGTGATGTTTAAAGAGGAATGCCGCTGCCCATCCCTCGACCATTAAGTTCCCTTGGTTGCTTCCTACGACACCCACGGGAAGGGGTGGCCTATTCTATGCTGGGCCACACGGCTTATGCATTAAGTATTATTCGTAGGTAAATGTAGTAATTAGATTTAATTTACTCACATTGGGAAGTATTTACGTTTCGGTTGTCTACTGACGTGAGGAATCATACTTAGGTATATCTCAGAGCGCTCGGATTCCGGTTGAGCGGATACGGGTGGCGGAGTGGTCTGTGATAGAGGTTTCAATCGAAGATCTTGGATTTCATCGCGTAGTGCCTAGGTTTTATATAATAACCAAAATGAATATGGTAGAAAGGCGATAGCGAAGTAAATAATATGAACATAAGTTAAATATGAGTAATCAGAAGTTACCTTGATCTGTTGCATTTGTTGAGAGCGGATGATACGTAGGCGTACAACATCGCGTTGATACTGTTCTGGATTGTAACCTCCCACCATAACTGATGGGTTTTTTTGAGGCTGTGTAAATAAGACAAAAAATAATAATTCCAATGTCTACTGACTGATAGCTAAATATATTTAGTATAGATATATAAAGAATCTAAAAGTTTCTTTACTTTTTGTGGCAAAACATCGGCTTGCAAGGCAGCAGCAAGTCGTAAACGTTCAGAATAATGATTCAGTACTTGTAAATATTTCTTTTCTAGTTCACTGTGACGTTTCTGGAATAATGATAGACAAGTGGGTGATATTTCCAAATTTCAGTCATTAGTATAATTGTAAATACCCTGAAACTAAGAAAAATTTAATTGTATTTAAAAAAAAGTACTGTTATGAATTAATTTAATAGATAAATATAATAGTGAAATTGAATATCAAACCCGCCACTGTTGCAACTGATCTAAAATCTGTGGCAGTGCGCCTAAAGTAGCTGAAAACTTGTGCCGGCGGGCCATCTGCCGCAATAGGTCGTCGAGTGTCCGGTCGACGCGCCGCGGCCGCCCAAGCTTACGCGTCAGTACGTCGCGCATTTGCGCACGAAGTTGTTGCGCTTGCGCTTCCATCTCGCGAAGGTCTACATTCATGCGGAATAAGTGAGTGCGGTTGACCCTGTGAGCGATAATTGGACTACGTGTATTGTCTATATTCGAACTTGTCTTTCGGATTTTAATCGAGATAGTACACCACTAGTACCATAATGAGGGGGAAAGGGATTGTTAGTAATGGAGACTAAGAATCCCATTGCTGGCAATATACCCAACCAGGACGACTTCCTCGGGGTTCCCCCTGGGAACTATCATGGTTAATTCCTGATGAATTTATCATGATGGGCTAACTGGCCTGTTTTCATTCTCATCGATCAGCCTTCACTGGTGCTCCAGCGTATCCCATTAGCATAGGCGGAGTTACCGTTACCATACCATTTTCACCCATAAAAAAAGTACCATAACGATCTTTATGTTCAGTTTTCAAAGTTCAAAGTTTATCCAAAGTAAAGTAGAATGATACATTACATTTATAAATCCGTATGGATCATCTAATATGCATAAGTATTAATTTTATGAACCTTATAGTTACTGTAATCTTTATCTTTAAGTTTAACTCTTTTATTATGTATAATGTAACAAAAGAGCTTGAGCATGTTACACCATATCCCTCGAAAGAGTTAAAGCACCCGGGGTAATGGGTGGCGGATAATCAGTTGTTGCCAATTTTATGTTATATGTATGTCTTCTGTCTCTTTCTATTGTGTTCTAAAAGTCACATGGAATGGAAAGAGATAGAAGACAATACAAATAATATTTTTTCTTAGTTTAGACTTAGTTTATAATTTTTTTTGTCTATGGCAAAATTTATGGTCTATAAAAAAGAAAAACATTTTACTTAATGTATAATTGGGTAGTATTTGCAGATTCATTATTTTATATTAGTGCAATGATAGCTTACTTTTGTCTCTGTTTCTGTTGTTTAATTTCATCCTGCAACTCGAGTACGCGTTTGCGTAATCTTGCTAACATTTGTTCGGGAAATACTACAGTGTTTGACAGCCCCTGGGGGCCAGTGCACCCGCGCAATGCAGATGCTCTGATCTGATCATACCGGAGTACTATTACTTGGTCAACGTCGTTCAAGCAACTTTGTTTCTCCATCTGAATTAAAGTTGTAGATAAGTAGAAAATATTAACTACTACTATTTATTTTATAAAATAATAACAATATATAACTTTTAGCACAGTTTACAGTAAAGTACTTTTAGTATTTACGAGGAAATGTATTAAATGAAGTTTGAAAATGAATTTTAGAAGTGTATGCATTCATTACAAAATGATGTTGTACTAGGTGTATCCTACAGCTTGGCCTGCGTAAATCAGTAGACATTATAATGTATTCTATATTCTGAATTAGAATATAATCTATCCACTAACTAAATTTCATTAAATCCGTTCTGTAGTTTTTGCGTAATATATCCATTAATACTTACAAATTGTCATGTTTATAAGTAGTAGTAGAATGTTTATAAGTAGTAATGAATTTAGATAATTTTAATTTTAACTTAATTCTATAATTTTTTAAGCAACCTGATAGAAGTGTACTTTATAAATAATTTGTAAAAATAGGTTTTAGTAAAAAAACAGAAAGAGAATATGGAAATCCTTTTAAAACAATAGGATTTTAAGCGGCAGCGAAAAAAGGGAAAAACAAAATCACATTAAGACATACACACACAAAAGCAATATTCACTTACCATGAATTCTTTTAGTTCATTCTTCCTCTTATCGAGTTGCACGCTGAGTTTACGCTTCACTTTATTATGAGCTTCGATGTCCCTTTTCAAAAGTTCCACTAACTGGTCTTGTTCTAACATTTCTTGCTCATGTTTATGTCTAAAAAATAGTTTAAATTATCAATTAATTTAAAATTACATATATATAATATAAGAATCAATATTATTAACTAGCTTTTACCCGTGACTTAATCCGCGTAATCAGGATCTATTGACAGGGATGAACAGTAGTCTATATTTTTTTTGCATCTCACAGTATTTATCACATTTTACGATGACCGATTGGGTCGTTAAGGCACCAAAATATTTGGAAAACTGTGTAAAGTGGTAATTGAATTAATTACTTAGTAAAATCAATGTGTTATTTTGCAATTTTAATAGTCATGAATATTGTTATTTTTTGCAATTTGTGTAGGTCCACTACATATGTTATTAGCTTTTTTAATGGATGATAATGGAATGGTTACCCCGCCTGCGCTAACGGTAGGTATATGCTGGTGGGGCACCAGTGAGGGAGGATAGATAAGACTGAAAGAGCAGGTCAGTTAGCTCATCATGATGAGAATACACTTGGAATTTAAAACGATGGTTTCCAGGGGGACCACGTGGAGGTCGACCTGACAAGGTATATTGCTAGCAACGGGATTGGTAGTCCTGGCATTACTAATATTCCATTCCCCCTATGCTATTAGGCAAAAGTTAATTAGAATATTTAGAATAGAAGTGGTCCTTTTAGTTTTACTTAAACAAAAGTGTAACGTCAGTGAAACAATGCAGTCAGTTACTAACTGGTTTATTGAAAAAAGAACAAATCTCTCCACCCGTCTTAATATAAACTATTAAACTACCCTCCATTTCTCCCCACTTAATTTAAGACAATCGTTTGTTTATACGGTAATGATACATAAGTTAAATAAAAGAATTACACAACTAAATACTAAGAACAAAAATACATTTTATGAGAATATCTCTGTTATCTCAACTTAATTTGAAATACAACTATTATCCGTGGTGGTAACATTTTTTATGTTTATATAATCCGTTTATTACTTAATGTAAAACATAGTTGCATATATTAACGATAGGTATATAATCTTAGTATCTTAAGTTTATAAATATATATAAAATTAAGCAATAAACACAATATATCGCACATAACATATACGTGTATTACTAGAAATTGGCTCATATCTCCATCCCCTGTTTGCGTAATTCTCTTTCATGCGCGCGCCTAGCCCGATCACTACCCTGATCTAATGGTGGCTGTTGCTCAAACTCTAAACTCTTTACATTGGTTGACATATTCCCTTTTTCTTCCCGTTTCTCATTTTCACCTATTATCGGACTGTGCGAGCTATTTCTTTTCTGTTGTGTTTGTTGAATATCATTATCAAATGACTGATTATTAGTACTATCTGATATTTCGTTGCTATTTGAACCTGACATTGAGAACCTATTACGTGTTAGAGGCCATAATTGGTCTGAATGTCTACGACAAGGGTTTCCAGTATTTAACTGAACCGTATACGAGACTGGCCCTGTTTTAGACGTTATCCGGCCTTCGGTCCATTTGTCCCCCTGCGACGAATAGTCTCTTGCTAACACACTTCCAAAGTTCCCACTTCAAAAGTTCTGTCTACCCCGCCAGCATTCAATATTTGTTTATCTTGCGCCTGTCTAACGATATCACTAGTATTAGGTCGCACCGCATCTAATCTAGTACGTAATCGCCGTCCCAGTAAAGCGACTGCTGGTGCCACACCAGTCGTAGCATGCTCACAGTTTCTATATTGAAAGAGGAATCGACTCAATGCTAGGGCCAAATCTTTTCCTTCATAAATAGCTTTCTTTAAGGCTTTTTTATTGTTTTTACAGAGTTTTCTGCGGCTCCATTACCTTGTGGTCTATATGGTGATGAAGTAGAATGTCTAATTGTGTTTTTTCTACAAAAATCATTAAATTCGTGACTCTGAAATGGGGGACCATTATCCGTCACCAATTGTAAAGGCAAACCAAATATTGAAAATAAATTACGAAAATATTGAATAGTGTCACTAGCTGAAGTACTACGTAACAGTGTTGCGTCTAACCATTTTGAGTTGGCATCGACTACCACAATATAGTACTTTCCATTCAATTGTGCAAAATCGGCATGTAATCGTTGCCATGGTGCCGCAGGGAACTCCCAAGGATGCAGTGAGGACCGCGGTGGGGCATCACGGACATTCCGGCACGCCTCGCACTCACGTCCTACCCTCTCAATATCGAGGTCTATCCCGGGCCAATAAACATAATTCCTGGCGATTGATTTCATTTTGATCACCCCTAAATGACCTTCATGTATCTCTGATAATATTTGTTGTTGTAATTTACTCGGTATTACAACACGATATTTATATAATATACACCCATGTTCCACATATAGTTCCGTCCGTCTATTGTAAAAAGGTTTCTCAAATTCCGTTAAAGTTACATTCGTCCAACCATACATAATGTAACCATATATTTTTGACAGCAATGAATCGTATTTAGTTGCGACAGCTATATCTTTATAATTAACTGGCAAAGTTTCATTTATTAAATTTAAATAATGTGATTCATTATTTTTGCCTATTGTATTGGTTTTATTTGACACCTTTAGACCTAATTCCCCTTGCAGTGGTAACCTAGATAAGGCGTCTGCGTTACTATTATTCCTAGAGCTCACATATTCTACTTCAAAATCATAAGCTGCTAGTTTAATTGACCATCGTTGCAGCCTGCTCGCCGCCGTCTGTGGTATACCTCCTTTTGAACCAAAAATGTATGTCAATGGCTTATGGTCCGTTTTTAATACAAATGATCGGCCGTATAAAAATTGATGGTGCTTTTGCACACCGTACAAAATAGCCAATGCCTCCTTATCTAATTGATTATAATTCTTTTCGGCGTTCGTAAGTGTTCGCGAAGCACAGCTGATCGGTCGCTCGGTACCGTCTGGATACCTATGCGCTAAAACTGCCCCTAGTCCATAGCTACTACTATCTACCGATAGTAACAAAGGCAATGACGCATTATAATGAATTAAAACTTTGTCACTAGACAGAAATTGTTTAACCTCCTGAAACGTTTTCTCACATGTTTTGTTCCAATTCCATGGTGAGTTCTTTTTCAATAATTGGTACAAAGGATGGAGGAAGGAGCTCAAATTCGGAATAAATTTTCCGTAATAATTAATTAGTCCTAAAAAAGCTTTTAGTTGTGTTACATCATCTGGCTGTGGTGCTTTCAATATGGCTTCCACTTTTGATAAATCTGGATGTAACCCTTTTTTGTCTATTACAAAACCTAAGTACGATACACTAGTTTGTAAAAAAGAACATTTATTAATTTTAATAGTGAGGCCCATTTCAGCTAATCTTTTGATTACAGCACGCAGGTTTTGTATATGACTGTACCTGTCGGGTCCTGTGACACAGATGTCGTATAAAAACACTACTGTATTCGGAAGACCGCGTAGGGTCTCCTCCATGATTTTTTGGAATTTTTCAGGTACACAACTTAAACCATAAGGTGTACGTCGAAATACAAAGATGCGTGGATATGGCAGTCACCGCTTGGGAGTCCTCTTCCAGCGGGACCTGCATGTAGGCAGTGGTGAGATCTATTTTCGAATATTCTTCTCCTTCGCTTAAGGCAGCAAATAATTCTTCTATCCGAGGCAGGGGATAATGATCTCTTTTTAATTTAGGATTTATAGTTGTTTTGTAATCTCCACAAATACGAATTTCACCTGATTGTTTAATTACTGGTACAATAGGTGTTCCATAATCGGAATGTTCGACGGAATATATAGAACCCTCCTTTTGCAGTCGGTTCAGCTCACGCTCAACCGCCGCGCGTAACGCGAGCGGTACCGGTCGCGCCCGCATGTACACCGGTTCCGTGTCTGTTAACTGTAATCGGATTGTTTTTTTACATGTGCCTAACTTATCTGTAAATACTTGTGGGTAATCTTTTTTTAATTGATTTACAATATTAGTACGGAACTCGCTATCATCTCTTTCACAAATACTATTAATATGTAACTGGTTAATATTGAATCTACGAATCCAGCTCCTCCCTAACAGTGGGCGACTACCATTTTTTATTACATATAATTTTAATTTATTTTGAGTAATTTTATTAATACACGCGTTTACCACAATATAACCTATAGGTTCTATAGTCGAACCAGAGTATGAACACAATTTAATATGATCGCTTTGTAAAGGATAATGAGTAAAAAAATCTCTATAATAATGTTCGTTGATTGCAGATATCTTACTACCGGTATCGACTTCACATCTAATTATCTTATTGTCTATAATAACGTCCACAAAATAAGGATTGTCTCCGGAAGACATCACCCGTATATTATATAAATCACTGTCTGATTCATCCTCGATGAAATTGTGTCTTTTATTCTCTGACGTCTTACACATCACTTTCAAATGACCTTTACGCTGACACTTATCACATGAATAATTTTTAAAACGGCACTTATCTGCTCGATGCGGTTTACCGCACCGCCAACAAGTGGCGCTCGCCGCCGCCGCGCTCCCCGCGGGCCGCGAGCTGCGCACCGCGTGCAGGCCGTCGGTCGGCCTGTCGGTGTCGCCGCCGCCGCCGCCGCCGCCGCCGCCGCCGCGCGCCCACACGCCGCCTGCGCCCGCGCTGGTGCCCGCGCCGCTGTCCCGGCCGCCCGCACCGCCATGAGTAGCGCTCGCCTCGGCATGTTTATCAGCAGCCTCCAATGCCAGAGCTAGTTCCACCGCCTTTTTGTATGTTATGTCTTTTTCGGCAAATAAACGCGATCGCATGTCATCACTGCTCAGACCGGACACGAACTGATCTCGAAGATTCTCTTCGAGCATCGACCCGAAATTGCAGGTCGTCGCTAGATGTTTTAAATTTTGCAAGTATCCGGACAGCGATTCACCTATTGATTGCCGTCTCAACCTAAACACATGTCTCTCTGCTATCACTGAACGTTGTGGTTCGAGGTGGTCTGCCACTATTTTTTCGAGCTCCGTGAACGTTTTATCTTCTGGGTTGGCCGGTGCACACAAATCACACATGAGATTGTAGGTGGGTTCACCGACTAACGTAATTAATGTCGCGACTTTCAGATTTTCTTTAATTTCGTTACACAATAAAAATTGTTTGACACGTCGCACGTATGCATTCCATTGTTTGGTATGTAAATCGAACGGTTCTATTTTACCCACGGGCATGTTCACCACTAATATCAACTTTTTATAACACAATTAGGGGAGAGTCGGGTAGCCTCGGCCACATAAATAAAACTCATGATATCTTGAAAATCAACCAAAATAAACATTTATTTTTAAACTTTAACTTAAACTAAACATATATCTTATAATATTAATTAAGTTAGAAACTGATAGTTTTATTATATTAGCTTAAATCAAGTCTCAAAAGCAGTCTTCAATATTTGTTAAAATAATTTTTGGAGGGTAGCCCCGGACATAGAATTACTGATGACCAAATCGTTCTTTAGCCTTGCATACGTCACAATAGTAGTAAGCCAGCGATGGATCAATATCCACACACGCTTCGTGCGCCCAGTCTTTGCATCTATGACACTGGATCCAATCTTCCTCGAACGTTTCTCCACAAATGATGCATTCTGTATCGTGGTCTCTTTCTAGCTGAGTCAAACTTTGAATATTCTTCTTTGTTTTCATTTTATTAGTTGCCGCCTTTCTTTTATTCGTTGTAGTTTTATTGGTTGCAGCCTTGGTTGTGTTGGTCGCAGCCTTTTTCTCTACCAACGCATTTTTGAAGGGCGAAGATGTCAGAATCTCACTTTTTTGTGTTTTTCGTGAACGCGCTGCAAGACGCCTCTTGGATGCATCCTCATGGAAGAGGGGACAACTGCTTAAGCAATTCATTTACAGTAGCAGGTGCAGTTGATTCTGTAATTTCTGACGTTGATGCGGGCATAAATGATGGCTGCGTATTGCCACTGGCTGATGGGTGTGATATAAGACTGGTAGATGGTTGCTGGTTACTACTAGTGGATAGCTGCTGGGTGCAACTAGTGGATGGCTGCTGGGTGCAACTAGTGGATGGCTGCTGGGTGCAGCTTGTGGATGGCTGCTGGGTACCACTAGAGGATGACTGTTGATTGCAGCATCTGGATTTCTGCTGATTGCAACTAGTTGATAACTGTGATCCCACGACTGTCTCTTCAGAAAAAGCTGGTTCCTGTTCAATATTGGTCATCAATGATGGCAAAAAATCCAAATCACTGAAAATTTCCCTATTGAATGGATAAATCCCTGTGCATTTGAACCCATTCTGTGCTATTTCTAGTCTCGCTACCTTAACGAAAGCTGAATTGACTAAAGCAGCGATGTCATAATCAGTGATCCTAGCCCCTGGATTTTGTCTCATCCACATTGCGCTTGCTGAACCAAATGCAGACTTAAACGGCTTGAAAAATACCCTGTCCAGAGGTTGCACCTTGTGTGTTGTGTGTGGTGGAGTGCTAATCATATGGATGTGATTAGCTCGAGCAAATTCTATCACTGCCAACTCTTTATGGCTTCCATGTCCATCGAGAATCAGAAGGACAGGGTTCTCCTTCGAAGGCTGTACGTGCTGTTTGAAATGCTGGAGCCACATTAAAAATATCTCACCATTCATCCAACCACTTTCGTGTGGAATAGCAATGCTATCTGGTGGAGCTCCAATCATCAAACGACCATTTTTATCCATCCTTTTCCTCGGGAAAATAAAAAGTGGAGGTATAAAATGGCCGCACACGCTCATAGCAAACATCAATGTAATGTTTCGTCCTCTTTCACCAGAAGTCAACTTGCCAACTTGCTTTTTTCCCTTAGTAGAAATAACTTTCTCATTCTTGTGTACAGTGGAGACCCCCGTTTCATCAGCATTGTATATTCTGGAGGCAGGGAATTTGTATTTATCTTGTAGTTGGTGGAGCTGATCATAAAACCGATAGACTTGTGGTTTATTAAACCCAACGGCTCTTGCAATGCTGGTTGACTCTGGACTTCTGAGAGCAATATCTGGGTATTTCTTTATGAAGCTATAATAAAAATCTTTGCCGGCCATTTTCTTTTCTTTATTGAACCTATGAGGTATTTTTAAACGTTCTGCAAATTGAAATGCCAATTTCAAAAACTCTACTTTGGTCAGCGGCATCAGGCGATTATCGAGGTCTTTGACATGGTTATATAATTGCAGTGATTGATTTTCTGAGAAGGTATGTTCATATCTCCCTAGTGTTGGCTTGAACTGTGCTTCTTGTCCACTACCGACAGCTTTTATCCGATCCTGAAGGGTGCTTCTCGGCACATCATATCTCTCAGCTGCTTCTCTCACCGATATCTTTTTTTCCAGTACACATCTTATAGCCTGTTTCATTTTATTTTCGTCCCAATTTCCTCTAGGCGTAATCCTTCCTTTGAATTTTGGCATTATCTGCAAAAGACACAAGATTTTATACACTTGTCTCAACATTGTAATAAAAAAAGACTGTAACATAGAGATGCATAGACAAACAGACATGGTGAAACTACCACGTTTCTTAATTTCACTATGCAATCCAAGAAACTAAACATTTCGTCATAAAAGAAATGTCCGGGGGTACCCGACAAAAAAGTGTCCGATTGTACCCGACCGCCTCGATCCTATGTTTTTATTCATATAGGAAATATCAATAAAAACAACGTCAAGTATTTACCTAATTTGTTAACTATAATGACTAACTTACAGAATTAGTAATATACTATGGTGAAGTACTTACATTGTATAACCAATAACCGCACTCAAAAAGTAAACGGCGCACACAAAAGTATAGGTACTGTTAAACAAACGAATGTCACGTGTTGTTCGCACATCAGTCGCAGCGCGTTTGATATGAATATACGGCTAAATGGTGCTGCGGTCGTGTGGATGTGACACTTGTGCATGTATGTGTGCGAACTTTCCTGTAACTAGCACTGACCGAGGGTACCCGCCGGCCGGGGCTACCCGACTCTCCCCTACACTTAAAACGGTTAATTATAGTTATTATCGTTGTTTTTTTTTTTACTCGTCGCCAGTGTAACGTCAGTGAAACAATGCAGTCAGTTACTAACTGGTTTATTGAAAAAAGAACAAATCCCTCCACCCGTCTTAATATAAACTATTAAACTACCCTCCAAAAAGATATCTTAACATATAAAAAATCACGATATCTCATGATGATGTCTCATGATGTCTCATGATGATTCACGGTTACAATGTAATTTTGTGAATATATAAAGTTGTAAATAATACCCATATTATAATAATTTGAGACACAGGATTAGTTTTAATCTCACAAACAACGTATGCGTGGTAGCAAGTAGAATATTAAAATGTTAATGATTTTGACCTGATGTTCCTTAATTCGTAAGTTTTATCATAGACGTCTTTGTCGCAACCTTCCGGACATATATTGGGATCAAGTCGAATAGGACCAATGTCGCGACTGTCTAAACTGCCTTCATCCTCTTCTTCACTTGATGATGATGACGACTCCGATTCAGAAGACTCTGTTTGACATAGTACAATCAGAAATAGATTGAAAGAGAAAATAAGTTCACAACAGATGAAGGGCGGTCAAATAATATTGAGATTGCAACATTCAACATTATTGCAACAAGAATAACATGTATTGATTTAAATTATTATTTTTAGTTAACTATTCCTAGGTCAACCAAATGGACCTCCATACTTATGAATATAATAAATAATAAATTATACGATAAAATTAGTTCTCTCTAGTATCACAACAAAATTGAAAACTACAGTATGTGAATTGAGCATATGACTAACTTAGTCTTCTATTTAAATATTTATAGATATAAGTATATTTTATTTAAATAGGTACTGGAATATTTCCTAACCATCTTCATCGCGATCTCGAGGCGGTTTGTATTTCTTCTTGAATATTCTCCGCAGGAAGTCAGCGAACTTGTTATCTTGGATGAGACGTTTAAACTGTCTCTGCAGCTCTTGGCATTCGAGATCCAAGGTTTCTTTATTGGCAAAATGTTCTTCAATACGGTGCTCGCAGTCCATTATTTGATCCTGTACACCTCGAACCTTGAACATGAATAGGAGATGTATTAGAAATACTATTTCTAATATATCTAATTTTTTTGTTAAGTTCTAAATATATAAAATCACTTAATTTATTATCTTAGATTTTAAATACTAGTTATGGCTTTAAGTATATAAAAAAAAATCAGTTACAATATTTTGAAGTGAATTCAAATCAGTGTATCCAAAAGCATTGTGTATATCAGAAGATAAACGAATGTTAAAAATAAATGTAGTGTCAGGATAAAAGTAAATAGTGATATGATTTAAATTTTCAATAGGAAAAAACTTAAAGCTGTTTTATTTAATATTGTTTATTGTTTTCTATATAACAATTATTAAAGAATATTTAAGAAATGAAATTTATTTCTGCGTAGCTGGTTATATTACCTGCATAAGTTTAACATAAACCCTTTCGGCTAGTTTATCTTCATGAGCTTCGAAACGATTCAAAACGTTCATCTCTCTATGTAATTGATATAGGTGCAATTCAAGCAACTGATTATGCTCCTGTAGAAAAAAATTATAATATGAGATGGCAAGCCCAGCACACTGCTAATTAAGCGCAGGCAATCCAGGTGCACACTATTATAGTTTAAGCTCATTCTTAATTTAAAGCAAATTTAATTAAAAAGTTTTATAACTTCAAAAAATAGCTCCACAGGTTATTATAAAAACAAAGGAATTTTTTTCTATCAATTCGAAGGGCATGGAGACATGAAGGTAAATATAGAGAGAATTATAAATATTGAATCTTCCACATGCTATGAATAATAATAGTTTTTCGGCTTACAGTTTACAGAAAATTATCAGAAAATAATACTCGTGCCTGTACACGAATTCGTTCGCGTTGCAATTGTCGCAAACGTGAGTCGAATTGTTGTACTGCGATTTCGGCATCTGCTAGCAGCATGTCTTGCTCGTAGAGGTGTCTAATCATAGAGACAAAAAAATTACTGCGTTAATTTAATACACTGATAGGTAGAATGGTTGTAATATTGATAGATTTATATAAATTAAAACTTATATTTTAAAGAGAATGAAATTAATCGGTAATAATAATATTGTGTAATATTTTGAATTAAATGATACCTGATGACCTATCTACTTTTGTTAGGACGACAACGTTTGATACCTTTCAATGCGTCGATCTCGTATTTCAATTTCGAGGTTCGAAAATTCTTGATCTGGTCTTGGTTTCAATAGTTCCCACGAGGCAACTAGTGGCTGTGATTCTGTAATGTTATATGGAGATATAAAATCTGCATTAGTAACATATGTATACAGTATACCATAATGTATAGTATAATGTAACCTATATATTCTTTTTTAGTTAATAATTAAACAAAATATAAATTTGGTCCATAAAAAATTTACTTCAATCGTGGCAAAATTAGTTATTTTGATTTAAAACCTAAATTATTGAACCGAAAATTAAGATTATTTTTAGGCGGTAGGGGAGTATGAAGAAGGGAGGGGAGTGATAATGGATTGCTAACCCCGCCTGTACTATCGATATACACTGGCGGAGCACCAGTGAATGATGATAGGTGCCAGCAATAGGGCAAAGGTCAAACCCCATTACTAACAATCCCTGTCCGGGGGGTGGATTGTTAGTAATGCGAACTACCAATCCCATTGCTAGCAATATACCTTGTCAGGTCGACCTCCACGTGGTGTCCCCTGGAAACCGTCGTGGTGAATTCCAGGTGTATACATAACGATGGGCTAACTGACCTGCCATTTTATTCTCACTTATTATCCCTCACTGGTAGCCCACCAGCGTCTACCGTTAGTGCGGGCGGGGTTACCATTCCCATAATCACCCATTAAAAAAAAAACAATCCTTGCTCACCCTAGGGGAGGGGGTAGGATCCTTAATAAAGTAGCATGTTTATTTATGCTCTATGAGAAATATTTTCGTATATAGCTGAAAGCTCTACGCGGATCCTGAGGCGGGTGCCAGACGATTTTGGGGTAGGTACGGCCACTTGACCCCTTCCCTCCGTCCTTAAATAAGCATATGGAAAAGGAATATTTTATTTATGATTTGATCGACTTTGAGAAAGTTGTATCAGGTATATGTGTTATTTGTATCAATATATACATAGATACAGGCAATTTCTGGTACATACACACAGAATGAATGGATAGTCAGTGATGCGAAAGCTATAGGAGAGTAAGAACGTGTATCATTGCTTGTGTGGTCTGCGAAGGAGTCGGCGTGTGGAAGTAGTTTCTAAAATATACAATCAAATATCATACCAGTAACTGGCACAAATCTAGGTATTCGCTGTTGTCGAACACGTGGTTGTGGATAAAGAGTGGACTTCCTGCGTTCTTGTATCACCGACTTCTTGCTTAGTGCCCTAGTAGTGGGAACTTGTGCAGATTCTAATTTTATCTGAAAAATTTTAATTTTGCAATTCACGCATTTCTTAAAAATTGGTAAAACATTGTCTTATCTAGTTGGCTTGAGTGCTATAATTTTATTAGCTTGATATTATTAGAGAAGATTTATGTGAACTCGGCTAAACAAAAAGAAACAAATATACGGCTCTGATGGTAAACAGGGTTATAGTGATCTATGGACTTGGTTTTTAAATATATATATATATATATATATATTTAAAAACCAAGTTAATTTACTACTATTTTCGTTATAAGGTTCAGCCCGGTAAATGAATTATTATTTTGTAAATAATAATGTTCGGGTGAACTCAGTGACCTTATATTGGCTATATAATTTAGTAGTATTGAATGCTTGAATTTTAGTAAAGGCATCTTTTCTGTATTTAATTATTATGGCTACACTTGTAAGAAAATCAGCGTCGGCTCTAACCCTTCATAAGCAGATCGTCACTTCATTTACGGTTTTATTAAATAAATAGTAATTCCCTGATTTTCAGAAATCAATTTTTATTGCAACTATCGATATTGCTCCTGTGCTTCTCAAAAGATGCCTACGAAATTTTAATTTGCACTGGCTACTTTTAAGAAGCGTTTTTTGTAATGCCTGGAGCGACCGTTTCCTCGTTTTACCCTAGGACCAGCGCTGGAGAAAATAATAGAGGTATTTACTTCGAGATTTTTTTCAGGGAATTCGAGGTCATCGTCAATGTGTGGCACCAACGGTGGTGGTTTCACCTGCCGTTGCGGTATTTCTGCTCGAATTTCGCTTAATCTCTCGCCGATCTTCTTCATTTGTGTCACCAGCCGTACTTTGTGTTCCCGAAGTTCTAAAACCTTGACGTTGAATGCATGTTTATTTTCATAAATCTAAAAATAGGTATCTGTTGTTAGCATCCATTAACATTTATTTTATTTATGTATATTTACTATAATTATTATAAATAGTACACATTAAGAAAAAGATAACAAATATAAACAATAAGTATGAAAAAAATCTAGATATTGTTTAGTTAACAATGCCATTAATTTACATTAGGTTATTTGTTAACGTATTGAGTATATAAATTCTGATGAAAATATAACCGTCAACGAGTGATCATTAATGAGAATATTCTAAAAAGTCATGACTTTTCTTAATTCATCTTTGTATTACAGGGTTTATCTGCCTTTATTCAAATACGTCTGGTATTTTGGATGTAAAAACCAGTTTGTGATGGTGCTTTTTAAATATATATAATAAAATTATACATGCCACTTACCTCTTTTCTTGTAAGACAAATATGCAATTGAGTGTTATGGCTAGGGGGTGCCACATAGTCGGGTTGAGTCTTGAGCAGACGGTTGCCTATAGTGGCTTCAGCTTCTTTTAATGCTTCTGCTGCTCCTGGAGGTAAGGCATGCGGGTCTGGTTTACGTGAAAGATGTTCTTGCCACTGAAAAAGGTAATAAAACCGAGTAACTTAAATGAAAATCATCACTTTTGATGTTTTTATCGTATAAGAACATCATATCATCATGAATATGGTACCTGAACATCCCTGACATTACAAATATGTCTAATGAAATATTTAATATTATACACTACACAACAATAAATTTTTATTTCATTTGACGTATTGTTCTTTGTTATTTTACACATAAAATGATGTATAATTATTTTTATTACTAAATACATAATAAATTACCTCAATAAATTGGAAGTGATGTCGGTGTAAACGTTGCCGATAATTTCTCAAAGCTTTCTTTAAAGGATGTGGTGGTCGAGGAGGCAGTCCCAATAAGAATGATGCAACTCGTGGCGGGCCCCATGACGACTTCCTAGCAGCTACTCGGCGAGTGGTAGATTCAGTTCGTCTAATTAGCAGATAATTGTAATATAAATTTAATACAACGATATATATATGCACGGTTAATTCAATATTTATGTTGTGATTTCTTGACGGAATTTCATTATTTCTACATTTCCACTATGTAATATTATTCAGAAGACCTACTTGTATTTAGTTCTATTGTTTTTATAAAAATGTTTTTATTATTTATACAAGTGACTGATTTCGAAACTTCATCTTTAGACGAATTTATTTATTAAAACAATTAGACATAAGTTGGTATTAGTCAACATTTGTGTTAATAATATCATGATTTCAAAAAATAAAATACTTCGTGTTTTATAATTATTATTTATTTTCTATTAATCAAGTAGTAATAATAATAACAATGTATCGTTAACTTGTAAACACAATTAATTGTGGTAACATTAAATTAATTTATTTTAATTTGTAACCAGCGCAAATAAAAAAAAATATAGAACATTTAAACGATTACCTCATCTCTGCATCGGCTAGTTCCAGTAAATTCATATTCCTATGGTAAGCATGTAATTTAAAAAAAAATTATATCGTAATCAATTATTATGTGAACTTTTCATGTAATTTCTTTTGCTGTATTAACTTTACTGCTGTAACTTTTTCGAGGAGAATACATATAGTATTTATTCTATTTATGCCAGGTCGACATAATTATAGATTACGATTTTTCTTCCTTATTATAATTTTGACATTTTTAATATTAAACTTAATTAAAAAAAAAAAAAACTAAAATTACACCACTGTTACATTTAACCTAAGACCAGACTAGTATAAAAAAGATACCTAAATGATTAGTGCGGAAAAAATATATTTATTTATTAGGTAATTAATTACTTTTTAATTTGCATATCAGACAATATTTAAAGGCATTTTAAAAAAATTAATACAGTTTCCTATAGTATTTCTATATTTATAGATAGTTACCTTCCACGTGAAGCTGCTTCTGCCATTTTTTGATAAACTTCTTCTAGTTGATCATGAAAAGCTTTCGACAGATTTTTTTGCCGCAAGGGTCGTATCATGACTTTAGGATCCCTGAATAATGAAAATAAAATTATGAATTTAAAGCGATCAAATTATACTTAAGTAGTTTAAAAAATATGAAATATTGAGGAGTTTAGTATATTTAGATTTATTGGCTAGCATAGATATTAATTATAATGTGGAAAAGTGTATAAGCTTCGATATCAAATCTATTATAGCATAATTACCTGATAGCTTTCAATGTAAAAGGGTAAACATCCAGTTGTACAATATTTCTAGAGTACATTTTGTGCAAGGCCAAATCAGAGGCTTCCAGCTGGTGAGCAAGTTTTCTTCTCGTGAGTGCTTTAGCTTCATTTAACTCTTGTTCTTGTATTGCTAATGGACGTGTGTCAAGAGTTATATCAATTTGTTGAGAATATGGCAATAATCGGTTCCTAAAAAAGTTTTAAAATTGTTAATCCGCTATTTTTATTGTTTTTATTTAAATTGGGTAAGTGTACGTAATCATAATAATTATGGATTGATGAATCACGTAAATGTAATTAATAATGAAATAATCCTAATTTTTTCAGATAATTTTAGTAACAGAACTATTTAAGCATTAATTATTTAAGCATTAGTTAGGATGTAAAAAATATGATTACTTATTTGATTAGTATACTATTGGTTGAGCATTAATTCATGCGAAAATTGTGGTAGTAGGTAACTAAATTGCATTTATTATATTGTTTTTGTATTATCATCATCATATAAGCCATCTACTGTCCACTGCTGAACGTATGTCTGCCTCAAACGAAACGGTGGGGGGGAAGGGTGTATGCCAGTAGTTGCCATGCTTGGCAGGCGGATTGATAACCGTAGTTGCTGGCCCATCCCTCGACCATTAAGTTTCATTAGTCGCCTCTTACGACATCCACGAGAAAGAAAGGGGTGAACTATTATGCAGGGCCCACATGGCAAACTTCTATTATACGTACTATAAATTACAGTTTACATAACACCTGCATATTAAAAGAAATATCTGAATTACTAACGCTTTGACGAGTTTATTGTATTCAGAAGTAAGTTCGACTAGCTGATCGCGGACACGTTTTTTATGTGCATTAGCAATGGCCATCATCTTGTCGTACTCCTCCTTTTGTTTTAATTGTTCGTGTGACATTAATTCGCCTTCAAGTGTACTTGGTTCTTTAATTTTAACTATTTTCTGTGAAAATAATATTTGAATTTTATGTCGGTTTTATTCACATTTTAAATTCGGAGATGTTAGAACTTTGAATTTTAACAGAATCGCGAATCATAATGGTACTATAGAAACTGTTTAGAAATATTATTTTGATTGAAATTTATTATTCTATCATGTTTAACTCCAAATTATGACTGAAAGAATTGTTGTGTAATTATTGTTTAATTAAGGCACATTGGTTTTCACTTACTGGCGGTTCTGTTTCAAGTTGTTTTGGCAATAACGGAGACGGTAATAAAGGCTCCGTAAAATTTATTTTGAAGGAAAATATATTTCCATCTGAACCGCAACTATATAATAACCTGAAATAAAGATTTTGCCTTGGATACTTTGTTTACTTTAATAGGTACTTCTATTCTATGTTATATAATAAGTAAATTATTTACAGTAATCACTGGAATAGATGAATGAAATTTTGGAATTTTATATTATCCTACTAATATAACTTAACACGTAGGGTATTTTATACTCATTCACGCTCGCAAAGTCGTAGGTAACAGCCAGTTATAAAATTATAAATAATCAGATAATAATGCGTTTTAAAATAATCTTTGAAAGATATACTTTAACCAAACAATATTTTGCTAAAATATAATATTTCTACTTACTTCCCGTCAGCACTAAATTCTAGACATGTTACAGAACCAGTATATCGGTCATGCATAGGTAAATAGTAATTGTCGAAAAAATCCAGACGTGATGTAGGCTGAGCCTTAAAAAGAAAAAAAAATATTATGAGAAGATTGGAACATTCAAGTTTTTCACCTACTAAGAGACGAATTTTCTAAAATCTTTTCTAATAGCTCTATAAATTTAGTTTTCTAAAGTTCTGTTATTTTGGCACAGTCATAAAACGTTATGATTATATACAGACTAGCAATAAATTCCGTAATGGCACTCTGTATATTTGTTTAAATTTTGTTCCATCCTCATAGGCCATATTTATATTATATATTTTTATTTTTATAAAAGTAATAAATTTTAATATTAAAATTTATTACTTTTAGAAAAATAAGAAGAACAACGAATTTAGTTATAAAGCTTGATAGTTTTTTTTTTTATATTTGGCATGTAACTTTATTTAAGAGTATATTACTCATATTAATTAGGCTGGTTAAGAATCTGAGACAGCAGTTTTAGAGCATTTTTACGGTAACTTATCGTAAAAAATATATATCAAAAAGTTAGAAATCGCTTTTATATTTAAATATATAAAAATATATAATATTGTATAAATAATTGTAATTAATTTATATGAAGTAAAAGATATGGATGTATGTTACTCTAGTTTTAAGTATACCTCTTCCTTAGCTAATCGTCTTCCTTTAAGTTTCTTGAGTAGTTTTTGTGTTGCCGTCATCCAAGTCAAATAATGATGTTCTGGGGTATCTTCTTCTTTTGTAGGCATCCGTACTACGCGAATATATCCCGTGTTTGTACCGATGACAAGGTACCGGCCTTCACATCTAAAAGAATTAAATAAAGAGTATATAGATTTCTTTTATAAAAAAAGATTAGTATTAAGTAACAGTCCTAGTTGCAAATAACCATGGTCGTAAAGCAATAAGCAAAACTCGCGCACTTCTGAACTTTGTGATGAAAATAGATGTGCTTATGTAGACAATTTTGAACTAATAACCATTATATTGTAGTAACATTATACCGACTGTGGCGTGTGTGGTGCGTGGTGTAGAATGAGCGATGATAATAACGATGTCCTCAATGCACGTATACGTATATAGATATATGTAGAGAATCTTTAAATATATATAGTGCTAGAATTTTATTTTTACATATTTTTCTGAAGGATTGAAATATCTTTCAATATAATAATCATACTATCGTAAGAGAATTAAAATTACACCCTGAAAGTTCTATTTATAAGTTTTAAACACTAAAGGGAATACGTTGATGAGTGTTTGAAGTTACATTAAAATTTAAGCAAATAAATTGATATGAACGAATTTTAATAAATTTTAAACATTGAATTTTTAATTAGAAGTTCTACTAAATTTATGGAAAGATATTTTTCAGCTATTTCTGGTAATTCTAACATTTTAACCTCAATTTTCAATTTATTGTTAAAAATAATATTTTAATTCTTATATGACAAGAATCCACTAGCATCAAAAATTTTTTTACCACGAAGGTGGCAAACAATTATACAGCCCGTCTGATGGTGTACGGTTTAAATAACTTTTTTTTTTATTTATCTTATAAATATAAAAACTTACACAAATTTCAGGAAAGTAATATCGTCACACCACGCTCCTGGAAATGGCCCATATTTAATAACTTTATTAACTCCCGGCTTCACTAATAGAAGAGCGCCCGTACCACGTTGCACTATCCAGATGCCTTCATCGCAATATTGAGCCCAAGTAATAGTGGTTCCTAGCATACTTTCATTTTCCACTGGAAATAAATAAAAAAAAAAAAATAAAAATGTTTATTTGGGATCCTTAGCTTAATTTACAGTTTTTTGTAGGTTCGATAATAACTGCATTAGTCACAAAGAGACTGTGTCGCAGCTATTAACGCCCGCTCAATAACATGCGGTACAAAATTTAAATAACAATAACACAGAAGAAAATTAATAAAATTACTAAAAATAAAACTAATCAATGGATTTTGTACGAGTGTGTGTGTGTGTGTGTGTGTGTGTGTGTGTGTGTGTGTGTGTGTGTGTGTGTGTGTGTGTGTGTGTGTGTGTGTGTGTTGTGTGTGTGTGTGTGTGTGTGTGTGTGTGTGTGTGTGTGTGTGTGTGTGTGTGTGTGTGTGTGTGTGTGTGTGTGTGTGTGTGTGTGTGTGTGTGTGTGTGTGTGTGTGTGTGTGTTTGTGCGGGTGCGTGCGTGCGTGCGTGTGCGAGCATATGTGTGTGTGTGTGTATGTGCATGTTTAATTTTAATAATTAAACCTTGATCAATGACTCGACATCATCATATTCAAGAGTCATTAGCCAATTAATCAATTTTATTTTGCAATCTCGTAAAGAAAGTGGATAGATTGTTAATAACATATTTATTTTATTATATAACTTGTTACTCATGTACTTATATTGACGGTTCACTACATCTAGACGACATTTATCAATTTTACAAACTTTATGAGTAATTCTTTTGTCTATAAGAAATAAGGGATCATATGGAAGGGACTTATGTTTACGCAGTATGGACATCAGTACAAATAACTTTCTTACACTATTTACTTTCCATAGTGCGAACAGATTTTTTGTTGGATACCTGATGGGTTTAAAAGCCATAACTTTTAATACTGCTCGCTGAGCTCTTTCCAATCTTAGCATTTGCGTTTTATTAAAAGCTCCCCATGCAGTTATACAATAACCAATAATGGATTGTGCAAGTGCAAAATAGGCAGTTTTCAAAATTTTGAAATCAGCACCATTTCTCAATTTTTTAAAAACGTAAATTAGCTTTCTAACACGTGTGATTACAGATTCAATATGTCTATTCCAAGACAGCATACTATCTACAATTACACCAAGGTATTTGAAATTTTCTGTTCGTGATATAGAGAGGCAATCACAATCAGAATTACCTATGGTATTACATTTGTGTGCTAGTATTTTAAAAGATGAGTCTGGTTGGGAGATCTTATTGGGAGAAAATGTTACTAATTTGGTTTTATTTAAGTTTAGCGTTAGAAGGTTTTGTGCCAACCAGTTTGAAATAACAAACAAAGCAGATTCAGCATGAGATCGGGCCTCCGCCCAATCATGCCCATGAATTATCAAAGCTGTGTCATCGGCATATGTTATTATGTTACAATTTGGGAGGGACATTTTGCATAAATCATTGATATATATCAAAAACAAGGTAGGCCCAAGAACACTACCCTGTGGTACGCCGTAACTGACAGATTCCTCATGACTCAGGATATTATCAATAATAACACTTTGATGTCTATCACTAAGGTAACTTTGAAACAATTTTAGGGCTATACCTCGAACACCCAAGTACTGAAGTTTGGAAAGAAGGATAGGGACCGAGACAGTGTCGAATGCTTTAGATAGATCAAGGAAGATACAAAGAGACTTAAGTTTATTGTTAAAATCATCGGCAATTAAACTAGTTAGTTCAAGAACCGCGTCCTCTGTTGATCTTCCAGATCTAAAACCAAACTGATTAGGAGCAAGTATGTTTTTAACATCAAGATATTGAAGCAAACGTTTATTTAGTATCTTTTCAAAGATTTTTGAAAGGGCGGACAAAACTGAAATGGGTCTATAATTATTAATGCTATCTTTATCTCCACCCTTGAAGATTGGGTGTACGATTGCTTTTTTGAAAACTTTTGGGAAGACACCACTAGAAATACATAAATTGAGAACATAATTAAGAACAGGGATTAATACATGCTTAGCAGCTTTTATTAAAGACGAGGGAATATTATCCCAACCTGTAGCAACATTATCTTTTAATCCTATTATTACTCCTTCAATTTCTTCCTTATCAGTATTTAACAAAACCATCGAGTTTGGCTCAGTTAATTCAGGCTTGTGGCTTTGGCACACACTGTTTAAACTATTGTTACATTGTATTTTTGTTGCTAGATTCTCACCAATTTGTACAAAGTATTTATTAACTGAGTTCACAGCATCAATAGGGTCTTTATGAAGCGATAAAAGTTCTTTATGACATGACAAATTTTTATTGTTTATATTAGCAAGTCTTTTAATAAGATTCCAAGTCTCCTTCGGATTCTTTTTATGTTTTTGAAATTCGACTCGTTCGTAACTACGTTTAACCTTTTTTAGCAAAGAGTTACAATATTGTTTATACCGTTTGTATATAACAATTAAAGTTTCATTATTCGGTTGATTTTTAGTTTTACGATACAAGTTATCCCTGTGTCTAATACATCTCAATAAACCTGGAGTAATCCAAGGCTTGAGATTCTTGTATTTATTAGAAACTTTTTTGTAGAGAGTATGTTTTTTAACGGCAGAAGATACAATATTGACTAATAAGTTAGATGCAGTCTCAGGATCAGAGCAATATAGTATATTAGAGAAGTCGAAATGTTCTAGTTCATTAACACAAGCCATTATATTAAATTTTCTATCTGTATGAGCATAAGTAACATTCAAAATGTCATGACCTAATTCGCAGCAATAAATTACGGGTGCATGATCAGTAACAAGAGAGTCTAAAACCAGTGTAATTGATTTTTTATTGGATCTAAGTACGACATGATCCAAGCAGCTTTGGATTCTAGTGGGAAAAAGATGCGCAGGCAACATACCGTGGGATGAAGTTAGATTTTGGTAAATATCTGAATGAGGGTCCAAGTTATTGGGTATAATATTAATGTTTAAATCGCCAATTAGAGCCACCGTAGTATGTGATCGTAGTGACAGTAGCAGTGCATCAAGAGAGTTGATAAAGTTCTCAATTTTTTTATATGCAGGCGATCTGTAAACTGCTAAGATTACCATACTTTTGGGAATTTTAATAACCAAGCAATTAGCGTCTATTAAGTTTGGTTTTTCAACTGTAGCTTCAATATTGATCCGTATATACACAACGACGCCATCGTTTTGATTATTACAGTTTGTAGAGAAAGACCTAAATCCTCTCATCTGCGGAATATTAGGACATTTACTTAACCAACACTCAGATAGAATAAGTATGTCAAGATCAAAAGATAGTCTGTGCATTAAAATTGTAAGGTTTTCAAAATTATTAGTATTGCCGATACTCCTTATATTAACATGTAACACTTTTAAGAATCTATTTGCATTAATTAAATATTTTGCACAGTTTTCAGGGGAACAAACATATGCATTAGAAACTGCAATCAATTCTATATCCGAATTTATGCGTGATAGATCATCCATAATTTGAATTTAATATAATTACGATTGTACAAGAAACGAGAGAATTCCACAATTTGATGCAAATTAAATATAAAGACCGTCTAACATGATGGGATATATTGTAATTAAATATGAGTACGAGTATTTTTACTATTTGACATAGTGCATCGTTTTTGCAAGTGATTGTTTTTGTAGATGTCTGTATTGATATACGATGGTGTATGTTAGTGTAATGTGTAGTATTATTATAAGTCATACTCCAAGACTTTGGAACAGTGAATGTATGCTTTGTGTGTGAATGTGTGAGTATGGAAGACGTATTATTTGTTGTAAAACTGTGTATTTTCTTAGTATTACAATGAGTGGTTAGGATGATAAACAAACTAAAGACTATATAAAAGAGGAAAAACATAAATGTATGCAACAAATTCCGATAACCATAACAAATTTGTCATTGTTTTTTATCCAACTTTTGTAGATCAACTTCATCATTTATTATGTGAAAAGCAGCCCCATCCGTTTCCCGAATAAATATCTTTCCTTTTGATGACCAACAATATTTGTAACCATTACTACTTGCGAACACACGTGCGAGGTAAAACAATCTTTTTTTCTTGGCTGTAAGATTTTCTGAAATAAAAACAGGCCTTGTGGGACAGCTTAGTCTTAGATTGTCAGTAGTGAGTCTGTTGCGTTCTTTATTAAATTTTTTATACATTACCATGACCTTCTCTTTCATGAGAACGCTAGTTAATTCGACTATAATGGTTTTGTTTTCCAAGTTTTTCTTGCCAATGCGAAAAACATCCTTTACATCTTGGGGTTTTATGTCCACATCTAAGATATTTCCAATATCAGTAAAAATTTTGAGTAAACTCGTCTTTGATTCAGAGTTCGCAACAGGAATATTCCTTATTTCCAGGCAAGTAGAGCGAGAGCCGCTTTCCAATTTCTCTATTTTGTCCTCTAAACTTTTAATATATTTTTGTTTCTCTATATTTTCAGATTTAAGTGTATCTATTTGAGCCAGTAATGAGATATTTTGTTGTGACAAAAACTCTATAGTATTTTGAATTTCAGAATTTTGATCTTTAATTTCTTTGATTGCTTCATAAATTCTTTCATATTTTTGTTCTTGTTGTTCACGGAAATCATCAAATATTTTTTTCATGTCTGACATAAAGGTGGATAATTGGGTGTCAACTGTATCAGACCGTTTACGTTTTGGACGCCGCAATGCCATATTATTCGTGTCAGTATTTGTGTCAGAAGACACATATAAATCATGTTCCGACGAACTACGATGCAATTTTTGCAGAACCTCTAACTGAGGTTGCGATAATGCAGGCGACCGAGACGAGCGTGTAGATGTGGACGGTGGAGGCGAATGTCTTAGTGGCATATTGGTAGTATGGACGCAAACAAGTATCTGGTACAAACTTGCCCTCCCTCAATTATAAGTAGACCCTCAAGTAGCAAACTATAGTTAGAATACACTCACAGTTACTTCAACAGGTGTCATTCATTTATGTATGCGTCATCTCAAATAAGGCAAGGCAGTTGCCTCAAGTTTATGCGTTCCTAGTATTTCTTCACAATTATATCTGATTGAATAAACGGTAATCTTATTTGGGTCCAAAGGTCAATTATTTGTTTTTTGATTAATGTGAGGGTATTCGTATTTAAACGGTTTTTGTTTTCAGATATTATAATTTTTCACTATTTCACTGATTAATCACTTATGATGTTTAAATACGAAGTTTCGTTTATCACTTTTTGCTGTATAATGCTCACTTAGTTGTTGTTTTCAATAATATTCTTATGATGATTCTATAGGGCAATTTAAAATTTCTTGATTTGTTTTTTACTATAAAATCATAACAATAGCAAAAAAATTGTCACAAAAATAATACCACTTATTGAATTCTATGTAATGAAGTTATTGTATACGTTTTTATTTATATGTAATATACTTTTATATTTTTTTTTTTTAATAAAATGTACGGAGCTAATGTTTACCGTGACGTGCCCTTTCTAAATTTTTTTTTTTTTTTTTTTTTTTTTTTTTTTTTTTTTTTTTTTTTTTTTTTTTTTTTTTTTAAATATATAAGTTATCAAAATTATTACAACAATATGTATGCAAATTTATTAAAAAAATATTTACTTAGCTCTATTTCTCCGAGCCACTCCTCTTCTTCATCTTCTTCTTTTGCTGTATTGTCTTTAGCTTTTAAAGTCTCTTCGTCTATACTTGCGAGTTCTTCCTCCGTAGGAAAAGGACGATACCGCATACTGTGAAATACGCATTTCTATAATGAAATAATATACAGCTTCCCCTAGAAGGTTGAATTGTGCCATATGGAGCTGTACACGCTTGAGCTACTAAAGTTGTAAGTAATGTAGCTTCGCGTAAAGCCATTTTTCAGATGCTTCAGTGGACATGCGATAGAATTACAAATATATAAATATACGTATATACAAAGGATACATACAAATGCTTTTTCACTAGTGTTTCCTTGTACGATTCGAAGTGCAGTTTAAAAGTTGTGATGTCAGTGTACTTGCGAATAGGGACATCCGGAAGTACAGTTTCCATTAGCAAACCAACTTGTCCACATAGTAGCAATACTCTTTCCTGAAATGTTTATTTTCAGTAAGTATATTTAATATTTTTTTTTAAATAGAATAATAGTTTAAAATTTTTGAAAACACATACCTCTCCGGGTTTCCACGTCATGTAGGCTATGTTGTTGGGGGTTTCAATGAAACCAAGTTGGTGTAAGGTGAACGGTGTACCTGTTTCAAGTTTGTAGAGGAATATAGTCGTATCTTCGCCGCAAGTGACTAACAGAGTGCGTTGTTCATTTAATGTTATTTGGGTGAGAGCCTTCGAATGAGGTTTTAGTAACTGCAGATATAAAATATAAATACTAAGAAGAGAAGAAATGATACATCAATTAAAGTGCCTTAGGTAATATTATTAATAAAACAGTCTTAACATACATATTTTAAAAATAATTATTATATAATTATACCGAAATCAAGTCCATGGCGTCGACGTTAAGAGAATCTTCGCTGTGGATACTGAGGGCGGAATGTATACGAATGTTTATCATACTGGTTTGTGCTTGCAGGCGTTCCGGGTGTAACAAAAGAGTTCGCATTATTCCATCAGCAAAACCCACCAACAAGATACGCGAAGTGTCATCGACCTAGATGATATTGCAAGAAAATTTTTAAGTGTTTTTTTTCTTATTATAGAAATATGTTAGTACAAAAAGTAACCTAAGTATGTGTTAATCTAGAAAATGTTATATCTATGTTCAATTTTCAATAAGCAATGGTTACTATTTACTATTGGGTACCTTACATTGTTCGCCATTTTAAGTTACTTAAAAATCCATTTAGCTATTTAAGCGTGATCAAGTAGCAAACACCCAGAGATCAAACTTTCACATTGATAGTAGTAGGACGTGTAAAATCACTAATAAGGAATTATAAATAATCTAAGTAGAATACGTACATCCACAGGTGGATAAAGCAAGCACGTAATAGGCGAAGGGAAATGGTAACGAGCTAATAATTTATGTGTATCAGTATTATATGCTTGCAATGCACCATCTTCGCCGGCTGTAATTAAGATCGGGTGAGTTCTAAGTGCAGCCATCGAGACTATTCCGCCAGCGTGACATGTCATCACCTTGCTGTGGTTGCATTCGATTTTATCTATTTCAACCTCCACTGTCCATATACCACCATTGCCGTCCTGAATAAATATAGGTAAATAACATATTCCATATACATTTTATATTTTATTTTAGTGTAATTATGTGATTACCTGCGCGTACCAATACATATTTTTTTGGTGTTTGAGACACATTATTTGACAATTAGGTACCTGTAATAAAATTTTCTCTTTTTATTTTAACACACTGAATTCTGTCTCACTAATATAATTATTATTATAATAAGCTTTTTTTTTTTAATTTAATCTTCTTTTTGCTTAGTATTTAATACTTGCAATTTTTAACTGCCTTTTGGTTTAAATAAAATTAAAATCATACGCAAGTTTCAGCAACAGGATTTAATTCAATGTAAGGATCATCTTCAGGCGGATCGGCTTGCTCCACTGTATCCCAATACCAAGCTCGAATACATCCATCGCGGGATATGGTTGTTACTTCGTCACCCACTGTACTCAACATGAACTGGATCTAAATTTAAAATAAATATTTTACATACCCGTAAATTAATGTAGTGATCTTTATTTAGTTGCTAGAATTTTGTTAAGTTTTCTTACCACAGGAGCTTTGTGACATGATTTTCTACCACGTTGTGTGACTTCTAGTTTAACTAGTCCAGCTTCCCATACCAAAATATTGCCCCATTCACATCCCGATAATACCTAAAAATGTCAAAAATTTTTCAACGTCCATACTTTAAAAATATAATACATGAAAGGCAGTTAGGTTAGTGTTTGTAAAAAATTCTGTTTCAAATGTTAAAACATATAATTTTTATCTTACTTTTTCATCTGGCATTGGATAAACTCCAAGAACGTCACAAATCTCTGTTTTACCAAATCGGCCTAGTTCACCTTTTAACTTCAAACCTGTGAATGTTTCAGCCATTTTCCAAAATTTTATGTGAGCAGCACCTGAATCAATATAAGAAAATATGAAGAAATTAAAAATTCGTTCTATATTTATAGCTAAAAACATATAGACATCTTATAGGTAAAAATTAAATTAGTAAAATCATAGAGAAGACACATACTCGTAAATTATTTTGTTATGTAGAGTCAACTTTTTGTTAACAGAGAAGTAATAGAAGCTAGAATTTACCTGCTGTAGTGAGTTGTCCGGGGCAATATGGTGAAAACATGACGGTGTTTACATCGAATGTAAAAGCACTAGTGCGAAGCAAAATACGGTGCCGTTTCCAGTTCCATATTGTAATATTATAGTCTGGTTCCTTGCCTACAGAAGCCAAAAGTTCGCCATCGGGACTGAGTAGATAAGAAAACAGTACTTACTTTTTTTAAAGAATGTTATACCAATACAAATAATACAATTAATATCACGATGAAAACGACAACAAGTCAGGAGCGTATCGAAATTGTGGTCTAATGCCAACTGACTCTTTACTTTATATAAGTAATCAAAGCAATATTTAATCAAATTTAAAATCATACTAGGACGCAATAAATCACTCAGTCAACTAGGTATGTAATATTAATTACCTAAAGTCTAAGATGGAATAAGCATTAGTTGTGCCATCTCTAAGCACCGCATCTATATCCATTTGTGGCCAAGTGTATAGTAGTATTAAAGGATCCCGATATCCTTCTCTTCCTTCAGCTACTGCTATGCGATAATTTGGGTCCTTCCTATAAGACTAAAGTATGTCTTACGAATTAGTTCAGGTTTTGAAATAAAACTATTATGCAATAATAAGTATCAGTAATAATCTATCGGGCTTTATTTATTCAGGATTTAAAATTTATTTATATATATATATATATATATATATATATATATATATATATATATATATATATATATAAATAGTAGATGTATTTGAGAGGGACCAAAAATAGAAACTAAGAAAATTAAAGATATTCGAGGGGCTTGATATCAATTATATCGAATATCATATGTGGAGTAAACAAAATCTAGTATTGGTGCCTGATAGGAGGCAAGTTATTGTCAAATTTCTAACATTAATGTATAAAATTTTTGAAGTTTCATTATTAAAAAATCTGTTTAATATTTTATGAAATAATTCTAAGTTTCTAAGAGCACTATGAACTAAATTTGTAACAAATAGATTTGAGTCAAAACTATTTTAAATAGGTAGGTCTAATATAATGCTTTTGCTAAAGTATGAATTTAGTAAGTATGAAATATTACTTTTAGAAATAAGAATTAACTCTAAGAACAGTTTTTTTTATGTCAAATGGACGATATTTTATTATTTTTTTTTTTATTATATATATTGCTTTATGTATTCGTTATTTATTTATTATATATATTGATGTCTATTTGATATGATTTGAATTTGTTTGCGTTAAAAGTTATTTTATTTCTTACTGTAATATTCCCTATAGATCCACCAGTAGTGCTCCTCCGGAACCAAGTTTGTTTTGTGTAGACATCCATAAAGCTTATAATGCTGCCGGCTGCCCAGCATACTACACTCTCATCACAGGCACATAAATTGAAGTACTTGAGACAGTTGTAACCATAAGAATATCTGTGCATAGCATCATTAAGAAATACATATTAAACGACGTTAAATGGCAAATATGCTGAGACCTTAGATTATATATAATAGATAGAGCATCGAGTCTCAAAACGGGTCAACTTTCGGTCAGCTAATTGTCAAATTAGCTGAATCGTGAATTTTTATCAGTGTTCTATACTAACGCACATAATGTATCTTGACGTATCTATATTTAATTATTTAATAAATAAAATAAAGTTTTACGCATTAAAAAGACGCAAAAATTATAAAACAAAATAAATATAGAAGTTATAAAGAACACTGATAACTATTTATCACCCAAAATTGTATGTAAAAGTTGAGTTGCTTTTCTCGAAGCATTTGTATAGAGACATTCTATCTATATAATCTAAGGTTGGACCCGCCGAATAGAAAATACTGACAGGTGCTGTTCATAGACATGAACAATGCCATGAATATCATGAAATATAATGTAACATTTATAAACTCCTCATAAGTTGCAATTACTGAAGACTATTATTTTAAGTTTCTGTACCTTACAATGTCTTCTTTTGGTATAGAACTTATTCGTTTTTATGGTTTAATCTATATCTATTTATTATTAACGAATATGGAAAACTTAACTCAGCGGCCTTTATGATATTATAAAATTATCAAATTGCTTCTAAGTACTCTTTTATCTCATTTACAGTTTTTGAGAGAGTTTGAGCAGCTGGTGCTTTAAAATTTAATTTAATATTCAACAAATTGTTTGTGAATAATATCAACTGTAGTATTTTTTTCCATTAAGAGAATTCGAATCTGGAATAACGTCTTGGCGCGTAATTAGATACCTACTCTTTATTTGAGTACCCAGTCTGACAATTATCTGTATCTGTCTAATTTCTAGTACCTGTGAACAAACGCTGTTAATTTTTTTCGGGACGATGCTGTAAAACAATATCATATATATGTCAATAAAACAATATTGTAATTTTTTGGAGAAACAATAAAGAGTATCTATCTATCTATCTATCATGTCTAGTAGTAACATTTCATTATTATTAGGGATAATGAAAGTAAAAAATATATTCTTGAAAGGATACTTAAATTCGAACAAATCAAGTGGTATCGTTGAGTCCAAGCTATTGACGGCACTTGATAAGAAGTCATCTGGATCATATTCGGTAAGAAGAGATTCTTCTTCTTCTTCATCCTCCTCTTCTATTTCTTCTGCCACCGGTGCTTCTTGTATCGGAATTTCTTCTTCTTCTGGTATAAATATATTTAAGTGCTAATTATGAATTAAGGCATTTTGGATATAAGATAATTTGAATACGAGCAAAATTAAATTATGCCGTGGTGTCATAAACTACAATTAATATTATTAAGGACAAATGGATCAAACTTGAGACTTGGTATCCCTTTGTCCTATGACTGCTTTAAGTGTTTATTTATTGGTTTTGTAGAAACTATAAAGCAATATCCTATTTTAAAATATAGGATGTTTTTTACAAATTGATTTAGCGGGCAAAGCCACGGGAAACAGTATGTAGAAAATATAGTATTAAATACTGCGGCGCAATAAGGTTTTTAGGGTCCCGTACTAAAAGTATAAAGAAGTCATTATGATGCGACTTTGTTTGTTCGACAAAATATATATATATATATTTGTTGCTTTTGCTTGGGGATCCAAAAAAAAACATACTCAACATTTTAAATTCAAATGGGTCTACTAGTTAAAAAAGTTCAATCTAACATAAAACAACTTTATTTACACATTGTTTATAGTGTAAGGTTATTTATTGCTACTTGTGTGTACCATTTGTAAGTAGTACACACTAAATTACTCTTCAAGGGCTGCGGGTTTAATGCTCGCATAATTACTTTATGTAGGCATTTATATTTATTTACGTGTATTTCTAAGAAATATCATTTACGTATTTTTATAAGTTGATTAAGCTGTCTACGCTCTCGTATTTTTTTTATACAACTTAGAATGGGAAACAAGCTGACGGCCCACCTGATGGAAAGTGGTAACTATCACCTATAGACATAAGCAGTACCACGGACATAACAGAGTATACTGTTTCGCTAATGATACCCCCATGCGTTGCCATTCCTGAAGACTTAATTAAATAAGATCTAGTGAAGTGAAGGGTTTTTTTTAATGAACAATAATGGAATGCGCTGACGGGGCACCAGTGAAGGATGACAGATGACAATGAAAAACCAGGGGGAGATTTTGTACAAAAGTCGATTGCTTGCTTGCATTCGTGAGGTACCCCTCTGTCCCATTCGTGTTTCAACCGTGAAGCAGTTGTGTTTACATGGCTGTGTTTCGGTTGTCCATCAGGTGGGCCGTTAGCTTGTTTGCTATTCTAAGCCGTAAAAAAAAAGAACAGGCAGGTCAATTAGCCCATCATGATGAATACATCTGAATTCAACACGATGGTTTCCAGAAGAGACCACGTGAAGGTCGACCTGATATTGCTAGCGATGGAACTGGTAGTCCGCATTACTAACCATCCCTTCCCCCTAGTAAAGTAAAGGTAGATAAAAAGCGTAAAGTTGAATATTATCTCATTTTGCGTAGAATTATATAAAACCAGCTGTCTGCCTTAGTTTCGTACGGGTGTACAATTCCATAGGATTTTTCTAACATTTCCTTATATACAAATTTGGTCCTGATAATTACAAACACAATAAATAAATTAGCAAATAGATGCAGCTGTTCTTATGTGAAGTGACGCGTATACCTATATATATTCGGCAAATTATTTTTATTTATATAAATTAAATTATCTAAAACTAGTAGGTATCTTTTACAAATAGATATTTAATTTTACCTTCCCCTGTAGCTGTAGGTTCATTATCAGACATTATGTATAAAATAATATAATGAAAATATTTATATTTTAATTATTAGTATTTAATTAGTTGTGCAGAAAATTATATATACACATGAATTAATCAATATTTCAATCAACAAGATATTAACAGTATCATAGCAACTAGTAATTTTATTCTTTGTCTATGTTTAGCTGTTACATTCTTAATCTACTTTTTGGTATAATAATGATTTTATTTGCATTAAATAAATTTAAATAGGTATATACAATGATCTTAAGTATGTTTCTTGATTTAGTCATGCACCTGCAGAATCATATAGTACTGGTGCAAAATCACTCGATTGATCTTGAAAAGTACCTATATAAAATACTTATTTACCTATTGAGCAGATAAAACTAAAAAGTAGAAATAAAAAATAATATCTTTAAGTAATATCTTTATTTAAAGTTTATTAAAAAAAATTGTAAATTTATTTTTATTTATGTATACCAGTATATACCATAGTTTTGTGTTATACGTTGGGTATCTTTTTTATTTTTGTTTTAATTTTAAGGGCTTTTATCTTCTTCAGGTATATCAGCCCTATTGTATTACCCTGAAATAATTTCTCAAATAAAGTTTTATCTACTTTCCCTAGACACGAAAAGAGAGGAATTAATGGGTGTCAATAATTTACAAAGATGTTGAAAATTTTCTGATTTGGGTTCAGCTAACATAAATTGAAATAAGATCAATATTTAAATTAGATTAAAGTGACGCATAAAATCTTCTCTTTCTTTCGAGTTTATACGATACTCTGACACTATATGTTACATATCATCGGTAGTATCACATACTGGACAATGAGGTGACTAGGATTTTTCCATCATATGTGCAAATGTTTTTGATTAATCGAAAGTCTAATCGAAAACCAGATTGAAGTTGAACAGCTAATTTAATACTATATCTATTAATTTTGGTTCCACAAAATCAAGGAATTTGTGGAGGTTCAGCCTAAATAGTTTTATACCAAATATCTTTTTCTTTTGAAATTTTGTTAAAATATTCTTTCCAATCTTATTGATATTGATTTTTGAAGTTATGTTAGGTATCTTATACCTAAGAAAAAGGAATTACATAGAAAGAATAATAAAATAAAAACTGTAAATCATATGGTTGCCTCCTTTCTTCTTATGCAAATATGATTAATAAAAAGAGGACGAAAGATACACCATCAGGTACAATTTTTTTCAATTCATAGCATAATTTTATTTTATCATTCCTTCTATGTAGTTCCTTGTTCTTAGGCACGGAACTTATTGCTGTTGTATTTGTTATATTGGTACTCCGACATAACTGTCAAATATGTCACTGTACTGTCAAATATGTCACTGTACTGTCATTTAATTGTCAAAACATATTATTTTGACTTTTGAATTTATGTAAACTTTTTCTTGTCATAGACTTGTTGCTTCTTCAGGATATTCTAATCTTCACTAGTGTTTATATTTGATTATTTGGACTATGAACTTTTAGCTCATAATTTTTACATTTATATTTTATAAACGTAATATTTTACTAATTATGTCACTGCCGCAAAGGAGAGCGGTTTTGAACCTTTACAAAACGGTATGTTATAAGAATTTTGTTTTATTTATACTCTGCACAAGTGTCTTCCTACCTTGAGTGAAATACGTTAGCAATTAAATGAATTATGTACATGCAGAAGTTTATTGGGTTGGAATGATTTCATCGTTATTTTAAGTTAGCACTGTGTCTTCCTGTTCCAGTAATACATATTAATTGTTAGATTAGTTCTCATCTTTTATGTATATCATTTTTCACATAGTTAAATAGTAGGTTGCTGTTTTCTATAGGATTGAAATTATTTAAGAGATATTATTTTTTATTATTTTGTTCTAGATGCTATATATGGGACGGGATTGGCCTCAAGGTTACGATTTCTTTAGACACCGACTTCATAAAGTATTTATTAAAAATAGTGAAGAGACAGATCCTGAGAAGATAAGAATTATGATAAAACGTGGTGAATTTGTTATTAAGGAAATAGAAGCCCTTTACAAGTTAAAAAAGTATAGAGCTATGAAAAGAAGGTATTATGATGAGTCTTAAAAGTGTATATTTAACTTTTTGTGTTTACTTTTATATTAGTGTAAGCTTATAATATTAGCAATAGCAACTCTTAAATAAAACATGTTGAATAGAGTACAATCATATTTTTGTCGATTATTATACATAGGTATTATATGAAACTATTTATACCTGTGCCCATTATTGAGGTTTTGTTGTTATATACTTGTGTAGTGATACTGCTAATATTAATATGTAATAGTTTTTTAAGTTTAGTCTTTAGATATGCATGTAATTATTTTTTTAATACTATTTTTGACACAAATGATCATCAATGAAGTCTTAGTTAATAATTAGTATATTTAAAAAAAAAATTTAAAATGTAGCAATGAAACTGCATAGTCTATGTAATTATGTATTATAGACATTCTTCATAGTTTACATAATTCATTACAATAAAATCTAAGAAAAAAATTATATGTGAAAATAAAACAATCTATATTATCTAAAATAAATGTTAACATAAAATTAATAATATAATGGTTTTTATTTCAAGTGGCAAGTGATATGACAATTATTTTACTTTATCAATCAGAAATATATACATGATTAAATCTACAATAACAACATTGTAAACATAAAAAATAAATATGCTATACTTTTTAGTCATGTGCAAGAAGTAAGTAGTAATGGAGATACAGATACACCCTGCATTCATTTAGTGTATACTTCACTAAAACAAAGTATTGATTACATTATACATTTTCTAAATTCAGCAAAATTTTATTTCGTTTAAGTTTATAACAAACAGTAATCAATACAACAGCTCAACACATCATTACCAACATCCATTTTACATTTATTCATTGTGAGACTGCCAAGAATGTCACACCCAATAGACTACTCAAAGACAACTCAAACTCGAATTAGGAATCAACACACATTTAAATATATAGTACTCCCATATACTACTTTTATCATCTACACCTAGTATTCCATATTTAAGTTTGAGTTGTATTTGAATTTTTTAAGAAAATTTATACAGAAGTCTGGCAGTTTCTGCATTATTTGACAATATTAAAAATTTATAAAAGTGGCTTTCTATTACTTCAATATTTTAGCCATAAAACAAGTTCCACATTGTCCTAAGTTATTGTTTATCAAATTTCAAAATTATAGTAACAGTTAAATTTTTAATGTTTAATAAAAATCCTATTGTATGATTAATATTTTAGTTTGTTACTTTTATATCTTTTTTCACACATCACTTTTTATTAAATTATACTTGAAACATATGAAAATTACATTAATTTTAACAACTAATATATCAGTAGATATTGCTAGTCTTGTGGTATAAACTCTCTTAAAGTGACTCAAGTTAGGGTTTTATCTTTTGTCAAAAACACATTACAATTATATTTTAAACTTGTGTCATTAAGGGTTTAGTAAAATGGGTATGACTATCTTGATTCGTCACTATACCAGAAATCACTAATAAAATCAATATCTAAATTTTAATAAAAAGACTGAAGGATAAAATGAAAATGTGAAAATTTACATAGACAATTTTAAGAGTAAAACTAGATTTGATTTTACCTAAATTACATTAATTGCTCAACTATAAGTGTATAAACTATTGATTTTGTACAAAGGTAAATATCTACTATAGTTGAACAACATTGCGTAAGTTTTGAAAGAACAAATTATGGAGTTAGTTATGGATAATATCTAGACGATATTATCTACATATTATATACCACCATATTTACCAACTGCATCGAATTGTCGATTAAAATTATATTTTGGGCAAATGTCCAAGCACTTCCCTTGATAGAAGTAGAAATTTTAAGAACTGTTAATTGGTTTTGATTATTATTGTTATATTATTACCTTATTTTAGACATGGTTTATTTAGCCCTTCGGGAATGAAGATTTGTACATAAATTATTATTTATTAGTGATTTCGATAATTTCCATACTTGGTCATATGCTAAAGTGTATCACCATTCGTATATCAAATCGATACATAATTTCGGAATATTGAAGTACACGTATTAGAAAGATGTGGATATTTTAGCAAGTGACTGACACTGTTGGCTTAAAAATGTATCCACGTCTACAACGAATTACGTAAATTGTTGAGTGTTTGATTTTTTTTTAATATTCTAGCGATTATTCACATATTTCGTGGCGTTTCGTCTTAAGATTATACAAAATATTATTAAATAGCATTTGGAATATCTATATTGTCAATTCTACCGAGGCCCGACCGCTTCATTTGTGGCGGCCTGAGATATTATAATAGGTACTTTAGAGATGTTCCAACAGATTCATAGCAGTGTGCTATTTCGGTGGTTATGAAAATTAATTAAATATAGGTAATATTACTTTGTTAATGTCTTATTTTACGTCTGTGTGACTTTGAAGGTAAATGAAAGTAGGGATATTAATGAATGTTTTGGTAAACGTTACTGGTGATGAATCTGTTGCAATAGCTAGTTTAATCTATATATTACCGTAATTATATTTATTGTTAAATACAGTACTTGAACCACAAGGCTATCCCTACTTGTTTCGTGTTGGTGCACTTCTAAATGTACTTGAAGCCCGTCTCCTTTACTTCTATACGTAGATATATGTGACCGTGAATTTTAACATGTGATTACATTATATACACAATAACACATAGGTTTGAGATCAACAACAGTCAAGCTTTAGCTAAGTATGTAAGTATAATAGATCATTCATTTATAAATTAGAAGGATTTTATGTACCTAATCGCTTTGGCGTTGAATTACTTTCACAAATTAAGTATATTATTTTTTTAATACATAAATAAATGACTGTTTACATGATATAGCATTGTCGTAAATTCATTACCGAATTCAAAATTAGGTATGTAACAATATCTTTATTAATATGTGTAGTAAGTATTTTTTTATAATAGTACTTTATATTTTATACTTTTGACTAGTTTCAGTGACATCGCTTAGAACGTTGTTTGATTGAAAACATAATGATATTCGATTACTTAATTTTCCTAAACATAAATATGTATATCAACTAAGCTTTGTACAAATGATATATAATTTGTTACTGGTAACTAATGGATACTGAAGAGACTAATTAATTAACACGTAAAAAATGTCATGTCTTAAAATAATAAAGATTAGGTACCTATACGATAGGCCTATTGTTCCTCGTAAGAAGAGAATTTTTAATATTTCACGTAAAAATAGTATATGCTGTTGTAAAGATAATTAAATTTTCTAAATATAAGTTCATAACCACTATATATCTTCTCTTCTATAGAGGAACTTTTTTTATCATAATAAAAGGGTATCAATATTATAACACTTACAAGATAGTAAAATAGAATGTAATAAAGTTAACAGGATTCAACTTATTTACATAGCATTAGTTACTTTTTTATTTAAATGATATTTATATTTTCGTACATTAGTCAAGCGAACACTAAATATAGGTATTTACTTGGGTACAACAAAAACAAAGATTAATTAGTGTTGCAAAGGAATTCGCGGAATAATGCTTGAAAAATGAATTTGGTATGTACCTATTATATCTACGAGGATAATGCAATAACTTAATGTTTTTGTAAGAGTAGTAATACAGTAACACTTGATAATACCCTATACATCGAAAGGATTTATTTCAAAATTTCCTTCACTATCAAGATACGAGTATTATTTCGTTAAATGATTTAATTGTAAAGAAAAATCACGTTTAAATATTATTTAATACTCGGAAGATTTAAAACAATGAAAATTAGAACATCAAATACATTTTTTTTTACTTACTGATTCTTAAAATGATGGTTACCACATTTACATAGATAACAATTGATTACATAAGTTATCACAAATAATGGTAAGGTAGTTAGATTTGATAAAATTATGTACTTTTAGATTGGTATGTTACATTGTAACAATAAATTAACACTGAAAGCATATTTTGTGGGAAATAAGGTTTAAACTTGTTTCTCAATGTAGCAGAAAACTTACATACAATTCAGTTAGATAAATATTAAACTTAAATATTCCCAGTAAAATAATTCGCGTATTCTTCTCACTCGCACTTGAAGTGATATCCTGAAAACATTTAAAAACATATTAAAAAAAATACAAATATTACGCTCACGATTGTAAAATCAAAAGCGGTAAGTATATATTACTTAATTAGTCTATTTAAATTAGTCCATATTTCGCCGAACAAATATTAATTTATGAGGGGATGAACCTATTATTGCACCTACTTCTTGCATTTATAAGCGCTGTGTAAACCAACAATGGAAATTTGATCGGTTAAAAAGTTTTCGATAACGATTAAAACTAAATTAAAGGTACCACAGTACTGAGTCGTGTTGTGAATGATGAGTTTTAATAAAAAAATAATAGTATATAAAAATATGAATTCTGGTATCATATACTACCCGTATTATAGAAATTATATAAGTTTATATGTAATATAAAAATTATAATTTTGGAAAATTTCAATATAAAATAAATCCCCTGTAATTTTACTGCCCGTACCCTATAAACTGAGATACAGCTAAGCAAACGATCACGATTTAATAGATGAGTATTCTGTATGCAACTGTACCGTTAAATATATAAAATTATGTCGTTAAGACTAGAATGTTAAGTACCACATGGTAGCTAATAAAGTCTGAATCAGTTGAAAATAAAATGCTGAGATAGTTGAAAAGGGTAATAAGATTAGGCAAAGAAATGATCACATACGAGGAAGGCTGCAACTGATATGGTATCAGTAACGGAACGGAGGTTTGGAACTTATCTTTCATGAGAAAGATAAGGTTAGTTTAGACTATCATCCATGGGAAAAGTTGTGTAGTTTCATTCATATTATCAGTACTAGGTTTCTATTATACTAATACAATAAACTTTTCCCGTGTTTTTTAATATTTGCTTTTCTGTTCGACATATAGAATAGAATAGAATAGAATAGAAAATCATTTATTCAAATAAACTTACATTGAAGCACTTTTGAAAAGTCATTACATTTTTTTTAATTTACCGCTCGTTCGGAAAGCTGTCTCATCACAAGAAGAACGAGCAAGAAACTTGCGTGATGCTCTTTTAAATAATTTTATTATTATTTTACATTTTTAAGTTATATTGTGTGAATACAAACCACCAATTAGCACTAATTCAATTAAATACTCAAAAAAAAAAAAAAAAAATTGAATACATAACCAACTGGTTAAACAATTAATAAGAGGAAATCAGTCATAGTGATTAGAGCAGACCAGTCCCTACAAGCAGCACCCGTTCACGAGTATGACGGATGAGCCAGCCATCACTGCGCTCGACCATATTTTAGGGAGCCCAATGACCCGGCCCACCACGCCGCCACAAGTCTGGACATTTTAGTGAGCATGACTACTCAAAACACTAGACCACGTCAAAGCTACTCACAATTGCCATCTGATAGTTATAGTATTCACATTTTACATAAGAATGCATGCGGCAATTAATACAAAAAACCGCTACGCTTTCATATTTCTAAAATTAATCAATTAAATCAAGAAAGCAATGAGAAAATAAAATTATAACGTTGTATGCTAATAAACTAATTATTTACTTGATATGTTGTCATCTATGAATTCGTCTATCCTGTAATAGGCTTTCTTACATAAAAATTGTTTAATATAAGATTTGAATTGCCTCTCTGTCAGATTTAATGCAGATTCCGGCAGTTTATTATAAAATCTTATGCAATTACCATAGAATGAATTACTGATTTTGTGCAGACGGCATTTAGATAATGAAATATATAAGAATAGATTGGATTTTCTTAGATAAATTATAGAGGAACTAATTTAAGACGATCAGTAATTCAATGATAACAATATTGAATCAAATCATTAATCTTGTCATAGTGTGATGATGATGATGATATTAGTTGTTAACTGTCTACTGCTGAACATGAGCCTCTCCATAAGGAAGGCGGGTATTGCCAATAGTTGCTACTTTTGACAGGCGGGTTTTGTCACTGTAGTTAGGTTTTAGTGATGTTTTAAGAGGGACGCTGCTGCCCATCTCTCGTCCATTAAGTTCTCTTAGTTGCTTCTTACGACACCCACGAGAAAGAAAGGAGTGGCTTATTTTATGTCAGGACTACACGGCCAATATTGTACCTATTAGCCATGTTGTAATATGATTTGATGGAATATATAGGGAGCTCATGTTTACCCGCATTTTTGTTCACTTTATTTTACATCCTTAGTGTGAATTTTAAACAGTAATTTAGGTATGCACTTTTTTAGAATTAATTTAAGAAATTCTTAAATGTTTATCAAAATTCAGTTCAGATGTTTTGCAATAAAAATCACGTAAACAGATAATTTTTTAACATTTATAATGCCTTCTATGAAAGTATCTATAGGAATAAAGATCGAATAACTCTTAATTTTTTTTAATTTATAAAATATTAGAAACGATTTTTCTGCACTAATTGGTGCAGAATTAATCTGAATTCAATCTGAGTTGATGCATTTTGAACTGATCTTAATAAAAAAAGATCTGTAAGAATTTAAAAATTTTATACCTGGTTTTTTATGAGTATGAGAGCATGCCTAACATGTTTTGTCCACTTTTATTTAAGTTTCTCGTATTATTGCTTCTTTTACATGTTAAAGTGATTTATACTAAAAGTGCAATACACAAGATTGTTTGCGAATGTAGTTCAATAACGAAAAAATATTGTTAGAATGCTCTAACTACTTTTATATAAAACAAAAATTGCGCAAAGAATGAGCATCCGTTCACTTGTTTTATATTCACCTTCACATGCCGGTATAGCAAGTTGAATCAGAGATGAAATATAACTGTATATTTATGAGGTTACCTCAATTTTATATTTAATCCTTCTTTTCTCCATCATCGGGGTCTTTGAGAGTGTGCCATTGCGCGATCGGGCGCCGGGGGCTGGCAAGCATGTCAGACCAGTGACGCAGCTCAGTGCCTGACGCGTTGTAGCCCAGTACCACCTTACCGATCGGCTCCGATGTACCAATGCGATCGTAGTCCACCACCGTTACCACTAGATTTACTTTCTGAAGTGCAATTCAGTTAAAAGTTTTATTTAATGAGTTGATGATTATACTGATACGCTCTGATAATTTTGTTATGAATAATGAATATGAGTGTAAATCATGATACTATTTTTATATTTAATGAATCGACATTATCACATTGCAAACTGTTTGAATTCAATTGTTTTTTTCGCAATATAGAGATATGTTCGTAACTTGTGCATGCTGGAGGTATCTTTGGGTATTTTTTTTTTATTAACATTTTATTAACAGAAGGCAAAGCATGTTTACGTTTACAGCAATCAGATACAAGACAGTGACACTCACGCATAAGGAACGATCATGTCGATAGCATGCTGTTTTTAAAAGAAAATATAACCAGCAACATTTTGGATACTCACAAACGTAGGAGAAAGCATTCATTATGTTTAGTTACGGGGATGAAGTGATGAATAGTAATAACAGAGTTGCAGAAGAAAAACGAGGAACTGGATTCCTTAAACCATAAGTAATTACAATTTGAAGTCACCAAATTGTAATGCAGTTACGAGGGGAGATTATTAGACACCACTCAATAAGGATTTATATTATTCAATGCCAAAATACTTTATTAGACTCTTCATAAAAATGAAAACCTTTATCTGAGACGCTGAGTTACAAATAAAGGTCAACACTTTATCAAAGAAGAATTCTAACAAGATAGACTTTAAACAATATAAGGTTGGAAAGGTAGCATTGAGGTGTGGGTAAATTTTCAGGTGGACGAGCGACAGAATTACAAAGAAAATAGCTATACAAAGAACACACTAATGAACACTACATTTAACTAACATCACTACAACAACAACACAATAACAGTAAGAGAACATAATTTATAAACACAGCATGTATGTTTAGGTATGTAGCTTTTATGTGTATTTAATAATTATAATGAAACTATAATAAATAAATAAAACTTCAAATTTTGCAAGTCCACTTTATGTTTTGTTTTCAAAACATGAAATTAAAATATAATAATCTATTTAACGAAATGTATATAAGCAAGAAAATAAATATATATTTTTTTTGTTTGGGAGTAGGATTGGTATGGATGCAAGTGGTGTATGTACTTTTGTCCACAACAATAAATACACAACATCAAATGGCACACAGTACAGACAATACCGAATGAAAGACATATATGTACGAGATGTTTGATATCGGTCGTTGTTTATGTCGTTCATTCGGAATTTTGTCCGAGCCATGCGCTATCACATCGAATTTTTCAATCTCGGCTCGCACCTGTATTTGTTCGAATGGTACTTCAAAAGTAAATGACTCGTTGTAATAGGGATTCAGTGTGCATTTCTTGATGCTCGTTTTCTTCTTCTTGAGGCGTTTACCATTTTGCATGAGTGCTATCTTTACGTACGGATCTGTTGACACGCAGCGATGTTACCGCATATGAAAAAGATAGGTATTTTAAAGTTTTATAAAACTATTGATAATTTTTTTTAGTTAGTATACTAAGTTATGATGCCAAATATGAAATGAAACAATATGTAAAAATTAAAATAATGAAAATTTAACTAGTTTAGGTATAAGGTGATAATTGCACAATATTTATAATTATTATTATTATAAAAAAAGAATCTCTGTGTTAAAGAGAATAATCATCATCGATAAATCAATGGCTTCCTCAGTAAAATATTATAGACGTATCTACTTATTCTTAAATAAATATGATGCAATTAATTGGGGAAAATGTAGATGCTTGTGAATGAATGCGATTCATGAACGAAACATAATTAAGTCATTTTTGTGTGTTTAACTTTATAAGTGCGTACAAAATTAATATTACATAAAAATAATTCATGCATTTAAAAATTTTTTATGTAAATTCTAATACTAGTGTACAACTAAACGATTAAGAAATATGAAGTACATTTAAGAATTTTACCCTAAATTTCCTGTAAATTAGATAATATCATTATCATCAGTAACCTTATCGATTTATAATATTTATATAAAATTACTAATAATATGGTATAAATGGTACCTGATAGGCCACCAACGTCCATTTTCTTCAAATTCTTTGCTTCCAAAATGACAACTGTGAGTTTTCCTGCCGTTGGTACATAACGTAGTGAGAAACATATGTCTCCCAACTTGTTGTCCTGCAAAACATATAAATCGATATGCATAAGATACTGTTGCCAGTTATATAAAGTAATAACGACATTAGAAACAATCCAATAATACTGAGTAATTTATTTTAATATTATAATGACTAAAATGTTAAATACCATAGAAGTTAATATGGATGAATATCACTTTTCAATATGATAATATTCTTGTGCGATCCATCATTTCGGTTTATGTTTTACTGTAGGTTCTATAATTAATATAATTTAAAAGTAATTACTATTTCAATATTATCTAAATTAATATTATACAGAGGAAAGATTTGGTTTGTTTTTGTTTATATTGGATGAAGTAAAAAAATACTTAACTGATATTAAACATTTTTTCACTTATAGAAAGCTACATTATCAGCGAGTAATATGGGCTGTTTTTTGTTTTCAAAATCTAGACATATTTTACCTATCTACCCATGCGAAGCCGGGACGGGTCGCTAGTTTAATATAAAGGTATTTCTGTTGCGTTCTTTCGATGAACATGTATATAGTCGTTGCTGTCAATTTGGATGTGAGTAGTATGGAAGACAAAAGAGGAAAAGTTGTGTAAGGATAATAGTAACGTCCAGAGAACGGGTTATAAAAGCTATTTATATAACACAATATAATGGGCCATAAATAACGCGGCTTAGGGCGGGTCAGGGCACTCAAAATCTCGTTACACCAAACAAAAATAAATGAACGTAACAATAGCTCCGTGTGGTCACCTAGAAGCGTATTTATGGTTTTTGGTTGATCGGAATAGAATTTCAGTTTGCAGAATTGCAGGTACGAAATGTGCATAAGATTAAGTACTCTGTTAGTTTTATAACAAACTGAAAAGCTATACCGACTACGTGCTGAGGACGCATAGCCCATTAACAGTTGAGATAATAGCCTCAAACAATTTAGATTGCATCTAGTCATACGCACATTTGACGAACACTTTCATTGCGTTACATATAACGTTTTAGCACATAGACGTCATTTCCTCTAAAACAAGAAAAATAAACACGATACATATATTTTAATAACACCATACTATAATACGAACAAAACAAAACAACGTTCATCAAACCTAATATAAAGCAATCATTGTTTGCTGTAATATATAAGTAATAAATGGTAATATAGACGACAGTAATATAAATTCATTACGATCTGTTGCCGAAATGAAGCCAATGTATTTAGTTATGTAACACCCAGCTCAGATCATCAAAGTATTTGCTACCTTTGTACATACCTATGCTATCCTGTATATCTGTTTATAACTTACGTGTTCCGAAGTAATATTGGTTACAGCCAACCGTTGTTCACTAGTCTCCGTAGTAGACTACCCATTTTAGGAACAGATCGCAATATCTATAAGTACTAATAGTAAACGATAAAGATAGATGCATAAATATTATAGTTGCATATTAGGTATTATAGTAAATCCACCAAAGAAGTAATTGTTATTTTAATAACATCGCTAATGAGTATTGAAAATGAAATCATCTATGTACATTTGCTAAATGAAAAATTATCAACTTAAATGATATTTTTTGGTTCATTATCATGTTGCGATAATAAGATATTTTGATATTCAAACCATCAACTGACAATACTTTTGCATAGTCATTAATGTTTAAAAAAGAAAACGGGAAATGAAAATGTAAATATTTTCTGTGGTAAAACATTTTAAAGATATGAAACATATTATGACAGTTGTTATTAATTTATATTTTGAGTTATTATTTTTAGTATTATGTTGATGATCTAATATAACTGAATGTACATAGTGAAATTGAACAATGACATTTTTAAAAAGAGTTATAATTAGAGTTATATAGTACATAAATATAAGTTGAAAGTAAAATCTAGTAAATCTAATGTAATAACTAGTAATGCCAGCCAAACTATTTATTTTTTTAATAATAAAATTGTACATAAATGATTTTCTAATAATTCTATAACATTAAATTATAAAAACGCGGTAATTCCATTGTAATTATGTTTAAATATTTTTAATTTCTTCAATGGATTTGTGTCATTGATATTACATTATTTTAAATGTTTACACTTACTAAACATTTAGGCATTTGCAGAACATTCTATCAATGGAGTGTAACTGATGGCAAAAGTGATTATTGTGTGATTAACTTATTTGAATTAAACTGTATTCTTGTAAACCAAACGCATTTTGCGATAATATATTAAAATAATAATATTTTAATTAATGACAGACGTTTAATATATATAGCATATAGCAGTTATATATAGCAGTGGAGGCAAAATATTTTATATTAATATAAGAATACAGTTTATCCATATATATAGGTAAAAATAAGAACACCATGAAATACATTGTAGAACTTAAAACATCTAGCTATGTCAGTAACAAAATTGTAACATAATTGTTTTTAAGTATATTTATATGTCTAATATGAATATAGTACTTACATAATATTATATAAATAATTCGCACAATGTTATTCAAGGTGTCTGGCTACTGCATTCCGGTGCCAGGCAAACTAATAAAGTTCTAGACTCCATAAGGTAGCTTAGAGCACGCTCTAAGCTGCAGAAATAGGCATTAGCCATCGTATAATTGTTTTTAAATACCGTTAAAGATAACTAGGTATGACAAACAAATCAATAAATTAATAGTTCAAGAAATGAACCGGTAATTACATGAGTCTATTGATATTGCACCTGTACCCGTTTCGCAAAATATCAAGGGTAGCAAGCTACAGCATACCTAAAGTGTTTTAGGTAATCGCAACAATTGCTGACCGAGGTCTGGATATCGGGTTTAGGTGCAAATATTTGAAGTAAGATTAGAGTGAGCTTAGCTATATCGTCCGCGCTGACATGTTGTGGTGGATCAATGGTAGGTATAATAGTAATGGGCACGGTTTTTCTTCCCTTGGTCAGGAGAAAACCTGTAACACACTTTGAAATTACTTATTACATCCTTAGGTATATTAGAAATATTACTTATATTTAATGTAGGCAATGAACCAATAAAATATTTCAGATTAAAAAAAAAATAAGTTAATTATTGATGAATGAATAATAATATTTAATTGTATTATTTACATATATCACCTAACATTTACACAAGTAATTCGTTTTGGTTGATAAGTTATAATGATACCGAATATATGTAATTAGTCAGTAACTTTTCATGGAAATAATTATTTAATTTAGTTATCTACAAATAACATTTTTTTTATACACGTAGTCAATAACAAATTAAGATGCATTACCAATTTTATTGTCCTGAATTGTCATTTTATGCCATTATTTTAATTGATGATGATTACGTAAAGTCGCTGCAGGACCTATTATTGTAGCTAATATTATTACTCTGTCCAGTAAATAAATGATAAACAAATGAGTAATCTACTTGATATAAATAATCGTCATTCATACAGAATGAAAATTTACATATTGGTCATATATATAACAAAAAATGTATAATTACAATTTTATAATTTGTCGATGTGCTTACAGCTTACTATGCAACTTTGAAATCTTGTAAGTAGGTATTTTTTTGATTTGGTGTCTCAATCCAGAATTAATTTCTTTTTTTACATAAATCACATTTTTGTTTACAAACAATTACTATGCCATCCTCAAGATATAAATAAGTATAACAGAAATAACGTAATATGAATGTTACATATGACTACAGAATCTAAATAAATAGAAACAAGAGTTAACGCTTGTAAAAACTAGATAATATGTAATTTGTTTTCTGATGGAAATAGGTCTGCAGCGCCCTTTCTTCAATCATCTGCGTCTATTAGATCTTGTTCAGACTGTACATATTAGTTGAGTTGCCAGTTTCGTAAACAAATTATACGAGTGTTGTATTTGCTTGAAATGGCACTTCAGGTATGTAGTATCATCAGCAACAAAAGTTAATGAACACTTATTATAAACTATCATATATTTCGTTATCCTATAAGTCAAATAAAGTACCATGATATTCAACGACTTTTGTTGCTGACGTGAAGAACGAGCACAACAAAATAACAATCATGCAACATTCCCCAGCCGCAATATAAAATAAAATAAAGTGTTGGATGGATATAAATAAATAGACTAAACGAAATAATGTGGTATGATAGGTGATAATAGGTAACAGGTGATTAATCGTAGAGCTGTAATTGGATAAGATACAATTTACTCTGCATCCTGATGTCCTATAACCCCTAACTTTTTAGATATGTATCTTAGATTTTACTTTCTGTAATACTAATATGTGGTAGTACTTGTTCAGTCGTATTTTTATATTGATCCGGTCAACGTAGTATTAAGTACATGTTTAAGTACAATTAAACCTTGATGTGTCTCAAAATAATACTTACGTGAATGATCATTTCGTTTTTGAAGCGGCATGCAAGATTGTTCAGGACACAATCAAACACAGCCAAGCAGAGCAGAGAAAATATGGAGAAAAAGAGAAAAACCAAGTAAATACATTTTTGCTGTCCAAATTAAGTTTATCAGAAAATAAATGTATAGACTCAATCCACACGAGGTGCCTTGACTTGATAGTGTTTATTATTATGAGTATATAAGTCTATACTTGTTTATTTGTCTATAATGGTAATGTCATGATTAAAAATAAAATTGGTTATGAAGTACGTCAAGGTTCCTCCGTCAAAAAGTGCAGTAAAGTTTTAAAAAATATAAATTCATCTTTTCAAAAATTATAATGTATAAAAATTACGTTGGTTGTTTTAGACAGTAGTAGTAAGCTGTTTATGGCACGAAGATTTTTGAAAAGATGTTGGAATATTAAAAATAATGCTAATCTGTCAAAACACACTTAGATCTCATACTGATTTGTGTGTTTTGGCAAAATAGCTTAAGCTAAGAAAAAGATAAATATTCTCCTGAACAATATTTGTTACGTATTATATAGCTGTAGAATGATACCATATTTCTAGTTGTGCATTCATGAAAGTTATGTAGGTACCTAGTAGATTATTTTGTGTAATTAGAATAGGCTGTTGATGTGACCTGGGTGTAACTGTTAACAAAAGTGTTAACTCTGCCAATAGAAATTTTTGCAACAATATTAAATCTCTTGATGAAAAATAATGTAAATACAAATACAAAATAATACAAAAAAATTAAGAATTACGGCCCAACGTTCAAGAAGATACATACCGATTATTTTTATATACAAATTTAATATGGTACGAGTTACTTTTCGATAATCGGGTAATAAATAATTGATATTTACAATTTAAATCTGAAGGCCCAACAAAAAACAAATAAGAGAAAATCCTACGTTCTTTGTGGTAGAAAAGAGATTAAAATAATACCTATGTGAAGAGATGTTAGATGCTGAAAAGTAAAGCTTATTATATTGTAGTTATACAAAATATAGTGTTATAATAAAAATGTATATTTTTATTATAATACTAAATATTGAAATATATTATCAGGCACCTAAAAGAAATTGACAAAAGAGTTCATTTACTTCTACGCTAACCTGGTGGTGTGAACATTTTCGTATACCGCACAAGATTTATTTACTATGTTACTTTCCAAGGAAAATGTATATACTTAGGACATTATAAGTGTGTATGTCTCCGCACCTGCCCCCCTTCTCCTTCAACACTCTGTAGTTCACGCCATTCCTCGATAGTCTGCGCCAAGTCCACCTGACAGAGCGGTACCTTCACCTCGCCTATTTGGTCGTGTTTGGAGAACCGATCGAAGTCGAAGATCGCGAACACAAGCGTTTTGTTCATCGCATCAGCATATGGTACGTTCTGGATAAAAATGTTGAACTTGCGTTATTTTTTTAAAGTCTGTTAAACCAAGCAATTAATGAATGATATTTCGTAACACACTTGCCTTGAAAACGAAAGTCTCATTAAAGATTGGACTCAACGTTTTCCGATGAACTTTAGTCTCGAATTTCTTTTTCTTATCTGGTAGTAGGTAAACTTTCACGTAAGGATCAGATGTGCCACCCATGTCCAAGGCGGGCAGATCCTCCGCTTGAATTACAGTTACTGACAGACTGTTGCTATTAAAATCGTATTCCAGCTGCAAATTAACAAAGTAATTAAAATAGATTAGTAATATTAAAGTTTAATAGAAAAATCTTGTAAAAATGTCCTACTTCATTCACTTTTATTTACAAGGTATTTGAATATGCATAGAAAGTATTCTCTATATAAAAATGACTACCTATCTACTAAAAGTAAACTTTTAAAATTAGAAGTAAATGCAGTACACGTATGTGTTGTGAATAATTGCAAAAAGTATTTTTTTTTAGTTTTCATCCAAGATAGTCATACACATAATTAGTTATTCATAATAAGATATTATAATGTCATATTAGAAATTAATTGACATTTTTATGGGAATATTGATATTAATTGCTAATATTTCAAACTGCAGAAATGTTAAACCAGCAGCAAGGTATGATGATATACTCGACATTTTACGATAGCTTTTTTGTAATTGTCTGATATCTCAAAATTATTTAAAAAAAAGATTATAATTTTTTAGCGTACATATTTTTAGATCTTTATAAGCATGTCTATGCCATCACACCATGTCTCTAGTACAGAAGAGATTTTGTGCTAGAGTTAGTTCTGTATTAGAACTAACTCTAGCACAAAATCTCTTCTGTACGTATTTTTTGTATCTTATTATGAAATTAAAAAAAAGCCATTCCAGATTTAGGACATATTTAGATATATTACCTAAATATGTCCAGATAATAAAATAAAATTTCTTCTATAAGTAAATATAAAATATATTGAAAACAAGTTAAAATATCTACTATTGTGATGAGAATTCGATAAGGTTTATACTATAAAGGGTTATAATATGAATACCATGCCATAAGAATTAAATGGAAATGAATGGAAAATTCATTCTATTTGATTAATTTAAACTATGTCAAATCAAACATAATTTATTTAAATTACATAAGGAGTAGGTACCTACTTTATAAAGCACTTTTCTTGTCTTAATGGTTTTTTTTCCTGTGAACGAGAATATTATACATTTTATACCCACCTTATACTGTAGTTTGCCTAATTTCTGCTCTTCTTTCTTAGAATCACCGTCATCTGGTTCTTCTGCATTCTCCGTCAGCTCTTCCATGTCCGGCTGAACCTAAATGCATGTCCCGCGGCAAATTTCACATGAATAACTTATCTCTTACAAATAATGATGTAATGTAGTGCATATTCAATATTATATATATAATAAGGAGATGACTATAGTATTTAGGAATATGAACTATTTTTTTTTCATCGTTTATTGAATGTTATTTTCCATTTTTGTGCTAGAATTTTTTTTTAACTTATTGAAAGTTTAAGTGGCAAACAAGATGATGCTATATCTGATGGAAATTTATCACCGTTGTTTATAAATATGAACAGCATCACCTACGGACATCATACAATATGCCGTAATGCCTATAGTGCTCCTCGTGCCTTGCCATTCTGATCCATCAACAATATTTAATCACTTAGATAGAGTTTTGTTAAACTCTCTTTAGATAGACAATTGTTTAATTTATTTTTATGGTGAGACCGTTAATATAGTATGTCACATAAACAGATTTTCAATAACAACTTCCACGTCGCTGAATTTTATTGAAAGTAATCATTCGGTTATAGTCTTCTTCACTCATAGTCGTATATCATAATTTTAAAAATTATTATTATGTTGACTAGATTAACAATTACTTTTAGATAGGTAAGATAATGTTAAATAATGAGACCATGACGAAAAAAAATCATGACTATAAAAAACATTACCTTTTCTTTGTATGCTGATCCTAGGAGTTGGACGGATTTCAGGTCGACTCCCTTCATTCCTTTCTTGCCATCCTTGGAGCGCCGCTTTCGGAAACATCGTCTGATGCAGCAGAAGCACACTCCTAGCACCACTACTCCCACTCCTATATAATCATAATGCATTAATATAGGTGTACATACAATATTAAAGTAAAATTATCATCATCATTTTAAAGGAGAGTTTTTCAGTTTAAAGTTATATTGTTTAAAATTTTTGCTTTTTTATAATTTAATAATTTAATTGTAAAATATTATAAATATTTTAATTTCCCAATTTACATGAGTCAGCTTTGCTATAATAATATATTTTTCATATTACATATTGATATATCTGTTGACTATGATTAGGTAATGTTCGGAAAAAAATAAATGACCACTAGAAACTCTTATACTATCTAGTTACTATTGATTAAAAAGATGATATATGTAAGTGGTTTCTTTGTGTGACAGAATTTGAAATGAGGATATCCTGGGTTTTTGCCTCTTAATCTCGTATCGTTTCATATGAAGATGGGTTGAATAAAAACTCTTATGGAACAATAGGTTAATAGAATTATGTGATACATGAGATATATAGCCAACTAGATAAGGGTGAACCCTTAAAGGTAGAAGATAATAATATATATATATATATATATATATATATATATATATATATATATATATATATATATATATATATATATATATATATATATATATATATATATATATCTAAAGAAAATTTGACAATAGTAAAAAAGAAAGAAGAGGAAAAAAAGTTTTAAAAAAGAGGGAAAGATAACATGAACTGATACCAAAATCTGCATCAGATAGATAAGATGTCATTATTATGATGATAAATTTTTTAACATTTTACTTAAAAATACACATATGAAAATAATATACAATATATAAAACAAATTACTTACCAACAAGAATGGCAACTAGTTGCCAAGTTTCCATGTTCATTTTATGGGCCAAGTCCGCTGTCACCTCCACTATGGTCTCTTGAGAGGGTGTTGCCGTCGATGACTGTGACGACTGCGCTTCCTCTGTTATTGAAATAAATGAAATTATAATAAATATGTATAACAAAATAATATCATAAATGATATATTTTTTTGCAATGGTTTATTATCGCAATGTACCTGCTATATATTTTATATAATAACTAGTTATGAGTATTTCTCATTGCTTTTTTCGCATGTATTTGTTATCTCTTGTTCTGAAATAATTTTATAGCGCTCATTAACGATATATAAGAAAATGATGTGCAAAATTTTATGTTTTCAGAACCACGAGTTTCGGCTACTTATTCTGTTAGTTGTGGCTGCTGGCTATTGGTGGCATATCGCTAAGAGTTAAGAATTAAATTATATTTCATAAATTATATAGGAGATAGAATCTCAAGATCCGATCCGGTTCGAACCAATGATTGAGATGGTTATTTGCATAGAGGTAAAAATTTGGTTTCTGATTCAAGTAAGATTATTCCTTCAAGTAAGATTATTCCTTCAAGTAAGATAAGTCCTTTCAACAATATTTGTTAATTTGAAGTAAAGTATATATACGTTTTTTTTTATACCACTGAGGTGGCAAACAAGCATACGGCCCACCTGATGGTAAGCGGTTACCGTAGCCTATGAACGCCTGCAATACCAGAGGTATTACGCGCGCGTTGCCGACTCTGAAGAAACCTCTTTACCCCCTTTTGAAGAACCCCATGCTGTAGTCTCTCGGGAAAACCTCATTCCATAACCTGAGTGTTCGTGGGAGAAAGCATCTCTGAAACCGCGTTGTACGCGACCATTTAGGCTGTAAGGTATGAGGGTGAACTCCCTGTCGATGGCGAGCTGTACGATGATAGAAAGTGGCCGTAGGCATCATATTGAATAATTCCTCTGAACACAATCCGTTGTATAAGCGGTAGAACACGCAGAGTGAGGCAAAATCTCTCCTAAGACTTAAGGGTTCAATACTGCTTGCAAGCATGGGATCATCGACAATTCTCATAGCTCGTCGTTGCACTGAGTCGAAAGGTTCAAGCTGGTATCTAGGAACTGTACGTCACTAGAGATGTCGACGTTTATTTAATTTAATATAATAATTTACTTAGTATTCTTTGTTTTAAATAGATAAATAAAAATTGTCGTTGAATTTGTTTGTAAGTAATTTGTAAACATAAATGATAAACAAACAAATGAGCTACCTGATGGAAAGTGTCTATAGAAATGAACAGCTCCATGGATATCATAAAATATATGGTGAGTTGCTATTACTGAGAACAACTTATGATGCTTCTGTGCCCTGTAATTTTACAGCCATGTGCACAGCTGTTTTAGGATAACACAGCACGAATGGAGCAGAGGTACCTATGCAAACATTTTTTCTTTATCATTTAAGCATTCTCTATCTTTTTTAGTCTAACTGTGATGCTACAAGTTGCTTTTCTAACTAGGGAGGGATGTTTAAAATAGAATTAAAAACTTAAAACTTACGCGGGATCTCGGTGCTGCCCCCGCCGCCTTCTTCTGTCAAGGCTGCCTCCACCGCTTCGCGGCGCCATCGTAATATTGCTCCCAGCAGCGGCGACATATCTGCATGGGAATACAAAATGTAGTATTTAGTGTCATATTTTTGGAATACTTTGGAATACGAAAATTAAATCTTATAGGTATTTACATAGTTATATAAAAAACTATTTATACTAATATTATAAAGAGAAAATATTTTGTTTGTAATGGATAATCTCTAAATGTACTTAACAGATTTTTAAAATATATTCTTTCATCTACAGAATGTTACATTATCAGCAATATATAAAACCAAAATAACATATGGTCTTATTTTATTAAAAAAAAAAAAAATCGTGCGATCGATCTAGTTGCTAAATACAAATAAAATTCTTACTAATATTATAAACGCGAAAATGAGTTTGTTTATTTGTTTGTTGCAATTTGGCACTTCAACGGCTCTTTAAATCACGAAATAGGCTAATATACACATTCAACTCATATATGTTTAAACGGTCTCATTTAAAACGCGTTAGATACCTTACATGGTAATATTGTAATAGTCAATCATAGCGGAATGAAAAGAGGCGCTTGCGTCCCATACCACACGGGGGCGACTTTTGGTCACATTAACAGTTCAGTCACATTGTAAGGAGTTCTTTATATTGTGGTTCAGTAGTCTATCGGCATACTTCCAAATGTATATTGTATGCTATTTTGGTAACGAAGCAAAGTTTTGCTCATAATTTTTTTTATTTTTGTGAATTAAAGTTTAAATTTTAGCTTGTTGTATTTAGTGTCTTATATATTACATAAATATATAGGTACATATAAGAGGGCTGCTTTTTATTTTAGTCAAGTAATATATTTTGACCATCTGCACGAATTTGCAGGTAAAAATTAATGTAATCTAAATATTAGTAGTAGAATATTTTTTTTGGTTTTTTTCACCAGTGAGGGATGATAAGTGAGGATCATAAAGCAAGGATAAATTAGTTACGATGGTTTCCAGAAAGTACAGTTTAAAGGTGCACCAAAGGTGGACAGTGGTCGCACTTATTGAAAATTATCCTTTATCATTTTCGCCGTTGATTGTTTGCTGAATATGTATTGCCCGATACTTTACGATTTCATTGTAACGATATAACAGAGAAGCGCGATTAATGTTCTGTTGACAAGAACCTAATATTTTATTTATATACTTATATGTAGAGGCGTATTTATATATATGTATTTTTGTATCTTAACTACTCTTCTTAATTCAAAGATTGCTTAATTCTTTTAGAGAAAACATTACACAAATCTTGGAATTTTGACTTGCATACGCATTATGATATTAATGGACTGTACATTTACATTGGTGGGTTATATAAAGTAAATCCTATTATGTTTCGTGTACAATGGTGTTATTGAACCCCGAGGCCGCTAATTCAGTGGTCTTGTTTTATAATTGTTTGCGCTCATAATAAATTTACTACTGTAATCTTTTGGAGAAAACATTAAAGAGTATCTTTTTGTTACATTATGGAACTGTATGCAGTAGATCGTTAATTGACATTGGTACAATAGACTGATGGACATGATAAAATTTTAAAACTATCCTTTGATTTTCGTTATAACTACCGGACCCTATGAAGGTTATATATAAATATCCGTAAAGTTATTTATAGCAAAGCAATTAAAATACCGCTCGCTGGCTGCCCTTATTTTTTCCATAAAGTCAATATGAAAAATTTTGTTAATAAAACTACAGTTATACAAAGATAAGATAATAAAATTATAAATTACGTGCACTGAATTATTTCAGCATTGTTGTCTATTGTTGAACATAGGCTTGTCCATATACTGATGTAATTAATAGTTTCGAACCAGCTGCATCTACTGACTATCTGTACCTTTAGTATATTTGAGGTCATAGCTCTATTTAGTGGAAGAATATTCTACACTAATTTAATCTAGACGAGGTCGCCATCGCAACTTGAGAACCTTTATTTCCTATTGGTTTTCAGCCCATTGTAACTTTAGCTCATTTCATTTTACAGATATATAGGTTAGTTTAATGTTTTTTGGTAGTTAAAAATTGCGTTATCATGTGTAATGAAAAATAAATACATATTTTGACAGTATTTTAATTTTCACTCTTCACTTTTACATTCTATATATGTATCTTGTTGAATACCCCGAGTCTATAATAGAGTGTAAAGGAAAAAAAAAAATGCTGATATACATATTTTCTTAATTAAAAAGCAGTAAAAATATCTTTAATTTTAAAATTTAGGTCACACTTTTTATATTTCCATAGTAAAATAGGCGCAATTTGTAGGTCTTCTATGGTTTAAACCAGTGCTGTATGAATATTTACGTGGAGATATTTATTGAAATAATTTATTGACTACAGATATCGTTTTTTATTTTTATATGAATAGACGCTAATTTCTGGCAGGTTACGTTTCTTTATAATTTTTAATAAACGTAGGTAAACAAGTAAAATTTGATTATTGAAATGGTCACTATCCAACGAAATCTGTACCGTAATGGCTGTGAAGAAACAATTAAGTTCTGATTGAACACTATACTGACCTTTTTACTTTCCGATCTGCTTCGCCTATTACTGGGTTTCTTAAATTTGGTGTTGGCAGTCAGTCACTTCGAACAATTTTGGTTCATTTCTATAAGTATTGTATACGAATAGAGGCAGAACACTTTACTAAAGGTAGGATGGCGGAGATGCGCGCGCATGCGATCGATCGTCGCTGCGCGATGCGATGCCTCCACGATTCCAAGTTCCTAGCCAAGTCACGGGGTTTACGTCACTCGATGCGTACATTGACGACTGGACTAAAAACTTAACTATTGAGTAGGCGTCAAACACGTAAGGAAATCAAATGTCACAGAACATTTATAGAGTATCGCTGCATAATGCAATTGTGGTATTATATAAATTTGGTTACATTAGCATGATTTCAATAAATAACACAAATTGTTTATTTATAAAATAATCAATATTGGATAATAAAAGTCAGAAATATGCATATTTTCCTTCCTTTAGACATTTAAAACAGTTTCGACCAATTTTGTGAACATTATTACATTTAGCTAAAATACAGTAAAAATTATTAGGAAATAGGCTCCTTAGAAATCATCGTTTTCAACTAAGTTAAGATGGGGGAATGGGATTATTAGTAATGGGGCCTAACTGACCCATTGCCAGAATACAGCTTATCAGGTCGACCTCCACGTGGTTCCCCTTGGAAACCATTGTGGTTAATTTTAGTGGAATTCATCACGATGGGCTAACCGACCTGCTTTCATCGTCACCTAGTGTCCCTCACTGGTACTCCGCCAGCGTATTCCGATAGCGTAGGCGGGAATATCATTCCATTATTACTAAAAAAGGTCAGATAATTAATTATATACATATTGCGATGGATATGCAGTTACGGAATTATTCATAATGTATCATTTTTATGATGTAGCATTGTCAATAACGTACGTGTTAATTGATTGATAATTAATTAATCTAGGTAAATTGTTCATCATAGTCGTATTTAAAATTGGAAATGAAGTAATTATATCTACAAAATGTAAATATAATAAACTATATCTAGATTTTAATTCTTGTGATTATCTGAAGCTATTGACGAAATAAACTTTCAGCTCTTTAAAATACGCAAAGTCCTTTGGATTCCTAATTAATCCGTGGAAATTTTGGGTTCTCATTATAGGTCGTAATTATCGTAATTATAAGGATCATTCATGTTTTGCCTCCTGTATATTATGAAAATGAGCCAATAAAGGCCAAAAAAGCAAAAAATCTAAGTGTTGTGATTGTAATTTATCTTGGAATTAACATATTAATGGGGTCAGCGAAAGGCTGGCTTTCGTTTGTATCTTTTAAATGTTCTTATCATTTGAGATAAGAATCACTTTAGCTAAAGTCCTACTGTTACCTCTGTTACTGTTAGAAATTACAAAATTTGTCCATACTACCTTTTTTTTATATTACTATGGTAGCAAATAAGCATACGGTCCGTCTGTTGTTAGAGGTTGTTTGTTGCTGTTGTGTGTTGTTGTTGTGTTGTTACCGTAGCTTATGGCCGCCTGTAACACACTGTTTCTGGAAAAGAACTCTTGTAGAGTTTGTCCATTTCCTTTAGATTATCATATTTTTTATGTACTATTAGTGTATACAATAAAGTATAAAATAAATAAAAGAAAAAAAAATTAAAAATGATTTTTTTTTCAGATTTTTTTATTATTCTGATGCTAGTATCTTTTTTGTATTTGAGGGGGTTTTCATCTTACAAATATGTATATATTATTTTTGTTATTCTGTCTATGAGTGATTGATAGATAACGCCATATTGTGTTAAATCCACTTTTTACATTGTCTATATACAAAGTTCAATAAATCGATCAATCAATTACGGATAGCACTAGTATATTTGTTTTATATCAACAAATAAAAGTTTTACCTTAGACGAATTATTAAGTTGTACTTTCTATTGATATTTTTTTTAACGAAAATTAAATAGCTGCAAGTTTAACACACATGTCAAGAGTTTCATACTTAAATATGTAAATATAAGATAAAATTACTTTAATTTCATTTTTCATATGTAATTGATATACAATAGTTATTGTTATTGATACTGAAATTTGTAATTTCTTATTTTGGGCCATTACAATGGCCATAAATTGGACCGCATAACTAAGTTTGTTGTTGGAGGTATTTGATAATTTTACAAAAACGGTGCTAGTTAGAAACTTAGTTTTTATTCCCTGTAATATTCATATATATCTTTATAAATTGAATTATTTTAGTTTTTGCTTTGCAAATTTCGAAGGTATCTCCCCTTACCTTTTTCTTATAAGTAAAAAACTACGCAGCATAAAAATAAATAAAAACCTGTTATAAAATATACAAATGATATCCCACTTGGTTTAGTTAGCCAATTTTGAATATAAAAATATTAAAAGTTGACCTACTAATGATGGTCATCCTAGTAATGAAAATAAAAATATTTTTTATAATTATTTTTATTGTATATGTGGGTACAATAATATGTATAACAATTCCAAATTTCAAAGCGATAATGTTAGTACTTGCTGAGATATAATGCTGTGACGGACAAATGGACAGACTTATTTGCATCATTAGTGTTCCTTTGTAACTTTTTGATAGAGAATTTTAGAAAATGGAACAAAAACAAATATGTTTTAACGTTGTCAATAAACAATCTCGCTTTATTGGCTAAGAATCTCCGTCGTTTTATATTATTTAAAAATAAATTTATTAAAATTTTGTTACGTTCATAAATTAAGGATAATACCGATTAATATTTATGATCATGTCATGTGTGTATTTAAGTGTTGCTGTTTTTATATGAAAAAAGGTATAATATATAAAGATGGGGGGTTTATAGTTAAATATCAATAACTTTAGGATCCAAAAGATATAGTTAGACTTATACGACGTATTAATTATAATATACCATCACCACAGTATAAATATGCTGTTTTGTGAAAGTGCTTATGTATCGATTCGAAGAGCAAGCTAGCCGAAATAAATAGATATAACTTCAGAAGTGATAATACATGAGATGGACATTTATAACCTATTGTTAATAGGCAAATAATTTTGTTTTTGAAACATAGAAATAGAATAGATTAGATGTATCTCGTGACTTTGCCTATCTGAGTCAATGTATATCCGTTTACCAAAATTCATTCAAATGCGTTATGCAGTTTTTCCGTCAAAAAGTAACAAACATCTATCTATATTTTATGTACTGATTTACACGGGAAGTGAAGTTTGTATAAAATTACGGCAAGTATATAGTTTATTTTTGTAGTAACATATAAAAGTTATTAGTTTTTATATATTATATTAGTTTTTATATAAATAGGTCTTTGGGTCGTACATATCTAGGTATGTGACTTAATATTAAACCATAAGAAATATTTCAGAGGCCTCTCATATTTATAGTTTGTATGAAAGGAATGCCATGATAAAATTGACTTTTTGTCTTCGAGAGCTTCGTGCATAATATTAAAGGTTACGAGGAATAAAAATATTTGTAGAATATATACTGGATACATGATATCTATTATATATGACACGATGTATGTATATAGGGTTTAAGAAAAAATAATATAAAGAATCTCAATAGGATATAGAATTCCAAGCTTTAATTTAAAAAAAAAATTGTCTGCTATTATTATATTATGCTAGCGTTACGTAAAAACTATTGGACTAAATTGGAAACGGTTTTCAGTTGTGTACCTGTAGGTTGTATTTAAAATCTGGTGTATATTGACTTTATTACGATATATAGAAGGACTTTATTTCTATGGTCCCACTGCTTCTGTTGTAATTTCGATTGAAACTGAAATTTTAAACTAAGTTGTTTTGTTAAATTTTAAAATATCTATTAATTTTAACAATTATCTAATTAAAAAAATGCATTTTTATTAATGGATACTTCCATTAAGAAATATACATTTTTTGTTTACATAACTCTTAAAAATATTTTTACTTTCCATGAGAGTTGAAAAGCGTGTATTTTATAAGAAAACTAAAATTACTAATCTGGGTTATAAGTGATTTTTAAAAGAAGGATGTTTTTAGTTTATTTGATGTTTTAGATAAATTGATATCCACAATTTTTATTAAAATTATTTATTACAGTATTGGTCCTATTTCAATGTAAGGTTGGCCACTAAACAAAATTGCATACGGAATTAGGTGGTGCTAGAATTGAGAGTTGTGGTTTTCGTATTTTCCTTAGACTATGATTTTTTTTTATAAATTAAAACAAAATGCTTTTTTTACAGTGTTGCAAATAATTATATTAAAAAATTCCCAAATTAAGATTCAAAATTATAACAATATAAAAAATATCGGAAAAAGCTTGGAATGGGTCCAAGAGATGTCGATCTGGAAAGGCGATAGCGGGCGACCTTGACGTTGGGCTACCCTTTTGATATAGGTATAGGTACTAGTTTACATTACATTTATACATATATATAGTTGTCCTGTTAATAGTAGTAAATCGTTAGTTTAGTCACGCGTAACGATAGAGCATGCGTAAAAATGACAAATTGAGAAAGTCCTTAATTTGTCTCTTTATATATTACAAGATACCTTCGTCACTTCTTCTTTCACACAAAAATAATATTCTACAAAAGCAAGTAAAAATAAGTTGCTAGTTTGAATAAAGTCAAATAAATACTTTTACCACTATAAATAAAAATGGCGGCCATTTTGATTAATTCTGACATCGAACCCATATTTGAAGTATTCAAATACGGGTTTTCAAATATTGATTTTGAAATAAATCGGTTAAATAACTAAAAAAAATTACGGTAATTTTTATTAATTGTGACAGCGGATCTATATTTAAAATGTACATGGATCTTCAAATATCGATTTTGGAAGTAATTAATCGGATAATAAATAAAATAAAAGTGTCGGCCAGTTTGATTAATTCTGACACTGGATCCATATTTAAAATGTATCCGGATCCTCGGGTATCGATTTTGAACGCAATCAACCAAATAACAAAGAAAATAAAAATGGCGGTCATTTTTATTAATTCTGATACCAAATCCACATTTGAAACGTATACGGATACTCAGATAACAATTTTGAAACCAATTGGCGAAATAACGAAGAAAATAAAAATGACAGCTATTTTTATTAATTCTAACACTGAATTAATAAAAAATTTGAAG